GAATTGTGGAGGTAACCTGAGTATCTTGTCACCTGGCTGGTTCCTCCTTTCCCCCTCCCCATGAGTCATTTCCAGAGGACAAAGGGGAGTTGGCAGTTTCCTGCCCTCAGAGGGAAGATGTGATCATTTGTCCTTTGTTCCAGTCCAATCCACTCCCATATGCAAGTCCTTTGTGACTTTGATGGTCTTCTGTCTGGGACCATCAAGGTTGTCATGCCAACTGGGTACCTGAGTACGTGTTGGTACGCTTAAGGGATTATGGCCATCCTGTATCAAACCATCCCCCTTTGATAGTCCTTCCTTCATGGAGCAAAATAAAAGTGGACCGGTGTAAATCTGATGTACGGTTGATTTACTATGAATTTATAACAGAAACGTTGCGTATGTCATGTATGTGTGTGTCGTGTTTGTACAAACTGAATGATTGGGGGTGGGGGGTTTCCTGCAACATACTGGCTCCATCTTTTTCTAATTGTACTGTCATGAACTTTAAAATTGAACACGCTGAGGCCTGTAGAGCCTGAGATGTACTGTATTGACCCGGATATAAGCCGCACTTTCCCCCCAAATTCCAGTCGTAAAAAGTTAAAGTGCAGCTTATATTCATGACCTTACACCGCCGGCAAAGAATTGCAGCTCCCTCCCCCCCAGGTAGCAGCCCGGGATTGCAGGGTAATGGCACCCAGCCTGCTTGCTGCTCCCAAACCTTCCTAAGCCTCTGAATTTTAAAGGTGAGGCTTATTTGCAGGTGTGGCTTATATTCAGGCCAATACGGTAACTCTTGGGTTTCTTGCAATTTCTCTGAGTGTTGCAGAGTCTGACTTTGGAGTGAATTTGCTGGAACATCCACTCCTCGGAAGACTGGCAACTGTTTTGAATGTTTTCTACTTCTGAATAATCTTTCTCAATGTAGATAAGACTTAACATTGGTTGGAGATGGCTTTATAACCTTTCTCAGTTTCATGGGCAGCAACAATTGCTTCTCTAAGAGCATTCCTGATGTCTTTCCTCCTTGATATTGTGTTGAAACGGCCTCGGTCCAGTATACCTGAAGGAGCGTCTCCACCCCCATTGTTCTGCCCAGACACTGAAGTCCAGTGCCGAGGGCTTTCTGGCGGTTTCCTCGCTGCGAGAAGCCAAGTTACAGGGACCCAGGCAGAGGGCCTTGTCGGTAGTGGCACCCGCCCTGTGGAACGCCCTCGCACCAGATGTCAAAGAGAACAACAACTACCAGACTTTTAGAAGACATCTGAAGGCAGCCCTGTTTAGGGAAGCTTTTAATGTTTAATAGATTATTGTATTTTAATATTCTGTTGGAAGCCGCCCAGAGTGGCTGGGGAAACCCAGCCAAATGGGCGGGGTATAAATAAATTATTATTATTATTATTATTATTATTGAAACAAACTTGAATGCCAGCAAACTGCTAAAACTTCAGGTTTTACAGAGGTGGTCGCTTGCCATTTAAGCAAGGGCATTTGATTATCAGCACCTGTCTGCTACTTAGCCTCTTAATTCCTATGGCAGCAGTAAGAGTGTATTTAGTTTTTCACACATGGCTTCTCCATATTGCCTTTATTTTTCTTAAATAAATCATGACACGTTGTCATACGCCATGTGCTGTTGTTCATCTGAGGTTGCATTTACCGTATTTTTCGCTCTATAACACGCACCTGACCATAACACACATGTAATTTTTAGAGGAGGAAAACAAGAAAAAAAATATTCTAAACGAAACAGTGGATGTATGATTTTTGTGGTTCATGCTGTTGCCACAGACATGTGATCTGACAGTGAGTTTGGAGTAGCCCAATGCAAAAATCCTGAGGATCCATGTGGATCCGTGCTTTGTAACCACATTTTAAGTGGGGAGGGGAGGAAAAGCACTCAAGGGACAAGGAGCACGCGTGGGGTGTGTGGAGAAGGATGCTGCTAATATAAAGGGAGAAGGCTCCTCTCCTCTCCGGATTTGCTCCTTTAAAGCAAGCAGGCTCTGCTTTTCTCCCTCCTCCCCGCTCCGGCTTAGCGAGCTGAGTGGGGAGGAGAGAGGGACAGAGAGCCTGCTTGCTTTAAAGGAGCCAACCGGACAGGAGCCGCTTACACTCGTGTAAGCAGCTCCTCTCCTCTCCTGCTTTGCTCCTTTAAAGAAGCAGGCTCTCTGTCCCTCTCATAGATTCATTTTACACAAAGGTAAATCTAACCAGGAGTACCAATCTATGTGTTCATTTGATTTGAACATATGCATACAACATTATTGTAGAAGCAGTGTCAATCTAGACAAAATAGGTAAAAAAAATATTGTTGGGAAATATGCATATCTCCTAGATAATAAGACAGAGGTCCATCAAGGATTTATGAACCATATAATAAGAAGCTCTCTTATCAAAGTATGGAGGAAATATCACAGGTTACTAGAGCCAAAACCCCCCTGGTGGGCAGTTCCACTTGAAATGATATCAATAAAAAAGAATAATATGGAAAAATTAGGAGTAACGTACAAGCAACTCTTAAAGGAAGAGCAAGGACAACTAAAACTGAAACCCTATGAAGAACTTAAACAGTTTTGTACCACTTGGCTACAATATCATCAATTATATGATAAATTTAACTCTGATAATAAAATTGGTTTCCAAAAAGAAGAATCAAAATTCCAGCTAGAAATTTTGAATAATTGCAAAAAGAATCTATCAAAAATGTATAATTTAGTACTTGAATGGGAACTCAAAGATGATCAAGTGAGGACAGGATTTCGGATATGCAATTCCATTAGATCAATGGGAAAAACTTTGGAAATCAGATATTAATTTCACCACATGTATTACTATCAAAGGAAATATTATGAAGATGTTTTACAGGTGGTATTTAACCCCTGTAAAACTAGCCAAAATTTATAAATTAACATTGAATTTGTGTTAGAAATGTAAGGTATCAGAGGGATCTTTGTATCATGTCTGGTGGGGATGTGATAAAATTAAATTTTTTGGGAGGGGGGAATATACATGAGGAATTGAAAAGAATATTCAAAATAACAATTGGTAAAAAGCTGTAAGCATTCCTTTTGGAATCGTAACAAATGACATCCCCAAAGACATGAAGAGAATTTTTCTATATGCAGCCACTGCTGCTAGGTTATTGGTTGCTAAAAATTGGAAATCAGAAGATGTACCATCAGTGGCAGATTGGCAACATAATTTTTTTGAAATGATTGAAGTAGCAAAAATGACGGCAACAATTAGAATGCAATCTAACCAAAATCTCAAACAGGAATGGAAGTGTGTAGACGAATACATGATTAAAAGATGCTCCAACAAAAATTAATTGATATGTATAGACTGATCTCACAAAGTGAATTTAAATAGATATAAAAGAATGTATGTTTAATTATTAAGATACAAGAATACAATCACAATAATAAAGTTATAAAATAAAAATTAGGAAGTCACACATGGGTAGAGGGAAGACATAGGGTAAAAGACAAGAAGTAATAAATGCCTAAATGTTGATACATAATGAAATGAAAAATGTGAATTTACAAGTATAATGTATATGTAATGATATGTAAACATTTTGTACAGTATATGTAGTGAGATATAAATAAATAAACAAAAAAATTGTTGGACCAGGTTCAGTCAACAAAAGAGATCTTGCAGACATCAAAATAGCATTGTGTATTCAGAACAAATGATCTCAAAACTGTTTTTGGTTGTTTTTTTAAAAAAAGAATATGATAATTTCTAGCAAGGACTCTGTAGATGCAGAATAGGATCAGGGAACAAATTCACAACCATAAATCAAGAAAAATATGCTAGCAATTTACTGTAAGAGCTACATGAAAGCAAAACAACAATAAAGAAGTATTTACTAACACACTGAGCACGTTAACAGGATTTCTTAAAGACCAGCTCAATAATGAAACGCTTTAGCCCTTTGTCAATAACTTTAACAATTCTAGACTTAAATACATTTTTCTTCTCAATAAATTTTGTAAAAAGGTGGACCCCACCTCCACAGCCAAAGTAATGTGCTTTGCTAGCTAAATAAACACACCCATTTATTCTCAGTAATTTTAAAAGTGTTTCATGAAAAGCCTCATAGTAATCAGGATTATAAATAGTCTCAGAGGTGAGTATGAGATCATATTTTGCTAAAGGCTTACTGCCATTTAATAGAAGATTACTAAACTCTGACCATTCCCCTGAAAAGAATTTGCATTTAGAAAACAAGTCTTGGGTAAAGTCCTTCTTTGGACATTGTTTTAGAGAAAGCTCAGTATCTTCTTCAACATCATCACCCTGATTAGCACAGTTGACCAATACATTAGGCATGGTTAGTTCCTCAATCACAGTGCTGTTATAGTCCTGAAAATGGACCTGTTCAGCATTTCTTTTTAATGCAACTATTCCCAGCAACCCGGCCCCACAGCCAAGGTCCAAAACCAACTTGTGTGCAAACTGAATTTCAGCTTCTGACAAATAATCCATGAGATCAAAGGTGCACTCCCAGATCTTCAGACCTCCTTCATAGACACCTGTGATTAGGTCAGAATGAGAAGAAACACTTTGTGACACAATGTCTTCCCCAACAACATTTTCAGAGGGTGCTGTCTCCACCACAGAAATATTTGTATAGCGTGTACCTGGAAGGAGGGTCCCCACAACTTTGTTTTTAAACAATTTCTGGAAATTTTCAGGAGGATTATGTTCTTTGGCACATTTAAGGCACAAGCCTTCTTTAGGCATAATGCTGCTTTTACTCAAAAAGCTGTTGCCTGCCACATTAGCAGAGATTTCTGATAAATCCTCCTGGTTTAATATTGTTTCTTCTGAGGAAATCTCCTTACTCTTTCCTGTAGTGTTCTCTTGCTTGTCCAAAAAGATTAAAGACTCCTGTACCAATTCCTGCATTCCATTCCCAACTGCCTCTATTCCGTTTTCTGCTGCACTGTCAATAGAGAAGTTGAACTGAAATGCCATTTTCCTGTAAAGCAGGTAAAATCAAGAGTTTATATGCAAAGCATGAAGCGCGAAGACACTCCAAAGGCTGTGCTGTGCTGATAGGTAGTTTTCCGATCCAGTCTAGTCTTCACTGTGAGATCATCTACTATGAAGACTCCACTACTTCTTTGAATAAAAGCCTCCTTTAAAAAGAAAAAAGAAATGTAGTTGACAGAGTAAAGAGATAATAGCATTTTTTAAAAAAATATTGTTTTAGAATGTTTTTCCTTTGTTTTTATATTGTGTATCCTGTTTGGTGCACTGGGCTCTCCCAGTGAGGGAGGTCTAAATTAAATTAATAAACAATTACTATATATAAAAATACTACTACTGTTTTTCACAATGTTGAGATAGGATAGCTGAGGATGGTTAAAATGTACCCCAAAGTCCCCAACACTGCTCTTTGCTGCTCTCCCTCCAGCTGGGAGGAAATTTATGAAGCCCTGTTCAAAGCAAACAAACTATTATAGACAGAATATGTCCTTTTATTTTGTGGGGACAGGTTTGTCCAAACCAACTTCAATCCGATGCCTTTGCTTTCAGAAGTATTACGTTTCAGCTTATGCGGACAGCAAAGAGCAGTATTAAGTATGCTGTTAACCCATCTGGCATCAGTTTGTGACCACATTCTTCACCAGCATCTTTAAAACTATGTGAAAATACTCTTACATACACCCCAATTGCAAAAAAACCCCAAACCCCACAAACGTTTCTGTCTTCTGGTTTGTCTAGCTTGTTTGTTTCATCAGCGAGGTGGGAAAGAACTGTGAGCAACTCTTGGTTCCCCTAACACTCCAAGTCTGAGAAGGAATATGTTTGTGGGTTCCGTGACCGAGACTCTGCCCAAACCTTTCAAAGTTCAGCCAGATTCTTTGCACCCTCTCCAGGGGCTTCACACCATATCACCAAAGCCTTCTCTTGCAGGGCTGTGCTCCCAATCCTTTATCTGCAAGGCACCACCTTCTTAATTCCCAGATATGCCCCCTGCATTTCAGGGCTGGAGTCAACCTAGAATCCATTTTCCAATTTTTGAGATTCAGAGTTGATGAAGCTATTATTTCTTGCCAACTAAGGAGTGGTGCGAGTTCGAAAGTTGGGCCAGCTAAAACGCAGCACCTCTTGACTTTGAACTTAAGGGGGGGGTAGAGGGATGAGTGTAGCTCAGGGGTTTTAGCACAAGCTTTGCATGCAGAAGGTCTCAAGTTCAAATCTCAGACATCCCAAGGTGTTAATACTGCTAATACACCTTTGTCTGAAATCCAGGAAAGCCCCTGCAAAAGTTGAGATATAGAATAATACGCAAAGCGGATCAATTATCTTCTATATTTTGAAGAGCTTCCCTTTTTGGAGCAAATCCATACGTTAGAATTATTATTACGTGAATATGAAATAGACTATAGATACATGCCATGCATGTGGAAACACACTTACATTTATATCTCACACGTTGAAATGACCTGCAGTTTCCTAAGAGGAATAAAGCAGAGGAATAAATGAACAAGTTAATTTGGAATACGCCGGAAGTGTAAAAATAAATAAATTTCAGGAACTGCAGAAAGAGGAAGTCAATGGTCAAAATGTTAGGATTGTATTATTGAAATGTATATAACATTTATATCTCACATGTTGTAATGACCTGCAGTTTCCTAAGAGCATATATTTAAAGCGGAGGAAGAAATGAACAAGTTAATTTGGAGTGCGCCGGAAATGTAAAAATAAATAAATTTAAGGAACCGCAGAAAGAGGAGGAAGTCAAGGGTCGAAATGTTAGGACTGTAAAATTATTGAAATGCACATAACTGAAATTGATTTAATCTATATATGGATATAGATATATCTTACAGCCACAGCTGCACCTTCTTTAGGAAATGCATACAGTATTCCTCTTTCTAGCGAGCTCTTTTCTAGGAAAAGCTCTAAAGCGAGGGCGAGCAAGAGCAACAAGAAATAACCTTTTCTGGGGCGGCCACAGAAAGCAACCGAAAGGCAAGGACGTGAAACTGAGGCGTTTCAAGGTTTTGCGCTGTTCATTTCCCACCCCTTACAACCATTTTGGCAACTGGGTGGGCTTGCCAGTCGTCGTTCACAGCCTGGACCCAGCAAGTTGGACTTTTATTTTTAAAAAGGAAGAGGAAGACTCGCAGCGCCGGGAAAGCGGGCTTTGGGGCGAGGCCTGCCCCGCCGGAATTTCTCCCCTTAACTCCCAGGCGCCTCTTTCCCCGCCGGCCTTGCGTGGCTCCGCTACCGCCTCAGCTCCTCGCGCGCGCGGCCCTCTCCGTCGTCGTCCCCGCCTGCCTTCCTTCCTTCCTTCCTCGCGAGGCCTGACGGGATGCCGAGAAAGGGGCTGGGCCTCCGCTTCCAGGGCGCCGGATTCGAGCGGCGCCGTCGCTGCCGCCTGAGGGGAATCTTCGAAGCCGCCGCCGCCGCCTGAGGGGAATCCCAGGCCGCCGCCGCCGCCGCCATCATGTCGCAGGTGGAGCCCGAGACGCTGCCGCCGCCGCTGTCGGAGGTGGAGGGCCGGGCCGAGGAGCTGGGCCTCGGCCAGCTACCCACGGCCTTGCCCCGCCTCATTATATCCTTTCTTGGCGGGGAAGAAGCGGAGAGCGTGTCTCTCTCTGTGTGTGAAAGACCCCCCTCATCCCACCCACCATAATCTGTGGGGTCCTTCCATCCCTCCTCGTGGCCCGGGACTCCCGTGGGCATCTCCCTCATCCTTTTTTAATGTATTTAATGTATTTCTACCCCGCAGTCCCCCCACCCCGCGACTCAGGTTAATAATAATAATAATAATAATAATTTATTTATACCCCGCCCATCTGGCTGGGTTTCCCCAGCCGCTCTGGGCGGCTTCCAACAAAATATTAAAATATAATAGTCTGTTAAACATGAAAAGCTTCCTTAAATGGCTTGAAAATGTAAAGGGCGGAGGGGGGGTTGGAAGGCAATCACTTAAAAAAATAAATCCAAAATATGACGCCCAAGGAAAATGCTCAAGGTCGCTACCGGGCCCTTTTAAGACTCAGAAATAAGAACAGCTTGAAAACGTAAAGGGGGAGGGGGGGAAGGCAATCGCTTAAAAATAATAATTTAAAAAAAAATCCAAAATATGAAGTCCAAGGAAAATGCTCAAATTCACTACCCTGCCCTTTTAAGACTCAGGCTAGAAATAAGAACAGCTTATAAGCGTAGAGGGGGGAGGCAATCACTTAAAAATAGTAGTTTAAAAATCCAAGAATCTGACCCCAAGCAAAATGCTCAAGGTCACTACTGCACCCTTTCAGACCCAACATCATCCTGGAGCAGCTGTGTTTTGTTACCTTGTGTGTTTTTTTTAATACTACAAAGCTGCCATGTGTTTTTCGGGATGAAGGGCAATATCTCTCTCTCTCCATATCTATATAGCCAGATGGGTGGGGTATAAATACAGTGGTACCTCAGGTTACATATGCTTCAGGTTACATACGCATCAGGTTACAGACTCCGCTAACCCAGAAATATTACCTCGGGTTAAGAACTTTGCTTCAGGATGAGAACAGAAATCGTGCTCTGGTGGCACGGCAGCAGCAGGAGGCCCCATTAGCTAAAGTGGTGCTTCAGGTTAAGAACAGTTTCAGGTTAAGAACGGACCTCGGGAACAAATTAAGTACTTCACCTGAGGTACCACTGTAATAAATTATTTTTACGACTACTACTACTATATATCTATATCTAATCTATCTGTATAAATTTAGTTAATAACAGCAACAACTTTTGAGTATAGTGCCATTCTGTACAGTTGGAACGCAATAGGAAACAAAGCCATTGGCGTGCCGTGCGAATTCAACAAGTACCTTTGTTCCCTCGCAGCAGAGCGAAAGTTGATAAAAACTAGTTTTGAGCCAGCCTTTTATCTGCCAGCATAAGTATGCAGTTTTCCCTTAGTATTTGTACTCTATGTATCAGACATCTGATAGCTGGACCCAGCGTATCGGTAAGTAAATGCTGTGCAAACCAGTTAGATTTACTCAGTGCTTTTTTTCTGGGGGTACACATACCCCTAAACATTTTGTGAATCTTTGTACTTTTGTCCATTTACTGTATTTATTTTCCCCGATTTGCACTATAAAATGGTGATTTTCTTGAGTCAAAAAGAGTACCCCTAAACATTTGTTTTAGGGGGAAAAGCATTGGATTTACTTCCCTGTTTTGGTGGTGATTGTACAGGAAATGTCTCCTTCAGACATGAACATGGGATGCGGCTTAGTCACATCCACCTTGGTTGGCAAAATGCACTGAAATTGTGCCTCTTGGTTAGTTAGGAGTTTTGCCCCAATGAAGAAGCCCCACAATAGTTGCATGACACAGTTTTGTTATGTCATGCTGGGGAGCAGGGTAACGGACGTGGTTTGGCACCTACAACTTTTTTCCTAGTTTCCCACCACAATCCTTCTGCACCAGAAACCAGCAGTTATTGCTTGTAGGTGTTCGGAAACTGCTTGATACTTGGGTCCATCTTTGATACCTTTACTCTCTTTTTACAAGCTATAAAGATCTATGGCCATAGTTTCAGTTCTCACAATGTTGAGTATGTACAGACAAGGCTTTGTGCAAACAAATGCCGCAAAATAATGAGAATGGAGTATTATGGCAGTTGATGAAACTGTAGTGTAACTCTTGATTTTGTGGGGAATTAACGATTTGTTTTAATATTAAATAAATGTGTTTTTTTAATGGGTCTTTTTTAAAAAAAGAAAGAAAAGAGAATGACTTCCCCCTTTTAGTATTGTGGGTTTACTTTCTTAAATTTTTTCATTCCCAGGTGTCTTAAGGATCTTGACAGAGCAGTTTCTACCCCGCATCAATCTTTCTGAGCTGGAGCAAGCATTTTTCTCTAAAATATTACCAAAGGTATGACACTTTTGAACCAGCAAGTGTGTGTGTTAAGGACTGCTGAGTATTCACACTTGCGTACTGTTATTTATATGCTTGAGCTCGTCTTCCAGAAGCATGTCATTTTTTAAGATACATTTTTTATTTACATGTTTTAATGGAGCTTGGCTTGTGTCAGTGAGCAGTTTGCTTTGAAGAGCGGTGCTAACAGATAGTAGCTTTTACCACTGTTTTCCCCATTTTAGTTGAGAAAATGGGTCTATAAAATGGTTGATAAATGATTTGGCACTTAGGTAACAGTTTAGCATTGGCTTGTTTAAGTTAACAAAAAGGCCTCGATCTGCATTCTGAGTTTACCTTAGCTATCTATAAAAATAAACTTCAGAATCTGGGGTTTTCGTTAACTAATGAAGAAAAAGGGTATGATTGCCAGATCCAAAAATTGTTGCTCTTCTGGTTTGGACGAAATGTCAAAATAATTACAAAACCTCCATTCTATGGTTATTTATTTAGTCACTGCTCATAGGATGGTGTCATTATAAACATAATGGATTTTTCAATGCTTCTCTGGGTGGTTAGATTATGGAAGAAGAAGAATTAAGCAAGATTGAAAAGATGCTCAGTTATCTCAGAAGATTTGCAAGGCATTGTGAATTTGGATTTTTCCAGGATTGTCTGTTATCTCTTTAAATGGAGGTTCTGTATTTGACTGCCATGGCTAATCACACTGTACTCCCAGATTTTCTCTTGTACTTCTTAAAAGCCATCGAAGTTAATAATAACCATCCCAACATATGACAATGCTGTGCAATTTGGTTGCATTTAATATATAGAATACCAATACTGGGTTTTCTGTGGATATTATTTTAATTGAAATCTGCTTTTTTTCCTAACAGACCGTACAATTATTTGATCTTTTGATATATGAATTATCCCACCAAGCCACAAGTGTAACAAGCCACAATGTAGAGTTACGTGAAACATTAAGAAACCATCTGCAGGTAAATCTACTGGAATTAGAACTAACAACAGGAATGATACATATTATATATATATATATATATATATATATATATATATATATATATTCCACATTGTTGGCAGTATTTTGGGAGGGAGTATACCAGCATATGCATGGTAAATCATTTGAGGATTTGTGAGCATATGTTTGATTCTATTGTACAAAGGTTGAACATCTCTAACACTTCTGATTTGTGTTGAACTGTTGTTTATATAACCTCCATTGATGCTTACAGTAATATTTTTGTCATACAGACTTTGGTGCATGTGTTGGAAGCATTAACAGGGTCTGTGCGCCACATCTGTACTGTACAGGATGTTGTGCCCTTAGAACACGTCTACAGTCTTCCCTCTTCCATTCTTCATGTAATCAAGAACACATTTGTACACTGCAAGGTTGGTGAACTTCATAGTTAATACTATTAAATTTCTATACCGCTCTTCATCTGAAGATCACAGGGTGGTTTACAATATAAATAGTTCAATAAGTCTGCAATATTTGTAATTTAACTATCACACTCTGCCTAAACTTGGTTCAGAAAGATCTGAAAAATTGGGAAAAGGCAAATCATTCATTATTAGGAAGAATTAACATAATAAAAATGAACATACCTTCCCATCATCCTATTTCTATTACAAAACCTGCTTGTCTCTAGATTGAATTCAGTTATAAAAAAGAATGGCAAAAGGTAAGTTTATATGGAAAGACAAAAAACCCAAAGTAGCCAGAAAAGTTGGGAAAGTAGATAAAAATGAAGGGGGTTGGATATTTCTTAAATAAGTCAATATTTTGATGATGCAGGACAATTAGTATGGTTAATGCAATGGGACAAGCCTAAAGAGAGCTATAACAGGCCATCACAGGAATATTTTGTCAAAACCGATATTAGAAGCCTACTATCGGTAAGTGGAAGAGACAGAAATATTGTGTGTCTGACAAAACAGAATCATAGAATTGTAGAGGTGGAAAGGACCCTGAGGATCATGTAGTTCAACCCCAACAATACAGGAATATACAGCTGTCCTATATGGGGATCGAACCTGCAACCTTGACATTGTCAGCACCACACTATAACCAACTGAGTTAATAGATATTTGCTTGGAAACATGAGACCAATACAAACAGATTTTATCACATAAAACCTGACGATTGGCCTCTACGTTAGATGAGAGAAGATTTAATTTGAAAGGATAAGTAATTTTCAGTTTTGGAAAGATAAATTGGAGTCCTTTCAAGATTGAGACTGAACAAGTGAAGCCTAAATTAGAGCTTGATACTCCTGTTTCTAGTATCTGCAAATCTGAACCTTCTTAAATAGGCCTTTCCAATGCTTGCTTTTTCTCATTTGCTTGTTCTGTAAGTATGAAGTTGAGTCCTGTCACCTGTTTGAGCTTGGCAAGTCTGTGAACTAGATTTGGGGAGCTGCCTGCTTCCCAAAATGTTTGCCCTTCCTTCTGCCACCAGGTGGAGGAGCCATAACCTAACCTGCTAGCCTTGTGCTACCAGTGGAAAACAACCCTTTAGATAACTGCCAACTGTATTCTCACAGGGTATCACAAGGATATTAGAGATTTAGTAACTTGGTGCAAACAATTTTCCAGTGTTTGTTTCCATTGAAATCGATACTGAGAAAGCCTGAATACAGTTTTGTTCAATAAATACTATCCTGATATGCACTCATACTTTTTAAGGATAATTTTCAGAGGGGAGAACCTCTGGTGTTAGTATGCAGCAGCAAACCCCCCCCCCCCAAATGTATATTATGCCATAGTAATACATTTGTTTGTCTGTAAGGTGTCACAAGAAACTTTGTTGTTTTATCTGGGATAAATTCTGGAGTACATATTGTATAGCATGTAGTGAGATATTTTATTTAGTGCTTAGCAGCTATGGATAATATGAATAGAGAAATGATCTGGGTCATGAATTAGTTACTTCCACCACTGATCTATGCAATGTGTTCACTTTCTCTCCGTTTTTTTTATTTTGCTACAGAATAGTGAGTCGTTGTACAGTGAGTGTCTCCACTTGTTTTCGGATTTACTCCAGTCTCTGTTTAAGGAGGCCTATGCTTTGCAAAAGCAGTTTATGGAACTGCTTGAGATGGTATCTGTGAACTCGTGTGCTGCTGAAGACAGTATAGCGATTATAGCGTCAGGTGTGTATGCAAACCATGCACTTTAAAGCAGACCACTCTCCCAAATGTATAAACTCCTACCACATACCTATTCCCTTCTGTTAAAGTTGGTGTTCCTCATCAGTCCAGGATGATCTGATCTGCTTCTCAAATTCAGGGCTAAATGTGAGATAAAAGCAATTAAAAGTGCAGCTATCACTTAACTACTGTTGTGAACGTAGGGAAATGGTGGTCTTCGTTGTATTGAATGAGCTTCATTGTATTGAACGGTTCACTATATTATATGCTGAACTTACCTTGCATTTACTTTTTGTCCTTTGCTCTACAGCTGTTCATACTTTGCTGGAGATCTGTTCTGCTATTTCCAGCATAGATCATGCGCTTCATGCAAACACATGGAAGTTCATAATCAGGTATGTTTTTATTCTATTAATGTTATCTGTTATATAATCTAAATAGATTATATGAGCTCTGCATCAAATTGTGATATTGAAAAATCTGTATCTAATTCAGCTTGTTAGACATAATATGGGCTCAGATTTGGACTGACGGCAGCTCCTCCATTGTGAAGAATGCTCTGCGGAAATAGAACCCATAGATCAGAATGGATCAATATAATAAAAATGAATTTTTAGTTTCAAATTAGTTAAAAGGTACATGATTGCACTAAATGGCTATTAAGCCCCAAAATATCTCATTTACAGTCTACCCTGAGATCATGGCTTTAAAATCTGAGAAGGAATGAATCATTTAGATTTAAATACTTAATTAAAAAATACGACAGAGTTCTGGGCCATTGCATTGCTTAAATGTAGTGGTGAGATGGATGAGGGAAAACAAGCTAAGCTTGAATCATAGCAAGGTGGAGTCACCGTGGGCGAGTAGTTCCCATGTCTGAGAAATTAGTGAATTGCCTACCCTGGATGGGGTTGCACTCCCCCTGCAAAGGAGCAGGTTTGCAGTCAGGGGTTGTTTCTGGATCCAGCTCTGTCACTGGTGGCTCAGGTAGCCTGAGTGGCTGGAAGTGCCTCTTAACAACTACAATTGGTTCGACAGCTACAGCCATTCTTGGACTGGTAGTTCATGGTACTGGTGTGGGGCTTCCCTTGCACTTGAGCTGGAAGCTGCAGTTAGTACAGAATGCTGTAGCACGATTGCTGACAGGAGTGAGACCTGTCAGTATGTAACACCTGGGCTCAGATGTCTGCGCTGGTTGCTGGTTTGCTGCTGGGCCAAGTATATACAGGCATACCTCAGGTTGCGAATGCTGCGGGTTGCGCGTTTTCGGGTTATGGACCGCGCTGAACCTGGAAGTACCGGAACGGGTTACTTCCGGGTTTCGGTGCATGCGCAGAAGCGCAAAATGACGTCATGCGCAGAAGCGCCGAATTGCGTCACACATGTGCGCAGACACGGGTTGCGAATGCTGCGGGTTGCGAACGTGCCTCCCGCACGGATCACGTTCGCAACCTGAGGTATGACTGTAAAGCCCTTAACAACTTGGGACAAGTTTACCTGTGAAGATTGCATCTGTTTACCTGTGGAGGTGGCACTATAGCAGGTGCCACATGTTACCCATTCCCCATTTGTAACTTCTAACAGGAGTCCTTGCAGCAGAAGTAAGGCCCGCCACTGTGCCAGCCAGCCACAACCTCCTCCACAGCACTCCATTTCCATTTCTGATTTCCCCCCAACGGATTCTCAACATTCTTGGCTACTGATTTAGGGGTGGGGGGTGCTCCCTTTTGTTTCTCAGAGGTCCTGTGTTGACTCTGTTTCAGCTGGTACTCGCCATCTGAGTTAATGAGAGTGATTGGGGTGTGTGTGATGGTTCTAATAGCCTGTTGACTATTTGAGAATTGTCACAAGTTTGTCCCTTTCAGGCAAAGTCTCAAGCACAAATCTCTGATAAAGAACAGCTTGAAGCATTCCGATATACTTAGTGGCCTTTGTGAGGATATCCTGTTTTCTTTCCAGTCTTGTTTGCAGCTGGCTGAGCAGATGAAGCGGTCTGGAACAGAGGTGAATATGACTTTTAGGCATATTGACCTTGGGATGAAGTTGACTTCCATAGTATTGTGGTTAAAGTTGCAAGGACGTGAACTTCTGAGAGCTTTAGACAGGCCACAAGCATAGCTTATGTTTGGGCAGCACACAAACTATTTAGAACCATAGAATCCTAGCTTTCCTTTTGACCACTTTTTAGTAAATGGTGGGGATGGACAAAAACCTCTTCAGACATCTCTATCTCAGGAGCTAAGGAACACATGCTCCCCTAATGGTGAGCATCATGTAGACTGTCACTTTAATGGGCTACACACAACTTGTTGCTGTTCTCCAGTGCACTAATTTATTCTGAACTTGATGAGAAAATTTGATAGTCATAGCTGGGGGGATTCCTGGATGGAAGCCAATCGTGTCGAGTAAGCACTGGTATAGGATCTGTTGTGCAGGCCTGAAAATGGAAGGCGAGTAAAACATCAAAAAGCCAAATTAACCGTTTTTCAGAATTCCCAAGGACACGTCTCAATTTATGCATGCATAAAATAAATTTATTGGCAATTGTAGCATAGCTTCTGTGTATAAGCAGGTTTCCTCTCCTCTCTCTTGAGTATGCTGAACTTCCATTACAGTATGTGCATAGGCCAGGGAATGAAATAGCCAGAATGTTACCTCACAGGACTGGCCTTTCAGTGCTGGGGAGGGGGATAGGGCAGGGAGGTGAGGCATTTCTGGTATAAGTTTTCTAAAACACTGTTGAATTCTGTCCATTTGAGCTTTGATTTCTTCCCTTTCAAATAGGAGAGCATTGATTGCAAGTTGTTCCAAAGGACAGTCAAGCTGTGTAGATTCTTGGCCAATTCCCTGGTGCACTACACCAAGGTGAGAGATAGAAACTGGGTTCACTCTGATGCAAAATGTATGTTTGGCTTGAATATGCCTTAATTGCTTTGCTATAAAATATTCTGTCTAACTTGGAAAATGTGGTAGCATATATAAAAAGTAATTGGCAATATTCCATCCATATTCCTCAGAATCATTACTTGTCATGTAGGGCTTGATTTGTGCTGTCTATATACTACATTCGACATTGTTAACTACAGATTCTACTTAGCCATGAAGTTTGTGCTCAAAGCTGTGTCTAAATAAGGATACCTTTCCAGTTTGTCATATCTGTCCTCTTTGTATTGTACAAATTGCACAACTCTTCAAGTCTGCAGTTATAGAAGTCTCTTTCTAATAAGTCAGTGAACATCATCCTTTTTCACCCCTACATCCTTTGTGTCAGTTTGCAAATGCTTTGAGAAGAACATCACTTGACGTAGAGAATCACAAATGGTGTTTTCCCCAGAGGGAATTTAGATTTGCTACCCATTTTTTATTGTAGGTACTTGTACTATTCCCATATTTTGTAACAGCCCTTGTACCACGGACAAATAAAATGGTTCACTATTGATATCTGAACCAAATTTCCTTAGGGTGTGTTTCTCCCTTAGCGGCATCTGCTGGAAAAGCAGTTTGTTTTTGGTGTTTTGCAGAAAGTTTTAACATTTATCTGAAATGCTTTAGGAATTTACTTGGTTCTTAAATCACAAGTATTTGCTGTGATTGCATTGTCCATCTGTAGTTGTTAAGAGTTTACTTAAGTCAGCATAGTATTTTTGTGTTATATCCCATATTATGCTTCCTTTTTTCCTGAATAAATGTTTTGTTTTGTTTTGTTTAAGGTTATCTGATTTGCCCTGGGTTTAGTAACTTTAACCTGACCCACCCTACTTAGAAGAGTGGGTAAAATTTGATTCTAAAATATGTAGAACAGATTTTTAATACTGAATTGTAGCTTATACAGTACAGTAAGTCTTGTACTATTTTGTATTATCTTTTGAACAAAGTTCCACTCTGCTTAGAGGGACTTCCAAATGTGTAGACAGGATTGTAGCATTACAGCACATTCCTATACTCAAAAGTAATGTGTGTCTCAGATTGTAGCCTTTTATTTCAAGTAAGTTGTCTTGCTTAGTATCCTTTCCATGTGCATACAGAGCCAAAAATACATATATTATAGTATAAAATGCACGTGAGCTGCAGGAGTAAAAAATTGGGATTGTGCTCTACTTACCAGAATCGTATGTAAAGTGCAGCTGAAAAGTAAGTTTAAAAAATTGCAACATTAATTCCACAAAAGGTCTGAACCTACAATAAAGATACAGTGGTACCTCAGGTTAAGTACTTAATTCATTCCAGAGGTCCGTTCTTAACCTGAAACTGTTCTTAACCTGAAGCACCACTTTAGCTAATGGGGCCTCCTGCTGCCACTGCGCTGCTGGAGCCCGATTTCTGTACTTATCCTGAAGCAAAGTTATTAACCTGAAGCACTATTTCTGGGTTAGCGGAGTCTGTAAGCTGAAGCGTCTGTAACCTGAAGCGTATGTAACCCAAGGTACCACTGTACAGATAAAATTACTAAAATATAATAATATATTATCTCATCTATCCAGAATGATGCAAATTTTCAGCTTATAAAAGGCAGTGGAGATAAAGTTATATCAATGAATTTTAAAATTTAAAAGTATTTTAAATGGTTGGCTTTACAGGAGTTCACTCCTTTCCTGGCAGATTCCTGCTGTCAGCTACATCAGACATACCTTCAAATATACAGGTAAGTGGTACCCGATAATTAATTTGATTTTTATTATTTTTACATAATTATTATGTCATTAGTGTTTTCTGTGCCTGAGCTTGAAAGTAATTTGAAAGCTGCCTTCCTGGTACAGTGGTACCTCGCAAGACGAATGCCTCGCAAGACAAAAAACTCGCTAGACGAAAGGGTTTTTTGTTTTTTGAGCTGCTTCGCAAGACGATTTTCCCTATGGGCTTGCTTTGCAAGATGGAAACGTCTTGCAAGTTTGTTTCCTTTTTCTTAACACCGTTAATACAGTTGCGACTTGACTTCGAGGAGCAACTCATAGAACGCGGTGTGGTAGCCTTTTTTGAGGTTTTTAAAGACTTTGGTGATTTTTGAAGCTTTTCCAAAACTTTCCCAACACCGTGCTTCGCAAGACGAAAAAAATCGCAAGACAACAAAACTTGCGGAACGAATTAATTTTGTCTTGCGAGGCACCACTGTATGGCAGTTTGCAAACAGTGGGTTCCAAAATCATGACGACTGAAGACTGATGTCCTGGCATGTATCTGCAATAGCCCCATTTCCTTCTGTATCAAGGTATGTGCCACACAGTGTCATAGAATCGTAGTGTTGGAAGGGACCCAAGGGTCATCTAGTCCAACCCCCTGCAATTCAGGAATCTCAGCTAAAGCATCCATGATGGAGCCATCCAACCTCTGCTTAAAAACCTCCAAGGAAGGAGAGTCCACAGCCTCTTAAGGGATGCTGTTCCCACTGTTGAACAGCTCTTAAACGAATGTCACTGCAATACAATAAGAACATAATTAAAGTGTGTCTTGTCTTAGCTCCACAGAGTTTCTGTATTCTGTTGAACCTTAGAAATCCATGTTTAGTGCTCTTCAGAGTACAAGTGATACATGCAGCATTCTGTATTCTTTCCTGACAGCAAATTTCCTCCAAGTCTTTATGCTCCAGCGATTTCTAAGTCTCATCAGGATGAAATAGCGAGGGAATTCCTCGTGACGCTGGACTCTCTCCTACCCCACCTGCTCTCTTTTAGGCCTTTCCTAGAAGTGGCGTTAAGTAAAATTTCAGGTAAGCTTAAAGGCCCTGACATTCTCCTTGCAGCAGAGAACTGGGTGGAGGATTCTGATGGTCCCTGAAAGCCAGGTATTTCTTCCCCCTAGTCAGCTGCAAGAATAATAAAATTCCACAGTAGCAATACTATATACCAATTTGTTTTGAAAATGTACAATCAGACCAAAGTTACTTATTAGTAACTCAGCTTTTTTCAGGTCATAAACATTATTATCATCATTATATTCATTTCATGGCTTTAGAATATTCTTACCATTCTAATTTTTAAAGCTAATCTTTCTTTTTCATGTGTAGAATTTTGTATTCTTATTAAAGGCTTAATTTCTCTTAATAACATTTTTATTTGTTTAGTTATAAGCCATAAACTTTTTGCAGGTGTTCCATAATACTTGTTTGACACTTGTAAGAGATTGATCTTTTAGTGTGGCAGCACTCACTTCGGAACTCCCTGCCTGTTAACATCAGGCAGCTGTCTTCACTGTATTCTTCTTTGGCACCTGATGAAGACATTTTTGTTTAGGCAAACCTTTCCAAACATGTACAGTGTTCCATATGTTATAATTCATTTTAGCTTATTGTTGGTTTTCATTTGTTTTGAACAGTTGTTTTTAACTATTTTTACTGTTAATGTTATTGTTTAATGCTTTTTGCAAACTGCTTTGAGGGTTTTTCTTTACAATCAAGCAGTATATAAGCAATATATAAACGTTAAATAAATAAAATATATAAAAATTACAAAGACAAATGAGTTTTAAGTACATGGTTGTAGATTTCTAGATTTATTCAGACATGAGAGCTCCATATACATGTAAGCTTGCTTTAAAAGTTTTAACTTAAAAAATGTTTTTTCTTTAAAAATGACTACAGATCTCTCTCCTGAGCTGCATTTTCCACAATGTCGTCTTCTGCTTTCTGTAATGGACAAGTTGCCATCCCAGCCCCAAGATGTGCAGGCTCTTTGGAACACTGGAAGTCAGTTACCAGAGGAGATTCCCAGGTAATTCATTGCTGCTGTAGTAGATTTATATTAATGGATAAGCGTTTTTGTGATTAGCATACTTGATGTTGCCAAGCTGCATCCCCAGGTTGTTTTGAACACGTTTTATAAAAAGATGTGTTGTATTGAATGAAGGGTTTAGTGAAGGTTAGCATGATTAATTCTAAATATAATTTCCTCAGTAATGTCAGTTGACTGTACAAAGATTCTGGATAGCTCTTGCTAGATTTAAGATGCTTATTTCTGTTTCATTGATTGTAGACTTTTGCAGCATCTGGAAATCTAGCAGTCAGTAGCATAAAATCCACCCAGCACAATTTAGGGCTGCACTGTCTCTATATTATTCGTTTTAGTGATGCATGTTGGATTGCTGCAAAGAGTTAGCCTTAGGTAAGAGTAATCCTGATGTTCTCCATTTCTCTGCAGAGTCTCCTTGTTTGCAGCCCTCTTCCTCAGTCTTCAGCAGTGTCCTGGAGAGCTTTTTCTTCCTGTTAGTTTGCCAGCAGCAATGGGGACAGGGCAAGCTGAGGATCTTGTCACCTTTTACCACTATGTCTGTGTCCATTTGTGTGCCTTTATCACATCCCTCTCGGTTTCACACTTCCATCTACTGGTAAGGAGTATTGTACGACAAGCCCCATCTGCTGACTTAGAGCAGCTAGTGGATTTTAAAACCAAGCTTTCCAATATAAGTCATTCTTCTCCACTGCATATCTTACCATATAATAAAATCTTAAGATGACCTCAGTTTGTGTAGCTGCCACAGGCTAGCTACAGAGGATGAGTCCAGGGTGGTCCTCTCCTGCCTTTCCATCTTTGCTGCCACTGCCATGGAGTGGGGGAGAAAGTCTCCCTTTGTCCATTCATTCTTCCACGCCACTGCCTTAAGAGTCTCTACCCTGGAAATAAGAGAAAGAGGGATTTGTCCTCCCCACTTCTGGACGTTTGAGCTGTGCAAAGGGGTGTGTTGGTGGTTGCACAGGGAGTGGGAAGGGAATTTGTTGAGGGGCAAAGGAAGTGGGGAGGAGAGCTGGCGAGGGGCAAAGGCAACTATCTGTAAACAAACAAGAAACGTCCATAAAAATGGCGAATGTACTTTCTTTCCAAAATACGTTTTATCTTAAACAATTGTAAGCACAGCAACGTTATGATTGATTTTGACAGCTCGATGACTAAGCTCTTTAGCAACGAAACGTCTTGATTACCGGAACGATGTTCGAGCACTGAACCACTGGTATATTTTACTGCGTTTTCAGTTGTTTAAGATAAAACCTATTTTGGAAAGAAACTACTTTTGCCATTTTTATGGATGCTTATTGTTTATTTACAGATAGTTGCCTTTGTGGTCTTATCTTGAGACAGTGAGCAGGTATACCAGATGGAGCTGGTAGACAGCTGCCCTGGACACAGAACTGACCTTTGCCTCCATGGACAGATTTGTTTTTTCTTGTTAGTTGGTGGGATGACAATAAACAGCAGCCGTAACTTCTTTCTAAGCAACTTTTTGCCTGTGTATACGTGTATCTGTTTTCTTTCAGGAATGTTCCCTGCTGGAGACTGTACTTGGTTCTAACACAATCACTGCTCTCCTGGCTATGGACATTTGGTGCTTCCTTGCCCGGTAAGAAAAAAAAAATCCTGAAACACAGGCAGATGTAACTTAAACTGCTAAGTTTTCCCATATTTATTTATTTTTGATACCACTTTATATTTTTAATAAAAATCTCAAAGCGGTTTACAGCATATTAAATCAATAAAACAACAGCTGGGCAATGTTCCTCTGGCCTCATGAGGAGCCTCTTTAGTAGGGCTGGGTGAATCTGGGCCCCGCCCCCTAGGCCAGGTGGAAAGGGCCTTGCGGGGAACAGCCTGCACACTCACACCTTCAGCAAAAAGACAAGGAAAAAAATTATTAAATACAGATACCACTTTTTCTTCAAGAAAGGTAGCGTATCATAATTGGCATTTTTCTCTCCTCACAGTAAACTTGTTAAGCTGAAAGAGAATGACTTGCAAGAGCTATGCTAATAGGTGCCATGACTAAACAGGGATTTGAACGCAGGCCTTCCCAGTTCAAGATCAACACAGACTAGCACCCCAAGGAGAGATCCGCTGCCTCACTTGTTCATCTTGCTCTTTTTTCTTCTCCCAGGTATGGAAGAGCGGACCTGTGTGCTCATCATGCATTTATCATAGCATATTTGGTAAGCAGAACGTGGTTTGTTTATAAGCAGAGGTATTTGAGCAGAGCAGAAAATGTAACATAGCACAACACAACATGAAGTTTACATAGCTGCAGATTATTATCCCAGGCCTCTTGAAGACTATGGGAAAATCTGTTGTACAAAATGGGAAATGCTCAGTCCCTTCCTTGATTTCCTGATACGTTTGTATAATAAGGGCTAAATATTAGTTTTGTAATATAGCAGTATTTAATCAAATTTAGTTTGAATTTAGTCAAAATGCAGTGAATGATTATATAGTCTCTTTCTTTCTTTCTTTCTTTCTTTCTTTCTTTCTTTCTTTCTTTCTTTTGCCAGCTTGATTCTCTCATTATATATTTTGAAAAAACTCCACCCCATGTCTTCAGCCAAACATGGATTCCAAGGAAATTTACATACAAAATTAATTATCAACACTATTTTAAAATAAACAGTAGCACAATAAAATCTGGGAATCATGTCATATTCAATCATTTTAAACAAGCCTAAATATGTTCATGGTGCTTTCTTCAGGAGATACTTGGTTGTTCAGCTTTGCTTCATTTTGATAAGCATTTTTCTCTAGGTCTGATTACCTAGTGATGGGATTAATTTTTTATTTATTTTTACCTTCCTCTTTAGTTATGTGGCTTGGCTCATTTGTTTGAGCTATCTGGATGGTTTTAACAAACAAATGCTGGCCTTGATAGGCCACTCTAACATGGAGCCACTTTGATTAATTCCTAATTTTAGGCTTGTTAATTTGTGTGGTACAGGCTACTCTGTGAAGTAGTTTAGGAGGGACACACAGATGGGTGCAAATGGTATTTGGTTAATACAGACATCTGGCTGTGGTCAAGTGGAGAATCCGTAATGTTAAAAAGGAATATGTAAGTAATGTTGGACTTGCTGTTACCTAAAATAGGACCCAGTGTATGTGTAGCTATAGGTTCTGCATCAAAACTGTTCTCTTTTTTAAAAAAAACCAAACAAACATGCTTAGGTGTCGCTAGATTGTTAGAATTTTGTGAGCTAATAATTTCTTACCCTATTCAGATAAAAGCTTGTCCTGCAGAGCATTTTCAAGTTTCTCTGCTTGGAGTCCTGCTAAGGCGTCTGCTATTCCTGATGACTGCTGATCACCAGGCAAGTACTGCCAAAAATGTTATTTATTGATTCCATCTGTATCCCATCTTTCCTTCAAGGAACTCGAGGTGTTAAGCACTTTTTGTTTAGTGAGGGAAGAGGCATATGTTTCAACCTGCTTTGTTACAACCGTAACAAATTTTGAGGGCTCATTCAAATATTACACTCACCATAGGAAGGTGGTCAAAGATGCTTTTGTATGATTAGATTAGTCTTACCATCCAGAAAGTCTCCCTTTTAACTGCTGCACTGAATGTGCAGCCCAGGCATTGAGAGTTTCCCCTCATGGTAAAAGGCTTACACAGGCTTTAACAACCAGAGTATGTCACTGGTGTTCTGTGAAAACATTTTGGCTGCATCTAGGTGAGAGCCGTACTATCTGAATTTAGCCCAAAGGAATCATTGTCGTTTTGCAATTAAATCTCTCAGGAATCTCCCTCAGTACTAACCGAAGTTGTGCACCTGTCTGTCCTGTTATTAAAGTGTAGACATATTTTATGGGTATTGTTAAGGTTTTCTGTGAACCATCCAGAGACCTTGGGGTATAGGGCGGTATAAAAAATTCAATAAATAATAATAATGAGAAGAATAATTATCTGTCTTGGAAATAGAGTGGCTGAAGTCACATTCTGGGTTGGGGACTGGAGAAGCTGCTGGGATAGTTTCAGAGTCTAAGCCTTGCCTTTGAGAGGGAGAGATCCTTTCCTCTAGCCTGCCATCTTACTCTGTCATTGGACAGAAAGGATATTCTGTTTAGTTTATTATTTTCCTATATTTGTGAAACAGTTTATTGAACTCTCCTGTGCTCTTTCTAATGCTGCCTTCACCTCCTTGCAGGTGAGGTTCACCCAACAATTTCCTTCCAGAGAAACAGAGAGCCTGCTATTGTGGCAGCATCTTTCTCTCCAGGCCCTGATCCCTCCCCTCAGACAGCAAGTTGCTCATGAGCTCTTTGTGGCCGGATTTGCACAATGTCAAGAGTGGCTGAGCAGCAAAAGGTCTCTGGAGGAACTTCCACAGGTGGTAAGGAAAGGCTTGAATGAATTACTTGCGGATGAAAAACTCTGGTGAGGATTTTCTTGTCCTCTTTGGTTCTATTGTTCTGTTATGGGGATACCCACAAGTAAGCCCAGCTTTTTGCATCTTTGTACTAATAGTATGATTTCAGAGCGATAATAACTTTTTTGTACCGGGTCTATCAATAGTTTGCATGACTGGGATCAAGTGTTGGTGCAAAGGATGCAGGACTTCAGATTCCTGAGCTTCAGGACTTGCACTTTAAAGAGAGAATGCATGTATTTTTTTCTTGCCTTTGTAGTTGCAGACGGAAGCCTGAAAGTGGACATACTTTTTCTGTTAAAACAAGGGTGGTCAACCTGTGGCTCTCTAGATGTTGCTGGACTAAAGCTCCCACCACTGCAAACTACTGGTTAGCTGAGGTTGACAGGCACTTCTGGAGAGAGACAGGCTCTCCCTGTGCCTAAATGCTTGCAGATTGGGTGGTGTTTCTAGTGATCAGAGATACAACTAGAAGTGTTCCTAGCTCCTCACAGCTCTTTCTTCTCTGTTAGAACACTGCTCTCTCTGCCTTGTTGTCCTTGTGCCAAACTGCTGGGAAGTCACTAGAGGTGGGACAGCAAACAGCACTTGTTGGAATTGTTGGACAGTTCTTGGTAGTTCTACCTGCCACACAGGTGAGTAAATTCTCTCATTTCCCACTTCCTGCTGCTCCATCTAGTTCTCCCTTCTCCACAAGTCCAATAATATGTCAGAACAGAGATAGCTGCAGTTTTCCTGCTCTTGTGGGAGGGCTATAGGAGGAGAAAGCACAATTCCAGGAGAGAGAAGAAGACGACGACTCTGTTTTGTTACAGGAGCATGCAGTTGCCTCCCAGTATGCATCTTTCTTGCCATACAAATGTCAGCATTTAAGGTGTTGATGACTCTTCCTATAGTACTAGTTCCATTATGTGCCGAAAGAGGGAGGGGTGCTCTATTTTTGCCTTGTACCATATAGCCATAGAAACAGGCAAAGAAGTGTTTCCGCTTTAATATACAGGGTGAATTTAATAATACTTCAGTGCAATATGAATTGCAGTTAACACTTGCGAATCGTGTGAGACTTTTGCTCCCTACAATCACCAAACATTGTGCTTTACTCCCATCTGGCAAAGAACCCAAAAGGGAACTGGGCTAGGAGGCAGCAGTTTGTGGTAGTTTGTATCAGTCCTCATATTTAGATGAAGCTGACTTCACACTTTCCGTCTGTGAGAGGAGTGCACCTTCTGTCAGTTTGAGTTTGAGTAGATCAACAGCACTTACTTAGCCAGACAGCCTTTCATGCTGCTGTCACAGAGGCAGGGCATAGCAGAATCATTAAACATTCACTTTGCAGTGAATCTTTACCTAGTTACCTAGCTAGTCAGAAATGGAGGACACTGTGAGGCTATAATATGCTCTTTTTGTCCAATGAAGGTCTCCAGTCTGCCCTCTCTGCAGCAGACCTTTAGCTTGGTGCTTCGACTCATGCAGTTCTTCATCCAAATATTAGAGCCTCAACTGCTAATTCAGGTAAGAAATAGTATGATGAGCAGACTTGCCTTACATACACAGATGGATGTCTAGCAAGGTACTTTTCAAAGCTGATTGCTGCTAGTTATGACAGGTGTATCCATCATCATTTTTCTACCAGAGAGTGATCCTGGTAAGCATAAGCCACAGTAGTACAAGAATGTCATGATCCTAGTTCCTGGCTATTTAGAAACCCTAGCCCTCAAGAAGCAGAGCTACAGTTTGCTTCATAGGGTGTAATTATTAAGTTACAGCTGGTTTGCAACATATTCACAAAACAACCTCCTGCATCTTCACTCACAGATGTTCACAGTATGGTGAGAGGGAGGAAGTGTATTTTGCCCCCCTACACCATTTTAAGGGCCTTCAAACAGAGTGTATTATATTTGGAGGTGCACACCTCTTGCCCAGGCCAATGCAGCCACAACACCACTGGCCTGAATGTTCCCCACTTCCATCCTTTATTGGCCTGTCCATTGTCAAGGCTAGTCATGACTGCTAGCAACCAGAATTTGAAGTGTATTTGCCAATCTAGTTGAGGTTGAGCATACAGTCATACCTTGGGTTGCAGACGCTTCAGGTTGCGTGTTACTGGGTTGTGCACCGCACCAAACCTGGAAGTACCGGAACGGGTTACTTCCGGGTTTCGGCGCATGTGCAGAAGCGTCAAATTGCGATCCGTGCGTGCGCAGAAGCGGCGCTGTGGGTTGTGAACGTGCCTCCCGCACGGATCACGTTTGCAACCCGAGTGTCCACTGTATTTAGCAACTGTGCATACACAATGCTACTCTGGTGAGGGTTGACGGATTTGGGAGAAGCAAACAGTGCCAGGAGCCTTCAAGGTTGGTCAGTGGAATAGAATTTCCTGACCATACTTAAAATCACAAGCTTTCCTGTCCCACTACTACGCTGATTGTTTAATCTATTATTTCTGTTATGAAAGGTTGCTGTGCTTCTTTTGCATGCAGGCCGGGTTATGTGAATTGTCACTTAGTGTTCTTGCATTTTAAACCCCTCTAAACCTTACTCCACCAATGTGTGTATAGCTGCATCTGCATGCACTGGATGAAATGGACCAAAAGACCTTATATCATAATCTTCAAATGTGACAACACTATTCGTTGTTTTCTCTTCCTGCAGATACTTACACTGCAAACTTCCCTCCTTCAACTCAATCCCCCAGATCATGTTCTCACTGCAATCTTAGATTTTCTCTCTTCGATGGGGGTTCCCATTATTCCACCAGAATTCCAGGTAAATTCACTAGAACAAGATTCTGTTCTTTCATTAACCTTCTGCAGGTGTCGTTTACTGTTTTTCAGTAGTGGCCACTGAGTAGCTAAGGCCCAAAGTACATTAATCATAAGAATGTCAAGTTCCTATTACTTTTTAGAAACCCTGTGTGGGAAGCCTACATGGGTAATGAAAGGTACAGGGACTCCTTGATAGTTACCTAGGGGTAGAAAGATATCACTATTACATTATCCCTGGACTTGGTGGTGTTCTTGCCCCTGAGTTTATTTTAGCTTGGAAATGCATTTTTACTTGGAATTTTTCCATTTTAAAGACACGTTCTTGACTCTTGTTGAATGGCAGTGGGTCAGTGTGACAACAGGACTTGGCATATTGTGGGATGTTTTGCTGGTTTGATTTGGAGGGCTGGGCATGTCTATTTGTCGGCAGAGTCCAGACGAATAGTCAAAACCAACAAAAAATATTTTGGTATCTTAAGAGACTGACACATGTATTATGGCTTAAGTGATTGTCTTCTATCTGATGCATATGCTGTAACAAAATTGTCAGTCCGTAAATTGCTGCAAGATTATTTGATACGTTTTGTCAGTAAAGGCTGCCATGAGCTTTTCATTACTGTCATTCTCGGTGGGGTACCTGGGTTGTATTTAATTATGATTCCCAGGAAATTATGAGCGGAGGCGAATATATAGGCTTAAAATACAAATAACTGCATTATTCACTTGTTAGGAGCAGATTTTATCCAAGCTGTCCTACCTGTTTTCTTCTTTGCTGGCCAACAGTAGCTGGTTGATTCAACAGCACACCATAGAGGCATTCACACAGTTTGCACAGGTAAGATGAAGTCCAGCTGTGCGTTCCAGTTTGGGGGAGAAATGCACATGATCCCACTAAAATTAATCAGTTTTAAGCTCACTCTTAACACCCTTGGTGTTAAGGGCTGTAAAGGGCTCGATCCAGCTAAGTTTGGTTACAAGTAACTGAGCTCCTGGCATCCAGAGATTGGTGGAAAGAACTGCCAGTAGCACATTCCCTCCCCCAAGTTCTCATTTGCACTGCAGTTTTGAGAAATGAGAAGCAGCAAAAATCTCTTTGACTCTTACCATGTCCAAACTGCAGTGTAGCTAGAGAAGAGTCCACCACTCTTCCAAAACCTTGCCACATGGTTTCAGGAAGATGCACTGTCTTCTGGAGTTTGGAGAAAATGAGAAACAGTAGGACAACTTGAAAGAGAAAATGCAAGGATTTATTTCGTTCTCCTGAGGTTTGGTGAAGTTGTTAAAAAAAGAAAACAACCCCAAAAGAAACTCAAGTCTCTTCCACTTTCTATCCCTTTGCTTTCTCTATGTTCCAGGGCAAATTGAGAAACAACCCCTAGTAAGCAAAGCTAGGGTTTGCAGACCACTGCTTAACTTCCATCATATTCAGTGGTACTTAGATTAGATGCTTCTCTTCGGCTGGGTAATATAAGTAGTGTTAAGTCACAATGACATACTACAGATTAGTTTTTTCTGGATCTGTAGATGTTTGTGTTATTAAAGAGAACAGAAAAGCAACTGAAGAAGGAATTGCGTAAATTCTACTGATTGGTATTTTAGTTGTAATTTTAGCTCTGCTTTCATAAAATACTTTGGGTACAGGGAAAGACTAGGGCTTAGAATTTTAAAATAACAATAACATTAAATAAGATATAAGGGATGACAAACAGAGCAGAAAGATTTGGGAGTACCTGACTTTGAATAATAAACTGCCTGCTCTTCTGTTGTTAGTTTTAATAGTGCTGAACATTTCCAGTTGTTTAGCAGAAATTCCTCAGATCTGCTTGATTCTTGTGTTAACATAACCAGGCTGTGGTGAGCATGAACCCTCTTCTCCCCTATTTGTTTTTGTGTTGTTGTTTTTTGTATTAAGGAGACGAGCCATGAAGCCATACTTTCCCAGTGCCTTAATTCTGAAGAAATTAAAAGCAAAGTTGTTGGCTTCCTATCAAAGGTATTTCTTAAAATATAAAATGGATGGTATGCTACTGGTGCCAGATTTTCCATTTTGAAATTTAATGTTTCCTGAACAAATTATGCACATTGATAATACAGAGTTATACAGTGGACCTTTGGGTAACGTATGTTTCGGGTTGCGAACGCGGCAACCCCGGAAGTGTATACTTTCGGGTTTCACCACATACGCAGAAGTGATCTATCACGCCGCATGCGTGCGCAGAAGTGGCGCCTCACATTGCAGACTTTTTGGGGTACATACAGACCCCCGGAACAAATTAAGTTTGTATCCGGAGGGTCCACTGTATTGAGTTTACAACTAAACTGAGCTTTATCAAACCAAAATGCATAACCTGAAACGAAGATATGCAGACGACATACCTTGTACATGTACCAAAAGATGGACTTTTGTTTATTTACACAAGTAAGGACACTAAATCACTTCTTTGTGGTCTCTGCAGTCATACCTGTGCTTATTTATTTGAAATATTTAAATCACATCTTTCAGCCTAACGGGCCTTCTTTAAGGCAGCCAATAACCTCTAGCTAAGGGAAAACTGCACTTGTAATGTTAGAAACAGTTTTCTTCCAAACTTTTGACAGTAGTAGCAGCAGCAGCTATGAATTTAACTGCATAGTTAGGTTATTTCTGCTCTGGCTTTTCTCTCAGACCCGCCTTGTAGAGGAGACAGCAGAAGCAAGAGCAGAACGGATGAAAGAGGAAAATGTTCGTCTTAAGTGCCATTTGCGAGAAGCCACAGCAGACAGACAAAGGAGCCTGACCTTGGAGGTATGTTGCGGAATTGGGATTGCGTGTTGTAGTGATTTCTGCTATCATTTTCACAGTTCATGATGGTGCTAAATTTGTGCCAGCAAATTGAGGGCCAAGACACACATTTTTGTTGTTAACCTGAGCAAGTCTGTGCGCCCATGAGAATACATTTATCGTGTGAAATATATATAGGCAACAGTCATGTCACATGATCACAGCAGTTTATAGGAATTGCTGCTTTCTATCTGTATTTTTCCAGTTCATACAGTTTGCATGTGAATGTTTACCCAGAGGCAGTCACTAGTCAGGCAAACAAAAATACTAGTTTGGGGTCTATTAGTCCTCATTTTATATCCTGGTCTGTAGCTTTTAAGGGACGCGGGTGGCGCTGTGGGTTAAACCACAGAGCCTAGGACTTGCCGATCAGAAGTTCGGTGGTTTGAATCCCTGTGACGGGGTGAGCTCCTGTTGTTTGGTCCCTGTTCCTGCCCAAACCTAGCAGTTTGAAAGCATGTCAAAATGCAAGTAGATAAATAGGTACCGCTCCGGCAGGAAGGTAAATGGTGTTTCCGTGCGCTGCTCTGGTTCAGCTGCTCAGCGGCTTAGTCATACTGGCCACATGACCCGGAGGCTGTACGCCGGCTCTCTTGGCCAATAAAGTGAGATGAGCGCCGCAACACCAGAGTCGGTCACGACTGGATCTAATGGTCCCTTTACCTTTATGTAGCTTTTGCTATAAGGAAGAAAGCGATGGACTCCTGGCTGAAGGGGGAAGATAGCACCTGGTAATCATTCTCATCAGTTGAGGAAAGGCAGTCTGGAACATACGGGCTCCCAGTTCAGGCAGTCACACTTTATCCTGATATTAGGAAGTGAGGATAGTTTTGCATTGCAGTATATTCTTACCTTCAAGCCCTACTTTTTATTATTAAGATACAAACTGTAAACATTTCTAACCCTTGCAATTCATGGGGAGAAAGGGTCTTCAGTCTGTCCTACCCTCCCAGAACAGGGAAGGAATAGAATAAATAACTTCAGAATTTTTCTCTAACAATAGCTGCCTAACCATACCTGGTCTACTCTGACGTAAGTGCCACTGAGTTCAGTGTGGCTTGGATTGCAGGCTTTAAAGGGCCATGTTAGGCAGAGCCTTTTTTAGGCAGGGCAAGAGGTTTTAAGACCCATTCTTTTGACTATTGAACTTCAATCATATTATTGTAATTGAGTTTGTAAGTGATGGGGCCACAGCTGCTTTTATAGTCTTGCTGGTACACACAGGTCTTGCTCTACAGATGCTTGTTATACAAAACTTCACTTATCTGAATAGGAGGAATTAGTGCCCAAACCATGCTGTATATGCCACAGATTCAGATAGTCCAACAGCTGGATCTGTGTGTGGCACAGTAAACAAATAAGCAGGCTTAAACAAGCCTGCCTTGTTGCATTTTGCTGATCTGCAATAGCCGTTTTGCCGGAAACCATGATGAGAGGCAGGGGGAGAGACTGGACAAATAAGAGAGCATTTGTTTGCCTTTTGCAATGTTTCAGAGGGTTTTCCTGTCGTTTTGGAGTCAAAACTCCATGCTTGAAGACGCATTAGAAATTTTCCCATAGTAATCGTTGACACGTTATGCAAAAGCTTGTTTAATTACTGATTTCCAGGAATGCATTATATTCAGTAAACACAACCTGCATGTATATAGCCCATGCTGGGGCTTTTTGTTTGTTGGAATGACAAGTAACTAGTAGTCTGAGAGCTGCTTTTAAAAATAAACACTGTCATGAGAAGTGACCCCTCTTGGTATTGCAACCTTTTTCTTTGGAGTTTGCAATTACAGGCCAAGAAGATAGTCTACATACAATTTGAAAGTGGATCATTTTGATTTTTGACTAAGCAGCACTACTTAGCATGCTTAATGGCTATGAATCAAAATCTTGAAAATCAGATTCCATCTTGTGTGTTGAGCAGTGACTGGGTTACAGAAGTGTCGGATTATAAAACTGTTTTTCATTTATAGCCCTTCCCGAAAAGAACTTGCTACTCAGCCAGTGAAGAGCAATATAAGTCAGCAATCGACGCAGCCGGAAGGACACTGGAGGTTTTGAAAGCGCTACTACAAAAGGGCCCACCCCCTATTTGGTTCGCAAAGAAATTGGAAACTTTACAGATGACGCTGAACAGTTTGAAGAACAGCATAAGTTGATAGATTTAATGCAACCTTTTGAGTGACTTCAGTACTGCAGTCCTACTAGAGATTCACAGCTCAAAGCCAAAGAAACAAAGTGCAGCCCAGTGGTAATTTTAGAGTAAGCATGTTGTATAGTCGCTTTGTAAAGTTTACAGGGTCTTATTGGTTCGAAGAGTGAAGATACTGAGCGAAGCTTAAAGTAAGTTATTGAACACAGAATTAAAATACATTTTTTCTATGCCATTTCCTTCGACTTCAGCCTGCCTCCTTTGCTTACCAAGAGTATTACAAACATGTAATGGAAACTAAACTGTGAGAACGAAAATTTTTGCTGTGATGCTATTCTCCCCTAATTTAAGTTCACAGCTTCTCACACTGTACAAAAACATAGCTTTGTAAAAGACAGCCTAGAATTTCTTGCACCTCTACCTGTTGAATCAATTCTCTTAAGAAATAGATTACACAAACATTTAACCAGTGAATTGTCCATTTATTTTTCCTAGTTTTCCATAAACAGTAACGGTTGGTGGAAAAAAATCAGACCACACAGCCTATCCCTCTTTCCAAGCGCACAGGGCCGGATGCATGAGTTGTCATGTGGCCTAAATGCTGCAGGTGAAAAAGGCAAGCACCTGAACGGACTCTGAAGATACCTTTGAGGCCTTGGTGCCTGTGGAGGGGCAAGACTTGTCCAGGGCATTGCAGAAGCAGCTATCTAACTCAAAACATAGCTCAAGGTCTTCTATCTGTCACCAGTTGGCATCATCTTCCCAGTTCAGCTCATCTTGTTCCCAGCCAACATCCACCTAGAATAAAGATAAAATGCATTAATCATACCAACAAGCTCTGTAATAAACAAATGTTGCACAGCTAAGCTGCTAAGAGCCATTAGTTTTTATTGGCTATCAGTGTTGATACACTTTACGTAGAAGAGTAGTACAAAAGGGATGATGAAGGCAGAGACTCCATCCCTCTAAAGTCCTGGTGGCCAACACAGTGTGGCTCACAAACCTCACGATTTCTTTTTTCTAGCATTACTTTGAGAAAGACCATGGGCTGTATCCTAAACCAGCTATAATATTTTATTTTTTAAAACTGATACAACATGTTGAACAAAGAGAGGTATCCAAGTTCCAAATTCTCACCTCTGTAATTTCAGCTGCTGCAAATTTAGAAGAGAACTGTGCATCGCATTCGCTGCCGGAGACTGTGTTAAAGTTGTTCTGAATGACAGGATGGGCCCCCAGCTCTGGCAGAATCAGTAGTGCTGACGGAGGTTTGATGTCCGGGACCATGTCAGCAAACCAGTCCAGCTCTGTGTCATGCAACTCTTTCCTCTTCACCTGGATCATATACTCCTCCCCTAAACCACATTCCAACTTGGGAGGCTTCTCTAAAAGCGCCGCTTTGGGCAAACCGATTTCGTCTTGCTGGTGGCCCCTGTGGCCATAGCTGCCACTATTGATGCTGGGTCCCGGAGATGGATTACATGTGAGAGTTCTGAATTCTTTTCTGAGCTCAAACATCGTTGGAGGCAGCTGCAGCCCTGCGACATCATTTAACCCTACAGCAGTGAGGCTGTTTCCTGAGGAGAGTTTAAAGTTAGGGCTGTCAGCTGCACCGTCCCAAGATTTGTTGTCTTCATCGTGACCAGCAAGACAGGGACTGCTGTTCACACAAAACTCTTTCCTTTGGCTCTCTACACTTTTGTCAGCCTCTGGCTTTTCACCCTCGCTCCAGTCTGGCCATTCCTCTCCTATTTTCTCAACTGCATGCTGATAATTTCCACCATTCCTCAATATATTTAGTCCACCAGGGACACTGCTTAAGTGCAGAGAGTCTTGTTCTCCTGTGAAAGACACAGAGCATATGTCTGTTTTGAGGAGGGATGCATTATAAAAGTTTAAACACACCAACATACATGACTGCTTGCACTGAAGAGACATAAAAGGTAATCAAGCTGAAGAAAAGTCCACCAGATCAGAACATATTAACCTAGCCTGACATCTCTTGCGGCTATCAACCTAACCAGTTAAAAATAGTAAGTTCAATGATATGAAAGGTCTGCTGTCTAAAGTGGCTAAGAGCTATAAATGCTAGATTTTTTCCCATAGAGCAGAAGGCATTGCAGAATCTTCAGAGCCTTTTTAGAAGCAAGGACTGTGGCAATGAAAAAGAAAAAGCCAGGATTACCTTCCCTTAAGGCGACATGAGAATCTTGCCTTGGCACATGGTTCCTGCTGCTGAAGGGAAGATTCCCAGAGCTGGGGCACTTGAGAAACATGGAGTTATTCTTCTGCAGGGGCTGATAAATAAGCCTTCTCTGGCAACTTACTACATGATTAGGAGAGTCTACAAGGATACACAAACCAAAAAAATATGGAAAAATCATCTATCAACAATATTTGCTTTTCAAAACTTCCACTTATTCATACGCAAAGGTATAATTCTAAGCAGTTTAAAGTATAGCTAAATTTATTTTGAATTCTGGCATACTTTAATGAAGCCAACCAAGCAGAATACATTTAGTATTTGTACTTAACTGGAATTTATTTTTGTCAGTTGCACTTTTTAGCATACCAAGCACATTTGATCACTCTGCCCTGATTTCCCACAAACAGGTCTTGGGGAAAGACAGGGATTTCTCTCACTTGTTAGGCTATGAAGACAGGAAGAAACAGCAGAGTCTGTTGTGCTTTTTTTTTTAAAAAAAGAAACTTCAAACACTGCAAGCCTAGCTGGGGGAGCAGGAGCAGATTTTATTTCCTTTGTGTTGTAGTTTGGGAGAAGATATATAACAGCATGGGAGACTCCTGCTGTCACTTACATTCTCCAAACCAACGGAAGTGAGAGCTGGAAAGGGATGAAAGCTGTTAATCATTGTTGCCAGAGGTCCATGTGCCCTTGGTGGAATGAAAGATACCTAAGCTGGGCTTTTAGGCACTGTGGTGTTGTCATAAACCCATTAAAAACTGTTGTGACAACACAAACATACATTTAGGAAGGTAGGCACCAAACCTTTTGCATAAACTTGAACACCAGACTCAAACAGCTTGATTAGAGAAAGGAGGATCATCTGCAGAGACAATTTCAAGATTCTGGAAGACTTTAAATGAGAGTTTGTTCCCCCTCCACCCAAGAGAGATTCTACCCACGCATACTTAAATTTTAAGTAAAGGTTCCATTTAAAATAGATTCAGGAGCTCGGGGGGGGGGGGGGATGAGAGGACGACCGGCTGCTCAGCATGCACACAAAATATGAACAGCTCAGCCTATTACAATTAGCGTGTAATATTTTTTATTAGGCTTGTTCCATCAATGGGAGCAATGACCTCTACTAACCACTAGTCACCCAGTGCACTTTTGACTCACATGCCACAAGTAAATTTTCTGTTTAGAACTGGTTGCCTAAACATCCCAACCCTGAAGAGAAAATTAGTGGGTTCAGCTGAGAGCTAACCATAAGCCCTGGTGCTTTCCTAATCAGAGCATCAATGCCGTGTCTTTCAGAAAATAGTTCACTAATTATAGTCTGTTACTCCAGTTACAATCTCTGTTCTGGTTTGAGGAGAAGAGCAGACCTATGTGCAGCTCAACTGATTTGTAGGAGAGCTTGAAACCTACTTACCTTCTGGGGAAAGGTCTGTGGTTTTCGTGAAGCTTGGAGCTGAGCTTTTGAAGATCTTTGTCCTGTCACCTCCCACAACAACTTCTGGTCCGAGCAGTGAAACCAGCACCCCTAAGCTTTGCAGCGTTGCAGCCACCAGAGAGTCACTGGTATCTCGCAGCCCCAGTAAAACCTAGAATAAGGACAGGCTATCAAGCACAAGCCCGTTCAACTGGGGAACCGTTTGCTGCAGGTTCTTAATCCTCTTGACAGCCCAACCATCTGGGGGGAGGTCCCTGGGACATGCCTCATTCCTCTCGCCAACTTCCTTCTCAAACCAATGTGGGTAAGTGAGCAAGCCCACCTCCCTTCAACACCCTGGCTTCTTCACAAAACCAGTAATAATGAGACACTAGATAGCATCTGCTTATGGTGAATTCTAACCCTGAACACAGACATAAGGGTTTGGAGAAGGAGGTTCAGTGTGAGTCAACATGCCAATAAGCAGGGTTTGTCGTCTAAACGGGAAATAGGGCTATGATTGCATAGCATGGGCTGTACGACAGGGATGGGAAATCTGTGTGATTCGAATTCAGTTCCCAGCATGGCCAATAAACAGGGATGGAGGCCCCCGTTTCCTGGCCCTGCTTTAGGAGAAGGGCACATTTGTTTCTGCACAGGGAGACAGTAGCAAAGCTAAAGGAGGGGGGAGATAGGACACGTGGATATAATTTATAGATATGGGCAATAAGATTGACTTGTTCCAGTGCCAGACAGTCTTTATTTTGTCGGGAACCCCACCACAGAAACAAGTGCTTTCTTGATACGTTAGTCCAGATTCCTGCCTTGTCATATTCACCTGTGGCAATATTACATTTTTCAGCTCTTTCTGAGTGAACAGCTCTGCATAGGCATCTAGGTGAGACAGCAATACCATCCGAACGTGCTCTTCATGCACCTCAAACAGTTTCAGCAGCACGGGGCTGACGTGCGCCTGGAACACGGCCGGAGACAGCAGGCCATTGATTTGGCTCTCGCCCACTTTATCTAAAGCAAAAAGGGTTGGAAGGGTCAACAGGGTGTCTGCTGAAGTTGGCGATTTGAAACCGCCAGCACAGACAGGAAAATGTCTCTACTACCACAAAGCCTTCAATATTACAGTAATGTGTGGCAGTTTTTCTCTAGGGATGCTACAGCTGGGAGCAGAAGCTTAGCGCTTCCATCAGCCAGAGAAGCAGCAGCTGCAGGGAATGCTTCTTCTCTGCCCCCAAACTCCCCAGTTGGCCTGGGATTGTAAAACGGAAGAAAAGCATGCTCGGGTCTCATAAATAATAATAATAATAATTATTATTATTATTATTATTTATACCCCGCCCATCTGGCTGGGCCTCCCCAGCCACTCTGGGCGGCTTCCATAGAAACCTAAAATATCACACGTTAAAAACTTCCCTGAACAGGGCTGCCTTAAGATGTCTTCTGAATGTCAGGTAGTTGTTTATCGCTTTGACATCTGCTGGAAGGGCGTTCCACAGGGCGGGCGCCACTACCGAGAAGGCCCTCTGCCTGGTTCCCTGTAGCTTTGCTTCTTGCAATGAGGGAACCGCCAGAAGGCCCTCGGCACTGGACCTCAGTGTCCGGGCAGAACGATGGGGGTGGAGACGCTCCTTCAGATATACAGGATCGAGGCCGTTTAGGGCTTTAAAGGTCAGCACCAACACTTTGAATTGTGCTCGGAAACGTACTGGGAGCCAATGTAGGTCTTTCAAGACCGGTGTTATATGGTCTCGGCGGCCGCCCCCAGTCACCAGTCTAGCTGCCGCATTCTGGATTAGTTGTAGTTTCCGAGTCACCTTCAAAGGTAGCCCCATGTAGAGTGCATTGCAGTAGTCCAAGCGGGAGATAACCAGAGCATGCACCACTCTGGCGAGACAGTCCGCAGGCATTGCACTAAGGGCTGCTGGTTGTATGGCTCTGCGAGAGTTACAGCAAGCCACCTTGAGAATCATGGTCTAAAGATGGTACACAAATAAATGACGAAGCAGCGGCAAGTCCAATGCATTGACCTATTGACTCTTCTCGTGGTTGTAGGTGGGCAGGCACTATAGGAAGAGCAGTCTGGAGTCTTAAGGGAAAAGGAACAGCATCAGTGGGTAAGCAGCAGAGTACCTTTCTTCTGCCTGGTACGTTTAGGCCAGAGGACAAGCTAATCCCTACAAGGGAGTTAGAGCATCAAGCGAGAAGGAGAGGCAGCAACAGGGAAGAACGGCCGTATTGTGGGCAGGTATATAATGGTACAGCTGTCCCCTTCAGCACAGCTTGAAATTCTCCATGCACTCACACTTCTAATGCGTTGCGCTTAATCTGAAGAGATAATGAAAATTTCACCTTTTCTTGGACCAAGGAGATGGGGAAGGAAGCTCTTGACAGCTACTGGCTCAGCAAACACAAGCTGATTGAGCAACAGAGGTACCAACCGCAAAGCGATCAACTTTTCTGACAAGCCAGCCACTCTGTCCAGCAGGAATCTGTGTTGAGAGAGAAATTGCTCAGCCTTTGCCATTATTGCCTCGCAATGCAATTGCTGCACCAATTTCCTCCCCTCTCCTTTCTCGCTCGCCCATTTACAACCCAAACACTGGCGGAGTGTATCAGTTGTATAAATGCCCAGTGACTTGGGAGCCCAGGGCTATGGCAATAGAGCAGTGGACACAATCCTTTCGGGAATGGCAAATCTATTTCTGGTATTTCCAGATCCAAGACACACCTGGGAGCAAGTCCCACTGAATGCAGTAAAGATTTATTCATTTGAAGAGATAATTTTCATTTTTTGTTACACTGAAGCTTGTATCACAGTGTTATTTGGTCACATGTATAGCGGCTAGATGTTCTGATTTATCTGCATTTTTGAAGACTGCTTAAGTCTCACCCATGCTGGCCCCGAGTGATTTCTCCAGAAGGAATGGAGCCCTTGAAAGCAAAAGATTTCTATGCCCTTGCTGTGTATGCCTATACATTAGAGTACTGGTGTGCTTGAAGTGAGGAACGTCAAGTGTCTCTAAACATCTACAGAGTGCAATTCTTTCAGTCCTACATATCATAGCTCAGTCCTACACAATTATTTGCATGATCAGGCCACCATTCAGACCAGTAGCGCTCAACCAGCTAACTTCCCCAACCCTATGTATAATGGCTTTGGTTATTTTTACTTTTAAAATGTAGTATCCTTTTTTTTTTGCAAGAAAATGGTGCTTATTGTTTATGTTGAAAATATGGAATGGGCATGGGGGAGAGAAATGTTCACTGCATGCTTCACAAATGAACTAATACCCAACTGTCTAAAGTGGGGGCTCTGTTGCCACTAAGTTACGGTCCTAAAATGAACTAGTTGAGACCGTGATTCTCATTTGCACCCTCATATACATGAGAACTAGTAATTAGACAGGACGTCACTTGCAGTCATTGCAAAAGGAAGATATTTTTCTGCAACGTGCCACTGTTCTGACAGACACAAAACAACGTTTTTCAAGAATGTTACCACAGCTTTTTTGGAGTTAAAAGGACCCCTTTTCAATCTGTGCATTAAAACCAAATCGCACAGTTGATGCCCACAGTTACCAGAGAAAATACTAATAAAAATACTATAGAAAAGAAGACTTTTTATAAATAGTGGCAAGCTAACCTAAGTAATCAATTAGCTACTGACATTTTTCACTTACTTGAAAAATTCAGTTTTCTCCTCTTCCGTTTTCAGTGTTAGACTGTTCAGAAAACTCACAACTTCCAGAAAATCATTTCTGATAATGAAAAAAAAGTCACTATGCATCAAGAATTGAGAAGCAGAAGCAAAAGGAATTTGGTATCCACAAAGGAACAGAAACGCTTAAGTAAAGTAAAGTAGAGATAGAGAAAGTACGGTAAGCTTTTCCCTCTCATTTCATGCTGCTGGAAATCAAGGGGTTATCTAATGAAACTGAATGCTGGAAGAATGAGGAAAGACAAAAGTACTTATTTACATGGTGGTATGAGATCACTGGCGCCAGGTATAGGGGGTGCTAGGGGCTCCAGCCCCCTCAATATTTAGAATCAGGAGGTCCAGCCCCCCCAATATTGAGGGGGGCGACATCCCCGTCACTGCTAGGCACCCCAGCCCACACCCAGAAGCCGAAAGGGGGATGGGATGAGCAAGGGCGAGCAGAAGAGCCCAGCACTGCGCTCCTCCTCCTCCCCGCAGCATGTCCCACTAGAGCGGATGCGTCATGTGATGCACCCCCCCCATGTAACTGGTGAGTTGGCGCCTCTGTATGGGATTCACTTCTACATGATGTAGCGATTGATGGCCCCCACCATCCCTGACGGCTTTAAAAGGGGGTGAGACATTCATGGAGGAGCAGCCGATTACTGCAATGCGCTCTACGTGGGGCTACCTTTGAAGGTGACCCAGAAACTACAACTAATCCAGAATGCGGCAGCTAGACTGGTGACTGGGAGCGGCCGCCAAGACCATAGAACACCGGTCTTGAAAGAACTACACTGGCTCCCAGTACGTTTCCGAGCACAATTCAAAGTGTTGGCGTTGAGCTTTAAAGCCCTAAATGGCCTCGGCCCAGTATACCTGAAGGAGCATCTCCACCCCCATCGTTCTGCCCGGACGCTGAGGTCCAGCTCTGAGGGCCTTCTGGCGGTTCCCTCGCTGTAAGAAGCCAAGTTACAGGAAACCGAAGGCAGAGGGCCTTCTCGGTAGTGGCACCCACCCTGTGGAACACCCTCCACCAGATGTCAAAGAGAACAACAACTACCAAACTTTTAGAAGACATCTAAAGGCAGCCCTGTTTAGGGAAGCTTTTAATGTTTAATAGGTTATTGTATTTTAGTGTTTTGTTGGAAGCCGCCCAGAGTGGCTGGGGAAACTCAGCCAGATTGGGGGGGGGGGTATAAATAACAAAATTATTATTATTATTATTATTAAAGGCTACTAGTCATGATGCCTACATTGTACTTCCACTGACAGTATACCTCTGAATACGCTAATCTAGAAGGGTGTATGGCTTGCTCTAGCAGGGCTTTTCTTACAGTCTTAGTAGTCGTATCTTGGTTGTCAAATGCCTTGGTACTCGGACATTTTGACTCCCGAACACTGCAAACCTGGAAGTGAGTGTCCCGGTTTGCAAACGTTTTTCGGAAGCCGAACGTCCGACGCAGCTTCTGCTTGAGTGCAGGAAGCTCCTGCAGCCAATCAGAAGCGCCGCCTTGTTTTTCGAACCATTCCGGGAGTTGAATGGACTCCCAGAATGGATTAAGTTTGACAGCCAAGGTACCACTGTAGAATTAAAATTTGGGGTTGTATCCAACGATGTTCTGCTCAGCACAATGGACCTATGTTAGTCATGCCCATTAACTTCAACTGGGTCTAGTGAAAGTACAACCAACAGTGGATACAACTCTTTCAACTTTAGAAGGAAATTATAGGACCTGGCTTTAGCCTACTTAAGTCTTCAGATGAATACTTCAACTTCAGTATGTATATTAACTGACAGAACTGAATTACGCAACAATTCAAATAAGAGGATACCGTGACATTTCTCTTAATCATAACTTCTTGCAATTATGGTAGGGAAGTATATTTTGTTTACCAGAGGCCAGAATTTAGGCAATTTCGACCACTGGGTGTGAGAAATGTCGGCAAATGTAACCTAGAAAATCGGGATTTCTAAGAGCATCATTTCCCATCACACCACTAAAATTGGACTGATTGTACTTGTAGCATATGATGGTCACTTTAATCCCCCGCTCCTAATCCATAATTAAATTCTTTTAAGGAGTACGCTTGTTACATATCCCTAGTTGTATGGCTCCTTTCACCCACACTCAAGAAACCTCTGATGATGACCTCTGAATTTCATACTTAGGTAAACTTTTAAGGCATCGGCACACATTCTAAGAGTATGCTCACCTGAAGAATTCATGCAGCAATAAACTGGACAGTGGAGAGCGGCCCATAAAATCTGGGTTTAGCAAAGAAGACCGTAAGGTGTGGTGAAAGCTGGATATAACGTCCTCTGAAACTGAAAGACAGTTTAGCAATCAAATCTATGTTAGAAACTCAGAGCAAAAAGACAGGCTCAAGCAATAGTGGGGGCAATTAAGGTTCATTCTTCTGCACCATAAACTTAAGAACAACACTTTCAGCAACAGGAATGACTTTTCCTGCAGTTTAAGAATGCAGAAAACAAGGTTTGCCCAGATGGCAATGCAAGCACTAAGTACCAAGAAATATCCTTCCAAACCAACACAAGGAGAGAACACCCTTAAAAATAATATTAGCTTCTACTTTAGGACTTAGTCCTACTTGATAAATTACAGGAAAGTACTCTTAAGGAAGTCATTCCTCGTGCCATTTAGCTGGTGGAGCTTCCACAGGTATGTGGCATGAATGCCTGGGAATATTTAGGGCAGATTCTCTTCCACCAAGTGGGCCAATAATATAAAATATGCCAGAATGACCTCAATGCAGATTACCATGCTATTTATCTAAACCCTTAGCTAATATATGCAGGTGGGACAATTAAGCCATTGCTATGTTTGCACTGGGACGCGGGTGGTGCTGTGGGTTAAACCACAGAGCCTAGGTCTTGCCGATCAGGTCAGCGGTTCTAATCCCTGCAACGGGGTGAGCTCCCGTTGCTCGGTCCCTGCTCCTGCCAACCTAGCAGTTCAAAAGCACGTCAAAGTGCAAGTAGATAAATAGCTGCCGCTCCAGCGGGAAGGAAAACGGTGTTTCTGTGCGCTGCTCTGGTTTGCCAGAAGCGGCTTAGTAATGTTGGCCACATGACGTGGAAGCTGTACGCTGGCTCCCTCAGCCTATAAAACGAGATGAGCGCCGCAACCCCAGAGTCGGTCACAACTGGACCTAATGGTCAGGGGTCCCTTTACCTTTACATTCTGCATATACTCTAGAGCGCTGAGAAACCATTTTAACTAGCAAACCACTGTTAGCTACTGCACAGCGCTTCCATTTAGGACAGCTGTTGCTCAGACTCAATACAGTAGAATCTCTCATGGAGGAACCCTGTGTATTAAAGTCCCTTAATACCATTCGTTACAATCTTTAAGAGGCGACATGTTGTCCCTGAAATTGCAAACAAAACCATCACACCACTTAAGAAGTCATTTCCTACGTGGGGTATATTTGGAACCAGGACATTTGTTCAACAACACCACCAAATTCTGAACTATCGGGGAAATAATAGACAACTCAATTCCTCCGGAGTGAATCTTCTGCTAAGGCAACAATTTTAACTGCAAGGACATATTTTCCATACCAAAAGCAGCTCCTTAGAAGAGTCAGTCACAAAGGGAACTTGGGATTACTTATTTGCAATGATGCCATTTCAATTCCAAGAACTCTTACCCTCTTCATTTAAAAAAGTCAGCAGGTTTTCAACCATTACACCAAATGAGTAGGCATCACGGGAGTGCCCTTGGCCGTCAGGAAGAAGTTGGAAGTCGTCAGACTAGAGTAATAGAAAGAGGATCACACAGCAGAAACTGGCTTAGTCCCTTTGAAAATACTTCCCACCTCTGACTCCAGACAGTTTGTACAAAATTTATTTTATAGCCCTGCCTTTCCATTAAAGTGTTCAACGCAAATTACAAAAATTAAGAACAATACCATAACAAAATACAAAAACAATGGAAAACAACAGACCATATAGTAGCAAGGAGTCTAAAAAACACAAAAGCTTAAAAGTCTAGTCACAAATTGGGGGGAAAAACAGGATACTGAATTTTAAATACACTTTACATGTTAAAATACGACGAAAAGGCAAGCAGGGATTTTGTGGAGCCAAATTTGGACTCTGGTTAAAAATGTTTACAGACAGAAAATCCAGAGACAACGTTCTTGAGGGTTTCCCCACGCAATTCGAAAATAGAAATTTAACAGCAACTTCATCTTAGCATCTTTTAAAGTATCTTCCCCACAGAAGATAACGTTAAGTTAGCTGCTTATTGGCTCCACCCATCAAATTAAAAATGGATAGTTTTCTGAGCTTATTTTTCAGATCTCCCACATAAACAATGGAGAAAACTTACCAGTTCTTCAGGTGGAATGCCAGTCTTCTCCCGTATTGACTTGATACTATGCAGGAACTATAAAGAGAGAAGAAGCCTTTGAGCCAATGAATGGTGATTTTAGCACTGGGCAAGACTATTGCTTATTAAATTTGCACACCACACTTCATCGGTAGATCTCAGGGGGATTGAAACATGACAAATTATGAAAAGCATATACTACAGAAGTCTTCACATGTTAGCTGTCATCCTTATAATCTTGGCCATACATTGATCAAATATTCAAGAAGCTGCGTCTTTCCTCTCTGTTTCACCCCGGAAGTAGCAGCTATCCAGAATGCCTTGCCCAACACAGTGCTCTGTAGAAGCATGGACTCCTCAACAGGATATATTAAAGTGGGAATAAAACCACTACACAGGATGCCTCTATTTTGTGGAGTTAGTTTCCTTTTACGGCTCCATCATAGAGGAAAATTGCATAGTACTGAGCCAGCCAAAAGGAACAGGAGGTGCTAATGATGATAGGCATGTTGTAAACAAAATTTGATCTTTTTCCCTTATGGGGTATCCAGGAGCCCATGTAGAGTCCTTACGTGGGTTCCCTATTGGTAGGAGAAAATAACAGAGGCCAACCAGAGAATATTGAGAAGCAAAGCAGCTAGTACGCCTGATCTTTATTGATCTGTTGCAACAGGGTGCTCCCCCACATGCAGGAAAGGTGTGCCTGCCCTTATATAGACATTTTAAATTCCCTGCCCTGGAGCTCAAGACCATACATCATACATCCATCACAGAAGAGTTAACCCAAGACCACCCCTCCATACATCATACATACATCACAGAAGGGGTGTAACCCAAGACCACCACCCCACAAACATCATACCTACATCACAGGAAAGGCGGTCTACAAGAGAAATTTGAATGTTGTTGTTTTTTCTGTCTGCCAGGTTATCTGATAATGCCTTATCTGATTGCCTTTCCTGGTAGTCTGCCCATCCCTTTGAAATGGTGATTACTAAATTCCTGTAACAAGGAAGGTTTTTTCACCTCCTCCCTCCTTGCAGAGAAACATTTGGTCAGCTTGGGAGTCAAAATGGTTTCAGGACAGTCTTTCTGTGCTGCTTCAGACATGTTATATATTTATGTACGTGTTTGCTTGGTACATTTATGAACATTTATTATATATCTAAGACCTTAAAATTCTTATAACAGCACTTCTAAAATTCTTATTTGAAAGATGCACCTAAGACTAGCCTGACTCACATGGCACAGTAAACCAAACTAAGGCTTGCCGGGAAACTGAGAATGTGCAGGCTCCTGGAAAGAAGCTCACAGCTGCTTCACTCCTCTACAGTCCTTTGTGCTCTCGTGCCGTGCTGAGCTAAACCAACATTTGCCTTATTGAGTGGACCGAACTAGGATTACTGATTAAGCTGTGTCATCAATAACCATGAGATGCAGCCAAGAATAAACCCACAAAACCCAAGTGGCAATAGCATTACTCTCAGGTTTGCCATGTTATTAAAAAAAGGCTGAGTTGATTTCATTTGCGATATTTTACTTCACGTTTAGGAAATATTTTGTATACTTCTTTGCTATGTTTATTGTCAATTTCTTCTTGTATTTTTGTCCTTGGTAATGTGTAATGTTTATGTTGATACTAAAGCAGATGCTCTATTTAGTCGTGCTTTTACAGAATGCAGAAATTCCCTGGTATTGTTTGTATAACACAGGCATAAGCAAACTCGGCCCTCCAGACATTTTGAGACTACAATTCCCATCATCCCTGACCCCTGGTCCTGTTAGCTAGGGATGATGGGAGCTGTAGTCCCAAAACATCTGGAGGGCTGAGTTTGCCTATGCCTGGTATAACCTACGTTGCTGTTAACCACCTGCTTTGTTCAAATATAAGCAGGATATAAATTGCCCGAATAAGTCAATAACTTGCTTGTTCACTGCAGCCTACAGGAGCTAGTGAACTTTTGGCTAAAAGATCATTAGCTGCCAGTCTTGCTGAACGCCATCATTTAAGGCAGCATTAAATGCCCTCCAGACGATGTTCTAGTCCAGCTAGTCAGGGTTGCTGGAAGATGCAGTCCAGCGACATCTCTGGGGTCCATGTTTGCCACTCCTGGTTTAGGGAATCTGCAAGCTGGCTTCACCCTTTATTTCAAGGCAACAAGGCTTGCTAATGAGCCCACACGCATTTCAACCTAACAAACTTTAAATTACCCGACGCAGGGAGTTCAATAGCAAAGACCACCCAGAAGCCAGGAAATGCCCTCCTTGGGCATGGCAAAGGAGTGGCCTATGTGACTCTACCTCTGCTGTTGCTTCATTCTGGTTGCAGACGGTTTCCATGCCTCCCAGCTTCCAGTGCCCATCTTCACTCACAAATACAGAAGATAAGCAAACATTGTTGTGTGTCAGGTGTCCCTAGAATACATTTTGAAAGGAAGGGAAAACATACAATAAGACTGGGAATAATTGTAGGCATAAAGCGCTCGTTAGTACTAATTGGGTGTCACGAGACTCCAGAGGAGCGCTGCCAAAACCACAGAGGAGGTTTATATGCCACCAGAGAGCTCTTGCAAGGAGAGGAGCTGTATGCCAGGCCAAATTTAACTAGCATAACTCAGTTTACTCCCAGCACACCATATCTGGGCAAGGAGAGAAATTTATGCTGCCTCAGGGTGTGCTCCCTTCAAATCTGCAGAAGAAGCACAAAACAACTGCTGAACAAACCAGATGGGAGACATTGCAATGAATCATGTAAAAGACTGGAAAAATACAAAGCCAGCCTCAGAAGGCACGTGATCTGTTGTGTATTTAAAAAGGCATTTTCCTTTATTCCAACACCTATGGCCGGATGGTAATACTGCCAACTTCCCAGCAGAAATGAATTTCCTTTCACTGCAAAACCCACAACTCCCAACTCCAGGAGCATAGGAAGATCACTATTCTTTATGCTACTAATTTCAACTAGCATCATTTCGCATGTCACACACATATAAACCTCCTCTTCTTGCTGTTCTCCCACACTAGCCAAAATTTAATGCATTATTTTAAAAATCAAATTTCTAGTTCAAAACAAAGCATACAAATAATGAGTTTATGCAAAAGTATTAGCTTAATATATCTGCAAAAAAGTGCTCAAAGGAGGTCTTGCAATAAAGAATTTGTTTTACTTTTGGAACATATTACGCAACATGCATATCCAAGGGGTCTTCCTAATATGCCGTTTCAAAACCAGACAGTGTCAATCATCAATATATTACCCTGGAAGACTGAATGAGGCCTCCGAAGAACTCATCGATCCTTCTTGCCATCTGAAAGCAGCCCAGTAGCTTTGCTATCAGTTAGCATTAAGTAAATTAATTTAGCTCTGAAACTGCTCATTTGAAAAAAAATTAAGCAGACTGAAGACATATGATTTTACATGTCCAATATCTTGCATTCAAAGTAGCACAATGACCAGTTCGTCAAGCAAAGCTCCCTCCATACATTACAATTAGTTTAGGCCATGCCAATCAATGTGGTGCTCTCCAAATGTTGTGGACTCCAACTCTTATACCTAACCATGGGCAGATGAGAATTGTGATCAAACTACCTAGAGGGCACCAATGTTTTTCTATCCTAAACATTCACCTCTATTCCTAGAAGTAGAGAGAAAACCAAACCAAAAACTCACCCTATCGTGGAGGAAGACAAGAGCCTGCAAAACATCATAGATACCAGCGCATATCTCTGAAGAAGAGAGGGTCTCCAGCACTTTCTCCAGTGGCTGAACACGCTCTGTAACCAGGTGGATTCCATCTGTTTCCACAGTACAAGAAAGGAAGCGCAGGAGGCAAGGGTGGCGTAAAGTTTTCAGGTGCTTTCAAAAGGCAAGATAAAGCCACTCAGTATGGGGCATCACACATTATACATCACACATTAAAATAGGGGAAATGAACAGTAGTCTACATTGCTTTTTTTTGGCACAGCTTGATTTTCACATGATACGATTTGATTATTTAATTTCTACGCTGCTTAATATATTTAAAATACATCCAGGAAGTGTAGAAAAAACCCCCTGAAGCAACAGTAGTCAAATAAAATATTACAAAAATACAGAGTTACATATTAAAAAGTTGCATTAATACAAAGTTACTTATGCAAATTGGTATCAATTCATTTTCCTTCTGACATACCCTCCCTCTCAGCCTCCTGGTTCTCACCCTGGGTTCGAACAAACTCCCCACCCACAAAATCCTCACAACGAGAAGAATTTCTGGAAACAGCAGACATCACCATAGGGCTATCACTCTGGATTTGCTTTTCATGGGCAGGCCCAAGGTGGCTGATGCTCAGGCTGCCTACAGCTGTGCCCCATTCTCCACACCCACTTCCAGTTGCAGCACATTGGCTGAGTTTTCCCCGGGATCCAGAAGATGGGGAAAGGGTCTTTCTCAACTCTCAGCTCTTCCTTCATTTGCCACTTTATTTTCTTGCTCTGTATACCCTTGTTCAATGCTGACAGCTCAATAACGTATTTCTAGTTTTCACCAGTTTCTGCTCATGTTTTGCGCTGGTGAGTTTGAGCTGTGTTGGTTAGCCAAATCTGGAAGAAGCTGAGTCATATAAGCTCAAGGCGCTGTGAATTAGCTAGAATTCCTGTTAGTTTGGTTTGGCTCCTGCTCTAAGTTGGGTGAGTAGGGGAGAGGGAAAGCCTGCAACAAAAGGAGGATATTGTACTATTCCTAACCCGAGAGTTATCATTGTCTCTGAGGTCTTTTTATACGAACCACCCTGGAAACCGCTGGTGAAGCAAGTTCTAAATTTTTAAAAAATAAATAATAAGCCAAATATAATACAATACCTTGGCAGCTTTGTTAACATTCTCTTCATTTTCTCTCTTGTACACAAAGACAGAAGCAAGTTTGCCACGCTGCAGTACCGCTGGGTAAATATTGACTCCAGAGGGTAAAGTAAATGGAGACTCTTGCAACGCATCACGCTTTAAAGCGCTGTTCTCTGAGCCCATTACCTTGTAAACTCAAGCCGTTTTGCAGCGGGGGTTTTCTAGTGTCAAAGCAACTTTAAAGAGAAGTGATTCCAGACAAATTAGTCCCAAGAGATGTTACTGTAAATTCCTCATAGCATTCTCTGCACAAAGATGAAAGACACAATAAATAATTTTAGATATTGTTTTGGCTTTTCTCACACACACAAAAAGAGTTTAATGCTGCAATTCTAAATGAGACTTACTTTCAAGTAAACATGCATAGGATTGTCTTGAATCAGTCTTGGGACAAAGGGTTCGAATTCCAATCAGTGTGTTAAGCACAGAGATTCCAAGGTTCAAAAGACAACATCAACTTTTAACAGTTCTTTGCGTTAAAGAAACAGCCACACTATTTCTATCAGTTAATGCTAAGACATAAAGCCAGAAGTAGGAATGTACACAGGAAAGCACCAGAATCTGCATTCTCTGGAAGCAGCAAATTAGCTGTGCCCACTGCCCAGCCCAAATTTTGTTCAGTCAAAAGCAACAAAGGCGAGAAGTCCACTTTAAACTTATCCACAAACATGATGTATTCAGGGTTTATAAATGAATCCAAATAATTACATAGAATCATAGGATTATAGAGTTGGAAACCTTTGCCCAACGTGGAACTCGAATCCATGAGATTAAGAGTCTCATGCTCTACAGACTGAGCTATCCACAGACACCTTGAAAAATTTAATATTTTGAAATTGGATCCTTTCAAAAACCTATGCCAATGAGAGAGGAAGAGGACCAGAAAAGTAAATCAATAAGAAAACAGTTTACACACTGTATTAAGAAATAAAGAACTCAGTTGTGTTCATCTGCAACAGGCTATGTAAATCACTTGTGGATTTGCCCCCTGAGCCTGATGTTGAAACCTCTAACCATCCCTATAGGATGCACAAATTTTTCTTTTGTCCTTGGTTCTGAAGGATACAGAAAAAGCCTACTTCTAGTGACGGCCTCTTGTCTTCTAAGCACTTTTGTGTACTTCAGGTATGAATTTTTCTGGTTTTCCTCTGCAGCCTTAAGCTTGTAAAACCAAGATTTTTTTAATACTCCGGAAAAATGTGTTTGTTACACAACACCACCCCACCTGTTTTTTGTGTGGACAAAATCAGACCGAATAGTACTACGTTAAGCCATTAATATTTTCGTGTGTGTTATTTAAGCAAAGTTTGATGGGCACCTGGAATTCAGCGCCAGTAATTATGTGTTGCTTTATATCAGACCCAGATAAGAAAATCTGCCACTCATGCCAACACACTGCAAAGGTTTTACCACCATTTGCGTTTTTTTGCTTACCCTGCCCAACAAAAAAACAACCCACCTCCTTGACAGCCCTTGCTTTTCCCAACTCTTTGCTTTGTAGTAGTAGTATTAATTATAATATATTTATTTATACCCCGCCCATCTGGCTGGGTTTCCCCAGCCACTCTGGGCGGCTTCCAACAAAATATTAAAATACTGTAATACATCAAACATTAAAAGCTTCCCTAAACAGGGCTGCCTTCAGATGTCTTCTAAAAGTCAGATAGTTGTTTATTTCCTTGACATCTGATAGGAGAGCGTTTGTTTTCTGGCCAAACTATGTCATCAGGGAAAGTCTTCAGTTAACATGCACACACACACACACACACACACACCCAAGTCTTGCAACACTTTCAAAACCAACAGGCCTTCTGTAATAAAAGTTTAAAAGGACAATAGCTACTTTTGTCAGATGCACTCTTAACTCCCACCACCAATAGCAACGTGGTACGCACACGATTTTTGCGCATCTAGTTCAGGGTGCACTATGTGTCCGACTGGGCTCCGTTCTGCAAGGGGTTCTCCCATAATGAAGCTGTCCGTGTTTAAGGCGTCTTCCAAGACTTTGGTGTTTTGCTTCAATGTCCAATCACAGCTTTTCCCTGGAGCAAACGAATGTGAACCGATGTGTTTGAAGGGAAATATCTAATTTGCATTCCACCAGGCCTTAAGGAGAGCCCCAACACTGACAGGCAGCACCATCAACTGATGCGTATCATCATCATCATCTTTACCATTATTACTATCATTCTTACCTTTTCTTTACCTTTTTATCATCATCGTTTATTGAATTTGTATACAGTCATACCTCGGGTTGAATGCGCTTCAGTTTGAGCACATTCGAGTTGCGCTCCGCGGCAACCCAGAAGTAACGGAGTGCGTTACTTCCGGGTTTCGCCGCCTGCGCATGTGCTCAAAATTACGTTACGCACATGCGCAGAAGCGGCGAAAAGCGACGTGCGCATGCGCAGACGTGCCGTCGCTAGTTGCGTTTGTTTCTGGATGCGAACGGGGCTCTGGAACGGATCCCGTTCGCATCCCGAGGTACCATTGTACAGTGGTACTTCGGTTTTAAGTACTTAATTCATTCTGGAGGTCCGTACTTAACCTGAAACTGTTCTTAACCTGAGGTACCACTTTAGCTAATGGGGCCTCCCGCTGCCGCCGTGCCACAGTAGCACGATTTCTGTTCTCATCCTGAAGCAAAGTTCTTAACTCGAGGTACTATTTCTGGGTTAGCGGAGTCTGTAACCTGAAGCATATGTAACCTGAAGCGTATGTAACCCGAGGTACCACTGTACCGCCCTCTACCCGGAGGTCTCACGGCGGTCCACTGAATAAAACCAAAACCACGAAATACATAACCAAAACAAAAACAACCACCTTGCAATTACGGGGGGGGGGGGGACCCACCACTCTCTCTCACACACACATACACACATGCAATGTAACACGCAACACAAGCTCCTCCAATGGACTCAGAGCTAGAGCCCCACAAACAGTGATCGAAAAGGTTTATTTTTTGGGGGGCCCCCCCCAATTCCCCCCCCCTTTTCTCCTGAGAGAGGAGCTAGAAGGAACAGCCCCCTCGTCGGGGCCCAAGACGGACTCACCTGCTGCCCCGAGGGCGGGGGGCGCCCCCCGTGCCGCCCTTCCCTTCGCCGCTACCGCACCGCCGCTTCTCCCGTCAAGGCGAGTTCGGAGGCGGACTTCCGGCCCGAGGAGCACCATAGAGTCTACACCACAGCAGCCGCCGCGCAGAGGCGCTTCCCACTTCGAGGCCAGGAGATCGACTTCCGGCCCGAGGAGCACCATAGAGTCTACACCACAGCAGCCGCCGCGCAGAGGCGCTTCCCACTTCGAGGCCAGGAGACCGACTTCCGGCCCGAGGAGCACCATAGAGTCTACACCGCAGCAGCCGCCGCGCAGAGGCGCTTCACACTTCGAGGCCAGGAGGCGGACTTCCCGCCCGAGAAGCACCATAGAGTCTACACCACGGCAGCAGCCGCGCAGAAGCACTTCCGCGGAAAGCGGCCACCAAGGAGGCCGCCATGTTGTGGAGGTGACGTACTTCCTGTCCGGTAGCAACAGGGCAACGGCGACACTTAGCACGGGCTGATTGCGTCCGGTAGCAACACATAACCCGGGCTGATTGGTTCCGGCCAACCCCTTTCCCGGGGCCAATTTCGGGTTTTTTAATTTATTTATTATTATCCCCTCCGCCCTGCTCATCCGTCTGCCCTTTATCCTAAAAGAAAAAGGAGAGCGGGCTTTTAGGAACTGGGGTGGCTTTAAATGAAAGAACTGGTGCCGTGCTCTTTTCATTACAATAATCTTCTTCTTGTTGTTATATTTTTTATTTTCTTCTTCTTATTTATTATTATTATTGGGTTTTTTATTTTATTTACAGTATTGGGTTTCTATACTGCCCTATACCTAGAGGTCTCAGGGCGGTTTGTAGAACAAGATCAACATAAAACCACTATGTGTGTCTGTGTATCTGTGTGTGTGTGTGTGTGTGTGTGTGTGTGTGTGTGTGTGTGTGTAAAGACAACAACCCTGTAACATCCCCCATTTCAACGGGTTTAATATGTGGATGGTTTTGATTCTACTCATGTTTGAATTTTCATGGGTGTTTTCTGTGATTCTTGTTTTCTTTTAATTTTTATTTGCATTTTCAAAAGCAGGAACACAGAGCATCTTGAACAGCATATATACAAATACCATATGACTTCCCTTCCACCCTTTTTCTGGTTCCTTTTGTTTTTCTACTGCTCTGCGTAATCCACATCTTTTTAATCATTCAATTAATTATCTATTAAATACTCTTAATCTATTTCAACTCTGCTGGATTTACATAAGACCTGCTATGTATCTGTCTATACTGGTTCTTGAAATATTCAATAAACATTGTCCATTCCTCCTTATATTCCTTATTTTTGTTTTCTCTTATCCTGTTCGTCAGACCAGTCAGTTCAGCATATTCAAACATTTTACACTGCCATTTTTCCTTATGTTACCGGAAAAAATCCGAGGGCTCCCTTGGACAAAAACAAAGACACCAACCAGGATAACTTGGAGCAAAACAGCAGCCTGTAGGCTTGGCCTTTATTGAACTGTTGCAACAGGGTGTTCCCCTCACTTGCAGGAGAGCGGAAAGACACAGAAAAATGGTGTGCAAGACCTTATAAAAACTTTTGAAATTCCCATCCTGTAGGTCAAGCCCACCCCCAGAAACATCATGCATACATTACAGAAAGGAGGGGTTGAGGGAGGAGTTGTGGTGGTAACCTGAGTGTCCTGTCACCTGGCTGGTTCCCTTCTCCTCCTCCCCATGAGTCATTTTCTGAAGACAATAGGTAGTAGCAGTTTCCTGCCCCCTGAGGGAAGATCTGATCATTGTCCTTTGTTCCAGTCCACGCTGAATCCACTCCCATATGCAAGTTCTTTGTGATCTTGATTGTCTTCTGTCTAGGACCATCAGGGTTGGCATAGCAACTGGGCAGGGCTCCTGTGGATGTGCTGGGCTGGCCTGTATCAAACCTTCCCCATTTTGTAGTCCTTCCTTCATGGAGTAAAATAAAAGTGGAACAGTGCAAATCCGATGTATGGTTGATTTTCTATGAATTTATAACAGAAGTGTAGCATATGTAGTGTGTGAGTATGTGTGAAGTTTGTACAAACTGAATGATGGGGGGGGGTTTCCTGCTACACTTAGTGGGTACTAGACTTGTTTTCCACCTTTGTGCCAATAAGCTTCTAGCTGCAGCGGTGGTGTATAGTAGTAAACATTTTTGTTTTGGGTGGACCTCTGTTGTTATCATCCCCAAGAGGAAAATCTCATGTTTTGGGGAGATTTTTTAAAGTATTTTTTCCAATTCATTATATATAGTTTTCCAACATTCCTTAATTATTTTACAGGACTGCCACGTGAATAAAAATCCCTCAATTTCATTACACTTCCAACATACACCTTCTTGTTTTCAGTATGTAATCCTGCCCTGAGCACAAGTCCCATCAGTTGGGGGGGGGGAATATAAGAATTAATATTCTTATAAATGAATATATAAGAAGCCTGTCCTCAATCTACTGACAGTCCTCAAATGACTCTCAGTGAATGTTCTGCAGTCCTCAGAGGGCATCTTTGCCCCCACGGCCATGTATATCTTTATTACAATTATTTAGATGGTTACAGATCTACAGTAAGTTTTTTTGAGGGGGGGGGGTTGCAAGGGCGCACCCATAACTGCTAGAGCAGGCTTCCTCAACCTCGGCCCTCCAGATGTTTTGAGACTACAGTTCCCATCATCCCTGACTACTGGTCCTGCTAGCTAGGGATCATGGGAGTTGTAGGCCAAAAACATCTGGAGGGCCGAGGTTGAGGAAGCCTGTGCTAGAATGAGGGGATGTAGCAAATGAATAAATGGTACAAATTGGAGTATTGAAGGGAAGGTGCCAGGTGTTAGATTTAAAACACAGGTTGGACCAGTTCTCCTGTTCAGAAGGATGGGCGGGGTATAAATTAATAATAATAATAATAATAATAATAATAATAATAAAACAATTGGCTATGCAGGTGTTGTCCTTTCCTTCCCCAGATGCGTGTTAGCAGAAGTATTGCGTTGGGAAGGGGAGGTCACATGAGGCATGACGTCCCACAAGAAAAAATGTGCCCTTTTGGGGGGAAAAACAGTTCTGGATAAAGGGGGACAAGATGGCAAGTTGCTGCTTGGAGCAACAGTTCTTAGGAAGAAGGGTGGAAACCTTTGCCAAAGTTTTCCAGTTTTTTTGCAGTGGAAAACCCCGTGTTTTGCAGCACCCCGCAAACGGAATAATTGATATATCAAACATGGGGTTCGTACTTAACAACTATGAACCCCAACATTTGGGATCCCCTGGAAACCAGTGCCAAAGTTTTGCAGTTATTTTGCAGTGAGTTTTTGTGGGGGGGCGGGTTTTGACAATTTTATTGAAGATTTTAAAGATATTGAGCACTGAAATCCAAACTCATTTATAAAAAGAGAATAGAAAGCTATATATCAAAAAGAAGAATAAAGAGAAAGAAAATATAAAATGTAATACTCATGATCCTTGCTAAACGCAATTATATAAAAAAGAGAAAGAGAAAAAATAACAGAGGAAAATAACTAAATTAATAGATAAATGGATAAAAAGAAGAACTCCTGCCTCTCTGACAATTATCTGTAACAACAATTATTCAAATAACTTGATGGCATCCGTTTAGGCGTTATTCAAATTTTAAAGGACCAAGATTTAAATATTGTCTCTGTAGAGGTAAGAGGAATTCAATATATTTTCCTAATGCCTTCAGGGATCAAGAAAGCTCTTCAATGGAAGGTCACCCGTAGGATTTGAATTATGTCAAGAAAAATGGAGACTGAGTATATTACGAAGAATGTAAACTTACCAGACATATTTGGAAGTACTGATTTGCAAGTTCTCTTTCCCAAAGGGACAATCATAGAATCTTAGAGCTGGAAGGCACCCAGGGGTCATCTAGTCCAACCCTGTACAATGCAGGAATCTCAACTAAAGCATCCATGACAGATGCTTCCAAGGAAACAGGGGCAATTTGCCAGCCCCAGCTAGCTCCAGCCCACCGGCCGGTAGCTGGGCGATCTCCGGTCCTTGGCTCAGCATGAAACAGCGACCCGCAGTTTCAGAAGCCTTCAGAAGCTGGAGCACGCTCCAATCAGCAGAGAAAATAACACTGAGCAAACAGAAGTGGCAGGAGACAGCTGTGAAAGTATATTTACAGGCAGTTTATTCAGCATATGTCAGGACAAAGGAAAAACATGTCTTCTCCCTTTCGTGTCCAAGAGCAAAAGCAAAAGCTATCCACACAAACAAAAATTCCCAGCAAGCTGTGCTGGAGTGTAAACAGACATGTGACATACAACAATCCACACATCTGTTTTAAGGTGGAATGGAACATCAATATCCTAACACACCCAACCTCTACTTAAAAACCTCCAAGGAGGAAGAGTCAACCACCTCTCGTGGGAGTCTGTTCCACTGCCGACAGCTCTTGCTGTCTGAAAGTTCTTCCTGATGTTTAGTCGGAATCTCCTTTCTTGCAATTTGAAGCCACTGAAGGCTAGATATTCACCACTGAATAAATCAGGCAACTTTAGATTTAGCTTTAAAGATCTCAGCCAAGTACCCGGAAACAATCTTGGTTTCGGGAGTAGCATCTCTCAGCAAATACTGGATTACAGACTCTTTGCAAAACAACATTTTGAGCTGTAAGGGAGTCACTAGGAGATCTCTGCAATGGGTGTAGAGAAGAGGGCAATCCAAAATTATGTGATGTATCTGGTGTTTTCTTAATACAGGGACAGAATCTGTTCTGGAAGGGGATTTTTTGAAACCTTCCAAACAATACAGATGATAGGGGAATGCATTTAGACGAGCTAGCATAAAAGCTCTGCAATGAAGTTTCTAAATTATTAGGCATGACACCATGGTGGGGCTGCAATCCCAAATAAGCAGATGTGCATAAAAAGGCTGTGAGGGGTAGAATTTTTGGGTTTCATGATCTAGCAGCCTCTGCTTGATGAGAGAGATTTGTGAGTCATCCACTAGAAGAAGGGAACCTATTGCAATCCCTATTTGCCTGAGTTTGAGGGTAGTATCAGAAAACCATGTAGAATTATGTGTATCTCTCAATAAAGAAGTTAGTAAGCTTTCCGTGTCTGTATTAAAATGAATTTTTAGCCAGTATTTGAAAGTCATAATCCAGCCCCTAGATTCTAGGAGATGCTGGCCTAACTCTGTACACATAAACTCTGTGTGCTTGTCGCATTGCATATTAGTAATTTATGGACAATCAATCTTTCATTTTAGTATCAGACACAAGCCCAGGTGAAGGATGTATTCTGTGTAGTGGGGCAACGTGTAAGGGTCAGTAACATTAATAACGCCACCAGCGTCTGGAGAAAGCTAGCATGAGCCGGGGCATTTTAATATAGTGCCAAAATACTACAGAAATTAATAAACCCTCCTGCTTCATATATTATGGGACTGCATCCAGGATCAGATTAAACCAGTCTAGCTGCTATTAAAATTTATTTCCATAGTTCCTTTCTGTGGGATTTGTGTGTTCAGCCCCAAAGCACACTGGGAAGCCTGCTAGTAACCGCTCAAGGGGTCTGAAGTGTGAGTCGTTGAGGTGAGAACCAAACACTCAAGGCAGGTGGTCTGCGTATGTCTAAGGCCCCCCAACTCAATTGCTCCAGCATTTTAACAAAAAAGCAACACAAACAGACAGCTTCTACAGTCATTAAAACAAATAGTTCTCCATTAAATGTAGTAAAAGGACTCTGGGGAGATATTTCCTGGGAGTATTTTGGATAGCAAAATGAACATGGAAAGAAATTACCAGAGTGGGAGGTCTGGGGTTTTTTTTCCCCAGCACACATTTTTCATTTCACCAAGTATGATCCTTGCTCCATACGATATGGAGACATTAGGATGTGGTTTGCCAAGTCATTTTGAAGCTCAAATACAGGAGAAGTCAAAACGTCCATTGCAGTTTATAAAATGTAGTTCAGGATTAGTATCGTTTTGCCATATTAGTGATATACAAAGTGCAGCATAGTTAAGAGAGACCTGGCACAAATGAAGGTGGAGGGTCTGTGTTTCAAAGATGAATCTTTCTGTTAATGTCTACTATATAGTCAGTCCTGATTCGCACACCATTATTCCATGCAGCATACGCTGGGCTTCTTGGCAACGCAGCTCCTTGCAACATAGTATTCTCCTGGGGTGGCAGTGCTATATAATTAAGCAGAAAGATACACCTGTGCTTTGAAAGGCACATTCTGTCTAGAGCAGAACTTTCCAAACCGTGTGTTGCGACATGTTAGTGTGTTGGCTGCAGTGTGTAGGTGTGTTGCACAAACTCTCTCCTGGGGCTGGAAGGGGTTAGTTTAACCTCAAGTTTGCTAGTAAAACTGCATTACTATGTCACGAAATGATGCAAAACTGAATTACTGTATCGCGAAATGATGCATGTCCAAAACGTGTGTCACCAACGTGAAAAGTTTGGAAAGCTCTGGTCTACAGCAACGCTTTTCCTTTAGAACAGCGATGGCCAAACTTGGCCCTCCAGCTGTTTTGGATCTACAACTCCCATCATCCCTAGCTAATGGACCAGTGGCCAGGGATGATGGGAATTGTAGTCCCAAAACAGCTGGAGGGCCAAATTTGGCCATCACTGCTCTAGAATATGAATATGGAAAATGTGGAATTGTACTTTTACGTCTCAGTTAATTAAGAATGTCACTATGGTCTGGATGCCTCACCTATGCTTGTACACACGTAAATACAAGTTCCTCAGGAAACACACCTTGTACGTAGAGGTAAATTAAGCGCAGTTGCGCCAAAGAAGAGTAAAGTCAACATTTGGCATTCAGATGTATGCACCTTTTCCAAGTTTGCCCTATTGGTTTTCACCATTTTGACACCACTCCCTGTATTCAAACAACACAGAGCACCATGTGCATAGGATGTCTCTTGCAGTTTGCAAGCAGCATGGTCACAAAAGTATATGCACACCTGTGTTAGAACTATTCAATGACACTAATGCAACATATCACTTGTAGCAGGTGTACGAAGTGTGTCTCTGTTCGTAAAGTCTCATAGAAGGTGGCCAACCCTGGATTTAAGGGTGTTATTCAGCCTTCTTCAGGGACATTAAAAAGGATAAATCAATTACTTTTTCAGAAGCCAGTTAAAATGATTGCTCATCAACAGTAGTAAGCTTAATTAAAAACTCACAGAGCCTTAGGATTCAGTACCACGGTCTACAGGACCTGCATTTAATAGCAATTAAATTAGTTGCTTAATATACATAACAAGTGTTGACATTCCAGTTAATAGATTTCAACATACAGCACAAACTGTACAAAAAGGGAGTCACAGAACGACTAACATTTCTTTGCAACACATATAGAAGAAAATGCACCACAAAGACCCGTAAACTGTATAACCATGCACTAAGAAGACGAAGATAAGTCTTAATTTAACTACAGTTCAAGAATACGGGAAGGCAATAGTTTAATACATCAGGATGTTTTATCGGGCTCCAAAGGGGTAGTAGTACGGTTCATCCGGCCGATATCCGTAAGCAGTGGTGGGGCGGCTTGGGATACCCATGGGCTGGCCAAATCCATCCACAGCAACGCTATGCAGAAAAGAAAAACACCTGAGTTGACATTTGAAAACTGATCCTTGCAAACGGACATCACGCAGTACAAGGTCCCCTCTGACTTTTTCCAGAATGCAAAAATATCTTGAAATGTACCTATTTGGTATCAAGCATATGCTGGGGGTTGAAGTCTCTGCCCTGTCTTAGAGAACTAGTTCTTATCAAATCAGCTGTCTCTCCAGCAAATTAAGGCTACTTGGGTGACCAGCGTAACATGGAAGCAGCAATTAACACAGGGGTAGCCAGAAGTGCTTTGCATGGAAAATGTTGCCTTACACTCAATCAAATCATTGGTCCATCATAGCCAAGTATTCATCATCATCTTATTTTACTGTTTATAGCCAATAGCCATCACATGGCAGTATGAACACAAATCGCACAGCTGCAAAGCAAAAGACATTTCATGCACCAGACCAGGACAAATCTACAATGTCCAAAATGTAAAAGCATTCCTTCTGGTCAGCATCCCTGGGGTTTGGCACTTCCACTATCCAGAAATGTTGACCTTCTCTTTCTTGCCGCTAGTGCAAATGGTGCCACCTTAGAGCTGATGCAATTATCAACATCTGCCAGCAGCCATTTAATTTTCATCTGGGTGTCCTTCTAAGGCAGTGATGGCCAAACTTGGCTGTTTTGGGACTACAATTCCCATCACCACTGGTCCTGTTAGCTAGGGATGATGGGAGTTGTAGTCCCAAAAGAGCTGGAGGGCCAAGTTTGGCCATCACTGTTCTAAGGCAATCTGAAAAGGGGAGATAAATTTAGCTCTGAGTGAATCATACAGTGGACAATATAAAATATAATGTATCAGATCCTCTATAAGCCCTGATCCACATATACAGAGGTACTCTTTTACAGATCTGTTAGTAAATCTCCCATCCAGATATTCAGTAGGCATTGTTTGAAATCTGAGCTGAGTGAAAGATCGTGTAACGGGGGGAAAGTTAATTATCGCAGGTACATATAACCCTTTTGCGGTCTGATTTAATTTTAGTGTAACAAATAGCAGGGTGGCAATTCTTTATATATTCAATATCTTTTTTTGCATCTTTGCTAAACACGATATTTCGACTCTTGTGACCAGGAGCAACTACCAATATCACTGTTGGGGAGATCAAATAACTCTGCATCAGACCTCTACGAGATTTTACCCAGCCTTCTCTTTGTCTGCAAATCCAAAAAGCATCTTTTGGCTAAGTGTTGTTTTGGCTGCAATGATATTTTCCTCCAATACAGAAACATGGATTTGTGTATACGAACTTTTATAGAGTTAAGGCCTTATAGAGTGTAGTGCTCCAGGTGTATTATGTGGCACTGCCAATATCGTACGCAGGAATCTATTTTGAAGGTAGTACATCAAGTTCCTCCCTGCAATGGTAACCCCATATAAGAGGTGAGACACAATCTTGGCTTCAAAAATCTTTAATGTTGGTTCTCTCTAAATGATGGCCCTCTGTGTAACTGGTGCTTCTCACGCCTGCAAGTTTTTGCAGCATCCACATGTCGTTATCCTCAAAAGGCCAGCCCATACTTCCACACATTCCTTTTAATCTGGATTTACCCTTCTGGAGGAAAACCTGATAGCCAATGGCCCATTGGTGATATTGTGACAGCCCTTCTGCAAATTGAGCACCCATCTGGAAGCATCCTCCATAGACCAAACAGAAGCTGCCCTGCTGGCAAAACCTTTTGTGCCCAATTCCATGCATTTCTTTGATGGGTAAAAGGGGGCAGAGGAGTAGGCTGCCTTTTTGAACCGGTAGGTGGCACTCTCTCCTCATCTCTGGATGTTGTTAGCTGCTTCCAGTCACTTTCAATTTACTTCAACCTACTCAAAACTACTCCTGAACATATTTTTAATTAGGTAGGGGAGGGGAATCATGGTTTCAATTACCTTCCGATCAAATCAACTCCTTTAGTTCAATAAACATGAAAGTAATTAGGTGCAGAGCCTTACAGTTCAGAGCTCGAGACATTTTGGTTATTTCCAAATGGTTTGCGTATGTGATGGCTCCGCTATGACAATTTGAGACATTAAACCAACATAATATTAAAACATTCAGATCACTGGAAAGATCACTGGGAAGGCTGTGAATCTGGCCTAATTTACATGTTACTTTTGCGACATAATTGCTGCTTCCTTATGGTCAATTCCCACATTGAAATGCTGGTGTCTAAAGTTTTAAATGTAAGGATAGTTTTAATGCCAGTGTCAGAAGTCCTATGGAGACATGGTGCTGGTACAGAACTTTTTAGGCATTTCTTAGTCAGTGTGGCAAACAACAACGAGGGAGGAGCAATCATACCCAAACACTAACATATAAATAAGGGGACCCTCACACATGGGTAACTCATAGATAACTTTGTGGCTGGTAAGGACAAGCATAGTAAAGACTGTCACCAATTTGTGGGACACCTTGATAATCAGCCCAGATCTATAATACTCCTAGGAGTTGCTTGTCTAAAAATGTGTTGGCTTTGCTCTTCATTGCCTTTCTTCCCCACACAAGAGAACCTTTAAGCTTCAGATGGAAGCAGAAAACCATGAATAATACACATTCCAGGCAACAGACTAAGAGAAACCCTTAAACTATTCCATGCAGAGAACAAGACTTTGTGCAGTTAATAAATAAGTACCAGTGAGGCCTTAAAAGTTATTATACAAACTAATGAAGGTTTCATCTCTTCATGCCTATTAGCACAAATTCTGACTTCTAAAATGGATGATAGAATTTGTACAATGAAAGTTCAATGTTTCTACTCTCCCTACCAACTAATGTGCTCGGAGTAGTTGCAAATTTGGTTATATCATAGCATGACCCAGGTTCATAAAAGCAGATTCTGAGGCCTCCACGATGTGGTAAGAATTTAAGCTTTGGTTTGATTGTTTTTTTTAAAAAAAAGTTTATATGAACATAAAAATGTGTTCTGCAGCTGGAACTCCAGAATGAATATTCAAGTAACGCTTTAGCAACTACAAAGAAGTGGCACAAAGAAATCAGCAAGAAATCACTCCTTGTCTCTGCACCAATGCCCTACCATTTCATCGATCTCCTTAATTTTCTTAAAAAGATAAATAAATCCCAGAATTACTTGAAGGTTTGATTGATTGATTGATTGATTGATTGATTTATAAATAATATTTCTTGCCTGTCCTTCAGCTGAGGTCCCATGGTGTGTTACAGGAATAGAAAATATAATTATAAAAGCTGTTCAGCTAACGGTTCCTTTTCTAAAGCTGCATATAGAAGGGGCACCATAATCCCCATTTTGTATATGGGGACAAGACAATGCAGCAACATGCAATGGATCCACACTAGTACACAAGAATTTTGCTAACAAAACGTGCACATGATAATGAATATCATGCTCATAGTTCAAAACTATAGGCTACTCAAGCCCCACCCTCTTCCGCACTGTGTTAACAAGCTAGCAAACTAATTCAAAGTTAATATTCAACAACACCACCTTTCAGATATGCAAATTTTTATATAGCTGCCAAAGTGTGCTTGGATAAATTACAGGTCTCGGATGTAAGCATTCCTGCTGTTCAGAACAGCAGTTGCACTTCTGTGAAATCCAACAAAAAGCTATAAATAGAGGGGAAAACAGTCATTTATCATCCTCCTTTAGACTATGTCTCAATGGGTTTAGGTTTCACAAGCTTCTTGCCACTGGTGGAATATACTGACACGCAAAACAGGTTTGGGTCTAGTTGCACCCTGGAACCTTTACAGTGACTGGGAGACATGGAGTTAAAGTAGTGAACAGCTTAGCTTAGCTAATTACTGTGTAATACTAACTTCAGTTGCTCGATCATTTTGAGATCCGTTAAAATAGGACTGTATATTTTACCCCCCTCTGCACTCTTAATGATTTGTTTTTTTAGTCTGAAATCATTTCCAGCCATCAGTTAAGCTTGTGGTCTCTACATATGCACTTCTCTTGAGCACAAATATTTCTTTTTCCTATTGGTCTGCCAGCCTTGTCAAGAGAAAATTGCACTGTAAACTAAATGCCAATACTTAACCTCTCGGATAACTCAGGCTGCTAGCATGATCTAGGACCGCTTCAGAATGGCAGCTGAGCTTTCTAATTTGCTCGTGAGAACTTGTCAAAAGAGGAAATGTTCCAAAAATACATGATGCATTTTATAAAGTCCTTGGGACTTGCACTGCTTCAGAGCAAATAAAAATACCACATATATTCAGGATCCCTGAAATCAGCAGAGACACGTCAAAGTAGCAAAGAGGAGTCTGAGAGGAGATATTCTAGGCATCTTCAAATATCTAAAGGGCTGTCACATGGAGGCGGAAACATGCTTGTTTTCTCCTGCTCTGGAGAGGACTTGAACCAATGGCTTCGAGTCACAAAAAAGGAGATTCAAGTTACAAAAAAGGAGTAACTTTCTGACAGCAAGAGCTGTTTGACAGTGGAACAGACTCCCACAAGGACTGGTGGACTCTCCTTCACTGGAGATTTTAAAGCGGAGGTTGGATGGCTACCCACCAGGGATGTTTAGTTGAGATTCCTGCTAAACTACCCTTGGGGTCCCTTCCAACTCTTATGATTCTGTTAAAATGAAAAGTATTACACCAATAAATTGCAATAATTTGTTGTGGCCCACAAAACCTAATTTCTTTCATAAGCACAGTCCTCAAGAGAGTAGGAGAAAGGCAGCTTCTTTACCTGAGACTGCAGCTATGTGAGTGCTCACCTGTACAGTCACACATATTGGTTCCGTACCTGGCACAGAACAACATTCATGGTGCAAAGGCCTGGCTTAGCACCACGGGGCACATACGCAAGTGAGCTGGGACAGGCATCATCCTGCTCAGTTTGAAAGCAGACGGATGCTGAGGCCTAAAAGAACCAGAGTCAAAAACAGGAATGAAAGCAAAGCCCAACAAGCTGCGAAGTGGATCGTGGATGGGCTGTGTTTCTGCACAGCCGCAGCCACTCAAGCCTGAATTTTTCTAAAGCAACCAAGCCCATTTTGGGGTACTGATGCTGTTATTTCAAGCACTAAACAGCTTTGGATCCAAATCCTGATGGAGAACCTGCTCCCATACCAACCTGCCCATGCATTAAGACAGGAGGTCAGCAAACTTTTTCAGCAGGGGGCCGGTCCACTGTCCCTCAGACCTTCTGGGGGGCCGGCCTTTTTTTTTTTTTTTAACGAATTCCTATGAACGAATTCCTATACCCCACAAATAACCCAGAGATGCATTTTAAATAAAAGGACACATTCTACTCATGTAAAAACACGCTGATTCATGGACTGTCCGTGGGCCGGATTTAGGAGACGATTGAGCCGGATCCGGCCTTAGTTTGCCTACCCATGCATTAAGATCTTCAGACAAGGCTCTTCCTTTGAGTTCCTTCTGTAGGAGAGCTATATTTTATACATCCAGGAAGGAGAGGGGGCCTTCTTTGGTATATCCTCCCAGAGGAAGTAAAGGGAGGTGCTGACACTGCCAGGTTAATACATTTTTATTTGTCTAGGCTTTTTAGAATTCACCACATTAATTTAGCTAACTGAATGGTTTTTGGTTTAGTGCTTCTCAAATCTTATTTCACTGCTACGATTGTCAGTTTTGGTTTTAAAAATTCAATCATCAAAACACTATTACAGTTCATACACTACACTGGAATTCATGTTTGGATGAAGATGTGTTCTAGAAAATTTCTAAATAAATAAATAAAAAGAAGTAAAGTAGCCAGCAACAGTAAAAGTAAATAAATAAATAACCGGCACACCAACAAAACAATCCACAAGAGGAAGGAAGGATCAATCATCATTAGTTTTGTAGCTTCTGCTACAGATAAATACAACTAGTGTTTGAATCCTTCCTAAAGTACTGAATTTGGTCTCTACACTGTTTGATACATTATGCAATACTAAATACACACCAAACTTGAGCCTATTTCTCAGCTGCTTTCAATGTTATTTTTCATCAACATACATCTTTAAGACTCCTGCTAAATTTTGTAATGGGTTGAATTCTTGCAACTACTGATAGGTGTTACAATAACATCATCCTCCCTGCATCCCTTAGTTATCAAAACATGCTAAGTTTCAACACTGTTAAGGATTATTGTTAATTAAATTTCTATACCACCCTATATCTGTAGATCTCAGGGTTGATCACAACACAAAACTACAATATAAAAAAACACAAAATACATAATAAAAACAAAAGCAGAAACCCAATAATTTCACAACATTGAAAAGGGCCCCAGATGTCTATAAGGTCTTTAAGGTAACAGAGCTATGACAAGCTTTTCTAGTAAGCTCTAGGAATAATGGTTTTTCTTTCCTCCAATTTTTTTTTTAAAAGAACCTCAATTCACCTAATTTATTTAGCTCAGGAATGGGGAACCTTTGACCCTCCAGGTCTACAACGCTCCCCAACCAGCAGGGTCAGTAGACAGGCATGAACAACCTCCGGGGGGACACACATTTCCCATCCCTGATTTAATAGTGCAATCCTCACCTATCCATTCTTAAGGAAATCAGCCCTGAGTGCTCACTGGAAGGACAGATCCTGAAGCTGAGGCTCCAATACTTTGGCCACCTCATGAGAAGAGAAGACTCCCTGGAAAAGACCCTGATGTTGGGAAAGATGGAGGGCACAAGGAGAAGGGGACGAGATGGTTGGATAGTGTTCTTGAAGCTACCAGCATGAGTTTGACCAAACTGCGGGAGGCAGTGGAAGACAGGAGTGCCTGGCGTGCTCTGGTCCATGGGGTCACGAAGAGTTGGGCAGGACTAAATGACTAAACAACAAACCATGTCTACTCAGAAGGCAGTGCTTGCACTGCCTTCCCAAAGCCCAGAAAAGCTGGGAAAGCGCTAACTAGGCATGAACACATGGAGTTGCATTAGTAAAAAAAATATTAGAAGAGCCTACTGGATCAGGCCAATGGCCCATCTAGTAAAGCATCCCGTTCTCACAGTGACCAACCAGATATGTATGGGAAGCGCATAAGCAGAACCCAAGCATGAGAACAGTTTCCTGTCCTGTGGTTTCCAGGAACTGATATTCAGAAGACACAGTCTCCAACAGTGGAGGCACACCAGAGTCACCTTGACTTGTAGCCATCAGTAGACTTTGCCTCCATGAACTTGTCCAATCCTCTTTTTAAGCCTTTATGTTGAGTTGGGCCCCTGGTGAGACATTTTGCCGTCCTTGTGGTTTGGATCACTGTCAAACCTGCTCTTATGCATGAGTAATGCATGCACATAGCTGCCCTTTCATCAGACAGACAGCAAATCCGAGTTCCACTGTGTGCATCTCTATTGTGAAGTGAATTTGTGAACTTGTAGTGAAGGAAGAGTAGAAAGACAAGGTGATTAAACCTTTTGTACTGCTTTTGTACCATGCAGTGGAGCTCTGCAAACATTCTGCTGGCTGTGGCTTGGCATTTAACAGCATGTGATCAGTGAGGAGGAGGAAATTTTATTCCATTTAACTGTTGCAGATTTACTGCAGTGAAAAAGGGCTATGTAACCTGAGAAGCGACAGAACAGAGAGATCAAAGCTGCAGTCTGGAAACTAAAATAAACCTTCAGGCTACTTCCTGCAAGAAAATTCACTCTGGCAACTAAAACAGAGTCCACCTAAAAACTGTTCTGTTTTATGAGCTGTCACAGCAGCTCAAGTGGTTTGGACCAGTCAAGTTCAGAACATTATATTTCCTTGTTTCTGTCTCACATACTTCTGTAAGCAGTTTTATAGGGGAGTTTTATTTTAAAAAGAGAAAAATAGATTCCCCCCCCTCCTCTGGGCTGAAATTGAGAAGGTCACAGCTAAACACATTAAAATAAGCAGGTCTTCATTTGCACATTCCATGCCCATTTACTACATTTTAATATTTTATTTTTGGGATTTACAGGCAATGTACATTTTCTTTATTAAGTCTTCCGCATTCTGTTCAATTATTGTTTAATATAGGCACAAATCAGTTTACACAGCCCAGATGGCTTGTAAGCCAGGAGCTGTTCTATTCCAAGCACCACATCTGGAGGAAGTTCAGGGAGCAGCAAGAACATGGGAATTAATTAATACTAAGTTTCAGAAATTGACAATTTTTTGTTCTCTCGTAGGACATGGAGGAACCTGAAATTACTGCACCAACATTCAAGACCCAGTTTCAGTACGTATTAATGCTGACCAGACTGCAGGTGTAAGTGAATTAAAGAGCCACATGTGAGAAAACAAGGCAGCTAAATACTTGAGCTAGATTAACAGCTGAATACACAGTCTCCAAGAGAAAAGCATCAGATAAATGTTCTGCTCAGAATTATCACCACTCACTACAATTCACAGATATTTTATGAAATAATTAAAAACTAATTGCTAAAGCAAATTGCTAAAACTTCTACAAACTGCAAGTTACTTAGCAAAATTCATTGTCAGAGCTCTCTGTCACTCACTCACTCACTCACTCACTCACTCAAAGACACACTTCTCTACAAGGCCTAAATGCAGGTCCTGCTATCCAAACACAATGTGTTCTCAGGAAATTGTTTGTTAGATAAGCATTCACGTAATGAGTTGACCATTTCCATTGTTTCCTATGAGAACATTTCTAATGTGTTCCCAACCACAGAATTTTGACTCCCATATGATGAAAAAATAACTGGGAAAACCTTCTTGAAACCTTGCAAAAGGCAAACAAGGGGAAAAAAATACTCTCTTATTGGTCTGAACTCTCCCATTTCCTCCCTACCTCCCACCATAGTTTCTGGTAAAATGGCTGATGTGGATCAGCAAAACACCCAAAGTAAGTCTTGTTTAAGGCTGCTTATTTGCTTACGGTACTACACACAAGTCTGGCTGACTATCTAAATCTGTATTGTATACAGCGCAGTTTGGGTACTAACTCCTTGTGTTTGGATAAGTGGATCTTTGTATAATGAGTGTCTGGATAGCAGGACCTGCAGCACCACCACCACCATAATAATAATAATAATAATAATAATTTATTATTTATACCCCACCCATCTGGCTGGGCTTCCCCGGCCACTCTGGGCGGCTTCCAGCAAAATATTAAAATACCGTAATGCATCAAACATTAAAAGCTTCCCTAAACATGCATGTACCGTATTTTTCGCTCTATAAGACGCACCAGACCACAAGACGCACATAGTTTTTGGAGGAGGAAAACACGGGGAAAAAATATTCTGAATCCCAGAAGCCAGAACAGCAAGAGGGATCACTGCAGAGCTGTTCTGGCTTCTGGGATAGCTGTGCAGCCTGCATTCGCTCCATAAGACGCACACACATTTCCCCTTACTTTTTAGGAGGGAAAAAGTGAGTCTTATAGAGCAAAAACTGGAAGTAACTGGAAACGTGTTAACCAAAACCTGGCAGGTTTCATTCAGTGTTGCACAGCCACCTCCCCGTTTTTTCACTACAGTTCAATACTAAAAGCACAATTTAATGGGAACAGACCTATGATGTGACCACTCCAGGACTATGTTTGCCTCCCACCGACAAACACAAACACACACCCCACAACACGACTGAAGTGTAGAAAATATACTTGAGCAATAAAAAAAAGTTATTAGAAGCGCAGAGGCACCACCAAATACTGTATTTTTCTGTGTATAAGACTAGGTTTCCCCCCTAAAATATAATGTCAAAAATTAGGGGGTGTCTTATACTCTGGGCCATCTCCCCCCCCCCCCCCCATTTTCATAAATATGAGCACCCAAAAATAGGGGGCGTCTTATACATGGGGGCGTCTTATACATGGAAAAAATACAGTAAGGGAGGGTCTGTGGAGAAACAACATCTAAATGAGAACTCTGCAGACAGATCTCTGGTTTCACAGTCTTTGGACAACTGTAGACACGATGGAAAAACTGAGACTAAGGCTAGAGAAGTATTTCAGAAATGGGAGGACTTATAAATGAACTGTCCTAGGCTGAACTCTCCCAAGAGCTTAGCTGCTCCCAGCCCTCTTGGTTGCCAGCATCGTTGACCAATGAGAATAGCAGTAACTTCTGAGTTAAGCAGCATTCTGCTTCTGCCTAATTCTGTAGTGAAGATCCCTGAGCACACCTGTACATTGCACTGCTGAATCTGGAAAAGTGTAGTTTTTCAAAGGAAGGAGAAAAGCTGAGATACGAAAGGCCATATCTCCCTAGAAGCAGTGTTTCCTCAAGTTTTGAGGTCAGAATGCAAGTAAACCATGATCCAATTCCATGTCCAGGAAAGTGCCTCTTTCCTGCAAAAGGAATAAGCGGTTGGAGTGGAGTTACAACGGCTTAGATAGGTGTATGGTCAAAACCCTGCTGACTGCTAACCAAACAGTGTTGTGCTGGACACTTTTATGTGTCCACTGGTATTGATGGACCCAAGTTAGTGGATCATTTAATTTCAACGGGTCTGCACAAAGTATAACTAACAAAGGACACAATCCAAGGTGTTTTGTAATATGGATTAAGTAGGTACAAAGGATTAAGTTAAGATCCTTGATAAAATGTGACGTGTTAAAAAACAGCACGGGAATAAAACTGTCTTAAATATAGAGTGGTACCTTGGTTTACAACCATAATCCATTCTGGAGGTCCGTTTGTAAACCAAAACAGGTTGTAACCCAAGGCGCGCTTTTGCCAATGGCGCCCCCCAAATCTTTTTGTTCGTAATCCAAAAAAAGGTTGCACTGCCGGGTTTGACGTGTTTATAATCCATAACATATGCGAACCAAGATGTATGCAAACCAAGGTAACACCATAGACAGCAATACCTGGGCATAAAGCAGGCAAGCTGATGTTGTTGCCACTGGCACGGGCAGTACTTGAAAGTTGAGTTGCAAATGTGTTTGGATGCTTTCCTGAGAAGCTACAGCTGTTCCTCAGCAGTGAAAGGGAGATGGGAAGCCGGTGTTGCTTGGGAGCCACTGATAAAGACACTGATGGAGGCGGAGAAAGAGCCCCCAGTGGCTCTGCCTGAATTGAAGGGGGAAACATGAAAGGAATATCTAATATATTCAAAGCTTGTTTTCTCCTGCTCTGAAGGGCAAGGCCCAAACCAATGGATACAAGTTACAAGGAAGGAGATTCTGACTCAACATCAGGAAGAACTTTCTGATGGTAAAAGCTGTTCAACAGTAAACTGGACCATCTCAGGGGGTGGTGGACTTTCCTTCGTTGGAGGTTTTTAAGCAGAGGCTGGATGGCCATTGGTCACTGATGCTTTAGTTGAGATTCTGCATTGAAGGGGGTTGGACTAAATGACCCTTGGGTCCCTTCCAACTCTACAATTCTATGATTCAATCCTCGTTGAGCTGTTTTGGGGGTTCATATCCTTATGGTAAAGGTAAAGGGTAAAGGGACCCCTGACCATTAGGTCCAGTCGTAACCGACTCTGGGGTTGTGTTGCTCATCTCACTTTATTGGCCGAGGGAGCCGGCGTACAGCTTCCGGGTCATGTGGCCAGCATGACTAAGCCGCTTCTGGCGAACCAGAGCAGCGCACAGAAACGCCGTTTACCTTCCCACCAGAGCGGTACCTATTTATCTACTTGCACATTGATGTGCTTTCAAACTACTAGGTTGGCAGGAACAGGGACCAAGCAACGGGAGCTCACCTCGTTGCGGGGATTCGAACCACCAACCTTCTGATTGGCAAGTCCTAGGCTCTGTGGTTTAACCCACAGTGCCACCCGCATCCCTATCCTTATAGTACTTTTGTCTAAATATTTTTTGGGGGATTTTTGCTGACTTTGGGTTCCCTCAAAACCTCCAATACCACCTCCTTGCATGTGGGGGTTGCATTTTGAATGCAACAGGACTCCCAAGCTGGGCATTGGAAATGGAGGGAAGGAAGATATTTGCCTGTTAAGGTCATACCTTTTTTCGGATTAGAACATTCTTTCCTCTGGAAACACCAGTTTTTCAAAGCCTCTAGAGACCTTTTCTTGTTCACTGAAGTAGATTTACAGTTTGCTAATGCTGATGTGTGATAAACTAATAAAACGTTACTACTGGTTTATAGGCCCAATCTGCTAATAAAATCTAATTCAGTTCTTCCTGGAGAGGGTAGGCAAATGAATGATGTCCAAGTGCTAAAAGTCGAATATCACTTCATTTCACTGGACTTAAAGGGAACTCAGAAGTGTCTTAAGGACATTCAACAAAAGTGCACGTTATATGTAATGATTAAGAGTCGCTGCCAACGTAGCCACTATCGCCAGGATCCAACTCTGGCTATGTGAAGTTATGATGGCTAGCAACTCCAGATAAGCATCAAAATCTGCAACCAGCTAAAAGCGCTGCAGTGTGGATTGTATCATCCATCTTCAAATGCACATGAAAACATGCATCTGATATACCTCTATGTTTGCTGACCTGCAAACATGAGCCTGCTTCCCCATAAAGTTCTCCTTATCCGAATAAAGGCACATACATGGTTCTATATAATGATACATACTAGTACATGCATACTAGGGGCTGTGCCTGCCCTCACCAAGCTCTCTTCCCTTAGACCTTGCCAACCCTGCCCTTATAGCTCATCCAAAGCCCCCCAGTTTGCCCAAACCACTGCCCAATCCTGATAGTGGCTGGTGAGCTGGCATGGGTGGGGTTCAGTTACTCTCCCAGCTTGCCAACACTGTGGGTCACTACCACTTAGCAAAAGGGGCAGGGACCTCAGTGCATGGTGGTGGAGCCAATTCAAAGCTCCTGCCTCCATGCACCATGCTAAGCTCCCATGTTACATCACTGGGCAATAATAGCACCCCAAAACAGTTCATCCTCCCCTCCTTACTGCTTGCCTCAAACAATTATCATTTCAGCCTCAGCTGTGGAGGACGAGGAAGGGGAAAGTGGCCGATGACAGTAGCAGAAGAGGAGAGGTGCTGAGGAGGTATTCTGTTCTGCCTGTTCCTCTGTGGCTTGCATGGGCCTCCTTGGCCATTGCCACTGTAGAGGCTGAAATAGCAGCATCAGTCTGAGATAGGTAGCGGCAGAGCAAGCCAGTTGATGGGAAGGTAGTCTGTCTGTCCTGACAGTTCCTATGTGGCTCACCTGGGTCACCTGCCCATCTGCTTGCCCACCTGGGCTGCACACCTGCATGACAACACTCCACTGCAAATACAGGACAGTGGTACCTTGGTTCTCGAACCTAATCCATTCCAGGAGTCCGTTCAACTCCCGAAACTGTTAGAAAAACAAGGGGCGTCTTCTGATTGGCTACAGGAGCTTCCTGCATTCAACTGGAAGCCGTGTCGGACATTCAGCTTCCGAAAAATGTTACCTAACTGGAAAACTCACTTCCAGGTTTGGGGCATTTGGGAGCCGATTTGCTTGGGAGCCAAGCCATTTGACTACCAAGGTACCACTGTATACTGGGATTAGGTTCCCACCATCTACAAATATTTAAAAAATTGTTGGTTTTGAAACAAAAGCAACTGTAGTAATTTTATAGACTGTGACATATCTTGCTCTACTACGGCCAGAAAAGGTAAGGAAATACTACCACGGTAATAGCAGCTTTTACAAACCACAAATGACTTGCCATTTAGCTGGGGATAGTTAGAAGTGTGACAAATATATAATAAAGGATGTGTGGCAAAGTCTTCACTTTTTTACTCTATGTCCTGTGTTGTTTTTAAGACATACCAGCTTTCCTTATTAGAATGTCTTAACCTACCAGTTTATAAATTGTACATACAGAACCAGCTTGGGAAAGTCTTACATTTTTATGACACATCTGCCATCTTGAAAATGTAATACTCTACCTCCCCACTCCAAAAATCACTAACTTTACTGTAAAACCTCCATTCACAAATGGAACACAACGCCTTTGCAATGAGCATTTCAAATTTAAACGAAATACCACCCAGGTCCCAGTCCAACACTAAATACTACACTATAAAGGTAAAGGGACCCCTGACTGTTAAGTCCAGTCGCGAACGACTCTGGGGTTGCAGCGCTCATCTTGCTTTACTGGCCGAGGGAGCCGACGTTTGTCCGCAGACAGTTTTTCCGGGTCATGTGGCCAGCATGACTAAGCCGCTTCTGGTGAAACCAGAACAGCGCATAGAAACACCATTTACCTTCCTGCCGGAGCGGTACTTATTTATCTACTTGCACTTGATGTGCTTTCGAACTGCTAGGTTGGCAGGAGCAGGGACCGAGCAACAGGAGCTCACCCCTTTGCGGGGATTCGAACCACCCACCTTCTGATCGGCAAGTGCTAGGCTCTGTGGTTTAGACCACAGTGCCACCCGCGTCCCTCTACACTACACTGGTTCTCAAATGGATCTTCTAGCCCATTTGTGCTGAAAGGCCTGGGTTGAGCATATATATTTTATTTGCTTTTTCACCTACCACTGGGGTGGCTGTGGCTCCTACATTTTTCCTTCTACAGTGGTACCTCCGGTTCCGAACTTAATTCATTCTGGAGGACCGTTCTTAACCCAAAACCATTCTTAACATGAGGTGCGCTTTCACTAATTGGGCCTCCCACTGCCGCCATGTGACTTCCGCTGACATCCCGGGGCAAAGTTTGCAACCAGAGGCATCAACTTCCGGGTTAATGGAGCTCATTACCCGAAGCATTCGTAAGGAGGACGGTACATAACCCAAGGTTCCACTGTACATGGTTAGCCTGTTTTAGCTGTGTGAAACATCAACCAATCACTTAGTTAGAACAAGGGACGGCTCTGGCTATGATTTTCCTGAGCTATCTGAAAATTCTTTTCTCTGCTTTCTCCTTCCCTTCCCCCTCCATTCTCCTGAGAAGTGTTTGAAACTGGATTCATTTGAAAGCAAAATTGCTATTACTTTGGCAAGGACCCTGTTATTCTGAAATTGCAGGGCATTTCATTTATGCGTATTTATATCACTACCCTGTATTTTTCACTTGGGGGCTGCATTAGTCAAACTTTTGAAAACTGCATTACTCTGCTCTGCAAAACAGAGCAAAACACACTTTTGCTCAGAGTGTGTCTGTGAGACTTGCGCTTTTGAGCTGTGCTTTATTTTGTGCAAAAAACCCACATTTTTTCCTGCTTATCATTGTCGTCTTCTTGCTGAACCTCAGAAAGCAATACTACCCTCATCCAGCATTGGAGTTCAACAGAACTCCAAACAAAGTAAGAGACTGAAATCTCATTTTTATTGTAGTCTTAGAAGGGGCATGGCTGGCAGGGGGTGAGGCGCGACTATTATGAACCCTGCGCTTCTGAATTTGCCACTATACTACTGTGTTAAGAGGTGGTGGCTAAAATATTTGGCTTGGATACAAGGACAGCCCAAAGTTACAAACCCCTGGGTAAAGTTATTTTATGGAAGTTATCTAATAAAGAACCAAAAGACAGCGAGAAACACGTGTGTGGTAGTACTGTGTTAAATGCAGTAACAGCTGATGAAATGCTGAAAGTGTTTCTCAAATTGAGAAGGGGAAGCCTCAAGCACATACGATTCCTATTAGGTTGTAAACAGTTAAGCATTAAAATGCCCTAGAATGATATTATGGAATGAATGAAATGCACACTATATAAGAGAATCCCGCCTTTCTGCAATTATTTTTAATTAGCCTTCCTATTAAGTATGATTTTAACTTCCAACACCAAGTCAGATTTGAAGAGATGGGCAGTTGAACTCCGAACGCTGGGGAATAGCAATTCTGTTGTTCATGCCCCAGAGCACTAATGCATTTTACATCAAGCTCAAACATCAGGAAATCCTGGCTTCTGGCGCCAAGAAGTTCAAAACTGTAATGACACATGTCTGAAAACTGGGATTCACTATCCAAATGCTGCTGTCTATTCTTTCAAGCAAATCACTGTCTCCCCCTCCTTTGCTATGTGAAACGGAGTATTTGCAGCAGAACATGTTTTCAATTAGGCAGTTTTTGCCTTATGAATAGCTCTGCGGATAACCATATAAAAAGTATTCCCAGAAAGAAGGAATGCACTGGAAAATCATAACACAGGTTTTGTGCATATATCCTACTATGCTGCCCCAATTCTAATATTTGGCTGAAAAGTTACAATAGTATCATTAAGTCATATATTATTGCACATTAGCAATATTGCAGCATAATTATCATAACATCACAGCTGTGCCTATGCATGAACTTGCCAATCCCATTCGAAGCATTTGTGTGATACATTGTGAGAAGGGGAAACTAGCAGCAGCGAGGGCTCACTGATGAGGTTACCTATTCAGTTTCTGAGCTTGAAATGGTGCTTTGGAGAATGCTCAAGAGGGCAATTTATTGTCATTCCTATAGTACAAACTGTATTGCAAATTCAGTGATCCAGGTGATCCTCGAACGAAGGGTGGTAAATAAATTTAATGATAATAATTTCCAAGCAGGAAATGATGCCTGAATATACACAGAACAATGCTGTATTGTCTGGAGCTGAGGAAGGGAGAAAGATTTGGCAGGGTAAGGAAGAGACCCACAAGAATGACTGGTACCTTTGTGAGCATTGCTGCTGAACACTTGCAAAAACCCTTGATGTTTTGCAAGTATTTGACTGGTTTTGACTTGAGTTGGGTGTGGTTCTTGCATTACTATTTTCTGCATCTGAGAGGCCTCCATATAGCACAGTATATGAATCAGATATGTATCAGATACCTAAAACCCCTTTTTAAATATTTGAAGCAATCTGTGTGAAGGCCTCTAAGGTAGGCGTCCATATGACACTTGCAAAATTAGCACCTAAAGCAGTTTAAAGCAATACCCACCACCATAAAATGAATAAACATTTGCTTGGCAGGCAGCACCCAAAGTTCTGGTCCTGCAATCACACCTCACATTGTGTTCAATCCTATGATAAATTAACAGTGCAGGAAGTGCCCCCAAGCTACATTTGAAAAGGGAGTGTCAACTCTTGATTTTTATGTTTGATTTTACTCTAAATCAATTCGGATCTCTGAAGAAAGTGCATTAATTACACAAAATGTTAGCTATGTGAATTTAGCACTGCACTGAATTTTCACACGGTTCATTTTACAGTGCAAACGCTGCCATGGGATTTATTTATTTTTTTAAGAGCGGAGGGAGGGGGGGAGATTCGGCCAAAAGATGCCAGCTTTTCATGCTGAACGATGCACATCACGATCTCTCTTCCACCTGGCAGGCAAGAGAAGGGGAGGGGCCTAAGGGTGTATCACAGCTCTAAGCGGCCACTGGAAAGGAGAGGAACGTTTTGCCTTTTCTCACGCATCTCCTTAAATCTACCAAAACAGTGAAGCACTTTTTTAGAATGTAAAAGGTTTGGTGAAAAGGGTCCTCAGCACTAATGCTACTTGGTCTCTACAGTGCAAGGGACCAAAATGCATGAGTTTTCAGAATGTCTTTTTATATATACGTTTGTATTCGAGGTCCTGAAAGCAACTGTAACTTTTGTGTGAGGACAACTTGCTTTTTCACAGCTGAAGAAAAGGGCCTCATTTGGCAAACAGACAAGATGTTTCACACACACACACACACACACACACACACACACAGCCAGATTGCAGCCATCATCATCTTTCATAAGAATATACAGCCAAGAGGGACCGTACTGATCAAGATGGATTACTGCCTGCTGAAATCTGTCATCTCAATGGGCCATAAATAAAAATACAGATCTGTGAACCTCACTTTCAGACTCCATAAGCTAGTTTGCATACTTCCATGCTCAAATTCCTCTAGTAAATAGTAACATTTATTTGGTTGGCAATTTAGGTGTCTGAAACAAAGCACGTAAAGGCAGTTCAGCTCTCAGGGCTTTCACATTTCTATACCAAAATTTTAAAGCAGCTCTAGGTTGTAGTATTCCCGGAAAAAGTTCCAGTGCCATTTCTTACCATCTACATTCTTCCTTTTTGTGATTCTCTTGTTAGGAAATATTCACATACAATGCACTCTCCCAGACGTGTCTTACTGAAGAAAATACTACAGTTTGTTTATGCACTGTTCAAAGGGATACCTTCCAAACCCATCTCTTTATTTCACAAACATGTCTCCTAAATAAAAGGTGTTCCATAATTCCAGCAAAGAAGCAATGCCAAATCTGTTGCAAAATCAAAGTTCACCTACTTGGTCTTCCCAGAAAAGTTGGCACATGATCAGAATGGAAGAGACGGGAGAGGTGCAGACACACATTTCTGAAAAAACTAGTGCGGCAATGGATTTTTATGATATTAAATTTTCAAGATAAAAAGTGTGCTTTTGAGTAATTTTAGAAGCCCTAGGGAAAATAGCCCCACCTTAGTGATCTTTTGCATCCCTTTTCAGTGATGTATATGGTTGCTTTTCTATCATTTAAATGTTGCTTCTTGTGATCAAGGTTCACTTTTCCTGGCAGTACACAGCCAGCCAGATCTAATATTGCAATAACTCAACTAAGGGCAAAAAAGCCCTCACACTGATTGCAAAGGCATGTGGGAAACATTTTGTTTTGCTACGCTGCAGTTGCCGTTTTATTGTGCTCAACAGCATCTGCCTTGATCTAGAAGCATATAACACACATGGCTACACGAGCTAAGATATACACAGGGAGATGCACTTCTGAATGTGTCTTCTCATTCACATCTCACCTAACTTAATCAGGTGTGTGGCTGGACGGGAGAGCACACCATCAATGACAAAGCCCATCCTCTCTTCCTTGACACACTCTTGCAAAGAGCCTCTCTTAAAAGGATGTGGAAAATCACTAAAGGGAGGGTCGTTTTGTAGAAGAAAGTGTTGCAAAACGTGCCACTACCACCCATTTCAGCTCAATGCTTAAAATTACTCCGAGTGGCTTTTTGAAGCCCAGGGCATCAGCAATAATGCTGTCCGTTAGGTAGAAAGATTTTAGTTAAAAAATAATAACAGCAGTAGAGAAATTTATATTTAACAACTCATTTAAAATTACTGAAACCATCTCTGTTAAGTAAATCAAAACTCCAAATACAGACCTGTTTCCAAATAACAATGCCTGTCACAACACGGAAATAATTGTGTGGTCTGGTTTTGTGTTCTGTTTTATTGATTTTGGGAAGCTATCAGAAATACTTTGTTATACCAATCTGTTAGTAGAAACCCAGGATTCAAATGACAGCTGGGGCTTCCAACATAACAAAATGGTAAAGTTTGGTGAATGGTTTCTACTTTGCAGCTTTGTTCCCATACTATGTTTTTTAAAAGTGGCTTGACTGACAGTTATACTCCGTCATGCACTGGGTGGCTGGAGAGATACAGAAAGAGAATGTCTGCCATATTCTCCTCACATAGGGCTTCCATCAAATCCTACAGCCCCTCAGGCAGCAGAGATGGAGTACAGAATCGCACCTACCCTGAAACACGTGTTTGAAAATGTACAAATCCAAAGCTTAAGATGTGACATTGATAACGTTTGAATTAATATAAGCTTAGCCTTTTGCAGAATCAATTTACCTGCTGGAGAAATGATGCTGACCCACAAGGTCTCCATTCTGAAGGTGGTAATCACCAAAGAAATCAGGACTCACTGCTCCATCGTGTGCTATCAGTCCTTCTATATAAAGAGAAGAGGTAGAGGCTGAATGTGCTGTTTATCCATTTTTATTTACTATTACATTTTCACCCCACCATTCCTCCAAAGAGCTCAAGGTGGTGTATATGCTTCTTCATTTCATCCTCATAACAACCCTGTGAGGTAGATTAAGTTGGGATATAGGGACTGTCCTGAGGTCACCTTCAAGCCCGAGAGGGGATTTAGTCTCCCAGAACCTAGTCTGACCCTTTGACCACTACCCTACCCTAACCTAGGAAGTCTTGGCAAACTTGTGAAAATTCAGTCCCAGCAGTTATCAATATAAACAATTTAAACCAATTCCCATTAGACCAGGGCTCAGCAACCTTTTTCAGCCGTGGGCCGGTCCACCATGTGGTCCTCAGACCATGTGGTGGGCTGGACTATATTTTGAATAAATAAATAAATGAACAAATTTCTACGCCCCGCAAATAACCCAGAAATGCATTTTAAATAAAAGGACACATTCTACTCATGTAAAAACATGCTGATTCCCGGACCGTCTGCAGGCCGGATTGAGAAGGCGATTGGGCCGCATCCAGCCCACGGGTATTAGACTGTTATTTACCACAATTGCAATTTGCATCTAAAGAACAGGCCAACAGGGGATGGTTACAATTTCATTACTAAGCAGTAGATAAACAGATCCACATGCTTTCTACCCTAAATTAAGCACAAATGGATGCCTTAGTAAAGAAACACAAATTCCCTTGCAACGCAGAGATCCCTAAGAAAGCTTTCAGCATAAACAAGGTGTGACAAAGAAGGTGGTGAGTAAGAGTGAGCAACTGAGAGGCAAGATTTTGTTCGCAGCAATACCATCTCATTTCAACTGAACTGACCAATGCTATAGTTGGGGCTTTTAGTATGTAGCAGGTGGGAGTCTTCACAGCTCAGTTTTGCTCTCTGTGAGTCTCAGTTCCTTTTGCGTATCAATTACCTGCAAGTCCAATATCCTACCACTGCATTCTTTCACAACTAAGACTCAGAATCAAAGCAAGCATTGGGGGGGGGTGCATACCCAACGTGCTTACCAACATGATGGGGGGGGGTAGGGCAGAGGTGCAGTTGAGGTGGCAAGGGCACACTGGCACAGCCAATTCATTGATGCCACTGTTGCAGTCATACCACCCAAAGTCACTGCCATCATGTTCTGCCCCATCCTAGTTAAGTGACACAACTCCATGGTCAATAGGGCAGCTTTGTGGACCCATTCCTGGCGAGAGTGTTTTGCAGGAGGCAGCTGACAAAACTATTATTATACCATTCCTTTGTGGGAGGGGGGGGATCAAGATCTCCTTCGACAGGCTTTTGAGAATGTATTGAAAATCCAATGCCTCTTTTATATACAGTGATACCTTGGTTTACGAACTTAATCCGTTCCGGAAGTCCGTTCTTAAACCAAAACCGTTCTTAAACCGAGGCATGGTTTCCCTAATGAGGCCTCCCACCACTGGTGCCCTTCCACCGTTCGGATTCCGTTCTTAGACCGAGATAAAGTTCGCAAGCTGGGACACTACTTCCAGTTTTGCGGAGTTCGTAAACCGAACACAATCATACCTCGGGTTACAGATGGTTCAGGTTGCACGTTTCCGGGTTGTGCACCGCGCCAAACCCGGAAATACTGGAACGGGTTACTTCCGGGTTTTGGCGCTCGTGCATGCGCAGAAATGCTAAATCACGCTTTGCACAGATGCGCGGGTCGGGTTGCAAACATTGCGGGTTGCAAACGTGCATCCCGCATGGATCACGTTCGCAACCCAAGCGTCCACGGTAGTTCTTAAACAGGGCTGTTCTTAAACCGAGGTACAGTCGTACCTTGTTTTGTGGCTGGGATCCATTCTGGAGCCCCGGCCGCTAGCTGAAAAGGACGCAGGGCAAAGTGCCGCGTCTGCACAAGCGTGGCAAACCACTGCGCGAGTGGCAAACCCGGAAGTAACCTGTTCCGGTACTTCCAGGTTTGCCACGGACATTCGCCGGAATGGACGCTAGATGAGGCGTACGTTCACGGAGGTATTACTGTACCACTGTACTAAAATACATTTTGAAAGAAAAACATTGCCTATCAAACTGATCGCTCTTAAAAATTAATCATTTTAACGTGTAGTATTAGAGATACAGGGTGGTATTCAACTAAGTTTTATGCAGAGTAGACCCAATGTAATTAATGAACGTGACCATGGTCAATTAATTTCAGTGGGTCTACTCAAAGTAAAGCATGGTGAGTGCCACCCATAATGCATTAATATACATATCAAAAGCAACGTGATTGCATCGTAAAATAATGGTGCATGTATTAATTTAACTTTATCACTGTAAAAACCATGTGAATTATGAACTTATGCCAGTTGCTAAGCATGCATTCAGCTACCTATAATAACAAACTTAATGTAAGCCAACGTTTTTTTCTTTCCCAGCAAAATATCTTAACTTTAGCTGAACCTCTCTGTAAGATTGGGTATACTGGGAATCAACTCCATGAAATGCTTGCAGGGAGCTTGTGCAGTGGGGAAGTTAATGTTATCTGTATCAGCCTTACCTGCATTGTAGTAAAGATCAGGTCTTTCAAGAATGTCCCCTTCATGAATATATGGCTCAATCCGGTCATCCCCATACAAGTACTGTTCATTTTCATCCATCTGCCGACTTTCCACCATTTCCAGCCACTGAGAGTTGTGCCATCGAAACTTCTCACTCTGGATCTTCTTGGCCCATTCCTCATCATATTCCTGTTTGGGAGATTTAAAGGCTTTAATACTAGCTAGTCTTAAAGTAAAAACAGTTATTAGTTCTTCACTTTTGCTATTAAACTTTTTGGATAGGTAATTAAAAAAGGCACCTTAAAAGCTAAAATCATTACGCTTCCCACAAGAGTGAACCCAGGCAAAGGTTTTACTTTTCTGCCAACAAATCATGAGCAAAAGTCAATGTTTTGTTCTCAGCTTGCTGCTTGCAGTTTGTTTAAAGTGTGGGGAGAATCTCCAGCCCCTAGGCCAAATTTGTGCCATGAGTCCATTTCCTCCTAACTTGTTGTCCAGTTTGGTGCAGGTACAGAAGTGGCTGGATTGGCTGCACAGCTGAGTACCCCATGAGAAACTTGATCACAAAGATCAGTGTTTCCCAAAGTTGGCAATAACGCCTCCTGGGGGGCTCTGGAACAATCCAGGGGAGCAATAGAAGCCTCAAGTGCAATTGGGGGGCATTAAATAAAAATAAGGGGCTGGCGGAAGCATAAAGAATAGAATTCTGAAAAACTGTTCATACATGTTTCGCCTGTTGCGTAATGACACTTACCGCCAGGTCTGGCGCTGTTGTGAGATGGCAACAATGCCTCCCCCTGGATCTGATGGTTGTGCTGGAGGGAGGGATTTTCCTGGGTGTGGGTGAACACTTTTTGGCTTCACCCAGGCCCAAGAAGTAGGTCACAGCTTGCCTGCCTATTTGGCCAATGGCAGGTGAGCTGCAGCGCTGGCCCCACCCCTGGGGAAGATTGGACTGAACAGGCAGGCTTGACTCTGGTCCTGGGGCCTAGTCCACCTCCTCGCCAAGTTTTGAAAATCTGTTCGTACATGTTTCATCTGCACGTCCGATGTTGTAGGACAGTGGTTCCTAATTAACCAATTACTGAGGACCCCCTATTTTTCAAAACCCAAGCCATGGACCCCCTACTCTGGTAAATTTTGATAACTCCTTGGTAGTTACCTCTGCAAAGCAATTTTATGGACAAAATGTGGGGTAGCCCCTTATAAGCAAAGGATTTTAGGCATACTAAAAAAACAACAGACTAGGGCTAAGTGATATCCGGTTTTCAACATCGTGATATATCAGCAGTTAAACATTGTGATATTCCGATATATCACGATGTCTGAAACTGGAGATCAGTCATGGGGATAAGGAAAGGAGCAGTCACAGAGGTCCGGTGGATGGTGTGTGTGCAAATCAGGCATGGAGGACATAGGACGTAGTGCGGTACGACGTAGGTAGAAATAAAGATACACAAAAGAATGCAAAATTGTCACTGCATATTTCTGTTTGTTTGCCTAAAGAAGGTGGCGGCATGCTGAGTAATTCTTTTCTGAAAAGGGGACAGTAGGCCAAAGAAGTTTGGGAACCTCTGACATAGATAATTCCCACAGAAAGCAGGGTTGAAGTGGGGGGTGACTTCAAGCCTTCTGAATCAGATGTGTGGGGATTTCTGACAAATAGCCAAAACAGAAGATAAGCACATGGGAGGCAAGACCATTGTTTGAGCATGTATAGCAGTGAAAATACTGTTCTTCCCCCTGCTGCAAATTTAGCCAGTTCTTGTTATTGTCCTCTACCTTTATTAGCACCTTCATCATGGAAAATACACAAATTATTTCTGCAGGGTATGTGCCATCCTTTTTGAACGACTAAACCTTTCCCTAGAGTACTAAACCACTGACACTTTATGAAGCATTAAGTAGCCTCTCAAAATCTGGGTGCTATCCATTGGGGTCCTCTTTGTCACTGGTTTCCGTCACACCTTTTATCTAATTAAAATACTCGGTGCTAAGAGAGAACTATATAAATCTGTTCTGTGTTTCGCTGTGTCTGATGGAAAACAGATTCCCCTTTTTTCTTTAACGTGGCAGGTCCTTAATCTGGTCAGTAATAAGGTTCATTAAAGACAACTGCTCAACTAAATTAAAGCTGCAATGCAGTAAGTTGGAAGCACAGAAAAGAAAAAAAAACCCACTTGAAATGTTATACAGCCATACATATCTTTGCACACTACATAAGCTCACAGCTACTGTAGTAAAACACAATATGCCTGAAACCACCAGGATTGTATCACAAAACTGCTACCTTGAATTTTACTTCTTGGGGTTATTTATCTTAAACGGTGCCAACACATAGCTTCTAACCACAATTTGTCCAACAATTTAGGCTGATGTAGTATTATTATCTGCCCTGTGGCAATAAAGTACAGTTGAAATAGAGAGACAAGTTGGACTTGTAAATATATTGTGAAGACACACTGTGGAGATGGTATGTTACATTCTGAAACTACCGTATTTCATCGCATAATCGTTGCCACCGCATAATAGTCACACCCCATTTTTCTCCAGCCCTAAAATCGGTTCCAAAGCTTTCACCCCATTAATCACCGCAGAGTGGATTTGAGCAGAACATCCAGGTTCTGAAGAGAGAAAATGCCAGCAAGATGGCAATCGCCACAGGCTCAGTAAGCTGCTACTGGAGCCAGAAGATGGGGGACCCGGAGACCTGGAAAAGCCACAGAGGGGACGCAACCATGCTATGTGCAAATATTTATACAGGAATGACCTACAGAAACAACCCAAAGTCTAGGAGAAACAGCTCTGCCTTACTAAATATGAAACATTTATTTTCATGAAATACCGTATTTTTCGCTCTATAACACGCACCCAACCATAACACGCACATAGTTTTTAGAGGAGGAAAACAAGAAAAACAATATTCTAAATGAAACAGTGGATGTATGATTTTTGTGGTTCATGCTGTGGCCACAGACATGTGATCTGACGGTGAGTTTGGGGTAGCCCAATGCAAAAATCCTGAGGATCCATGTGGATCCGTGCTTTGTAACCACGTTTTTGCACCACTGCGGCCCCAGGCAACAGTGGGTGCGTGATTTATTTGGTGCAAGCTGCAGCCATGGACATGCTATGTGATCTGATGGTGAATTTGGGGTGACCCAGTGCAAAAATCCTGAGGATCCATGTGGATCCGTGCTTTGTAACCAGGCTCTCTGTCCCTCTCTCCTCCCCACTCAGCGGCTCTTCTCCCGCTTTGCTGTTTCAAAGCGAGCCACGGAGGAGGGAAGGAAGGGGAACCATGGATCCTCTGCTCACGACTGCAGCAGATCCCCCCCGCCACCCGTAGGCATTCGCTCCATAACACACACAGACATTTCCCCTTTCTAGACGGAAAAAAGTGAGTGTTATGGAGCAAAAAATACAGTATATCATAGTACTAAATGGGTGAAATAATCCAGGGGTGGGGAACTGCATACATGCAAAAATGTTACAAAACACCACTGATCGCGACTTCCTCACAAGGGTAAATTAAGTATTTTTGAGGACTATAAATATGATTTTGCATGAATTAAAATCTCCAAGTCTTAAAATATTGTAAACAATCATTTGAAGTACACACTTGCATCTAAAAAAATAATCTGAAAAAACAGAGTTTACTCGTTTTTATGCACACAGACATTCAGGGCAGTGTTTCAGTGCACAGGAGTTGCTGTTTCTGCCTAATATTTCAATCTGATCTGATCCACATGGTATAACAATTATTCTTTTATAAGAAAATATTCACCATATAAGACGGGAGAAAGCGCCTTAAAATAAACACACTGAATTGTTTTTTTAAATCATATAACCTAGCATAGAAACTTCAAAAGGCAACGCATAATAAAGGACCCCACCAATCCTAAGTTTTCTGAATGCACCTATAATTTTGGAAGCAAAAATAACTGAGTAAAATAGGAGGAACAAATTTTACTGAAACGTATTTGCAACACAATTGACATAATTTTCAGTCACATGTCAGAAAATACTACTGCTTTTCAGAAAAAAGGTGCTTGTTATTTTCATTAATACTCAGAAGGAAGAAAGTAAAAAGTCACTTACTGCTATTATATCCAGTGTATTGTCACAGACTTTACGGATCTCAGCATTTTTATCATGCATCAGGTCTATAAGATATGCTGGAGCCTCTACAAAGACATAGTTAAGGACGTAAAGCAATTATGGATGCCTCCAAATAGTGTTCTATACAATTTTGGTATGAACAATGTATGCCAGGGGTGAAGAAACTGTTTCAAACTTATTTTAACATAGCATTTTAAATTCATTCTAGACCCTTGTGGTGAAGGGTAGGTAAGAAATAATTTAAATAAAACGCAGAACTGCAGAGTTGGAAGGGACCTCAAGCATCATCTAGTCTAACCTCCTGTAATGCAGGAATCTCAACTAAAGCATCCATGACAGATGGCCATCAGACATCTGCTTAAAATCTTCAGGGAAGGAGTGTCCATCACCTCCTGAGAGAGACTGTTCCACCGTCTAACAGCTCTCACTGTCAGAAAGTTCTTCCTAATATTGAGTCAGAATCTCCTTTCTTGTAACTTGAAGACATTGGTCCTACCTGTCAGAGCAGGGGTAAACAAGCTTACTCCATGTGACAACCCTTAAGGTATTTGAACATGGCTAACCTATCTCCCCCTAGTGTCCTCTTTTCCAGGCTAAACATCTCCAGCTCCTTCAACCATCTTCATAAGGCTTGGAAGAAACACACATCTGTTAACATTAAATTACTGAGACGCGGGTGGTGCTGTGGGTTAAACCACAGAGCCTAGGACTTGCTGATTAGAAGGTTGGCGGTTTGAATCCCCGCGACGGGGTGAGCTCCCATTGCTCGGTCCCTGCTCCTGCTTCGAAAGCATGTCAAAGTGCAAGTAGATAAATAGGTACTGCTCCAGCGGAAAGGTAAACAGCGTTTCCGTGCGCTGCTCTGTTTCTCCAGAAGCGGCTTAGTCATGCTGGCCACATGACCTGGAAGCTGTACGCCAGCTCCCTCGGCCAATAAAGCGAGATGAGCGCCGCAACCCCAGAGTCGGCCACGACTGGACCTAATGGTCAGGGGTCCCTTTACCTTTACCTTTACTGAGAACTCTAAAGAAAAGGGAGTGTGCTTTTTAAGTGGGAGATAGACTTGCTATTAACAATGCTAGAAAGAAAAACAACCAATAGGTGTTTCTTTTCATTACATTTGGAAAGCAGGAATACAGATCATTCCCTAATCCCCTATTACATCACCGCCCACAGTAACTGATTTTGAAAGCATAAAGATATGCTAGCATCACATGCAAAATGGAAATAACAGCCATTTGTTTTGCATATGTATATGTTCCCAGCGCCACTCATTAAGCTAAGATCATATGAACATTTTATTAAAGCTTGCAGCCTTACTAAAAAGTCATGTAAATGTTTATGGATACAAAAAAAATACAGTTGTTATGGAGATGGTTTAGCACACATGCTAATAAGCTCATTCTATGACCTGACTACACTAAACAACTTCTATTCCAGAGCAAAAATGAGTGTTATAACATAGTGTGATATTCAACTAAGATTTACTCAGAACAGACTCAACAAAATGTACATTACTAAGGTCCAGTAATTTTGATTGGTCTACTCTGAGTAAAACTGAACGGAATACCACCCATAGCTATGATCCCATGCAGCGTCAGCAGCAGAGTTCACAGAAGAGCAGCAGCAGCAGCTTTGGAAACAAAAACTACAGATCAAAAACCACAGCTATTCCTGCCATCATCCTTTGAAACTGACCACCTACTGCCTCTCCTCCTGTTGTGAATGAAGACATCCAAGATTAGTGACAGGGATGGGGGTGGACAGAAGAGGAGAAGGCATGTTATTTCGTTTGCTATCCCTTATAAGAACAGAAACACAGCTGTGAAGTGGGGCCATTTCTGAAGGCAACACAGAATAATTGGATTGCCAGCCCTTTCACTTTTGCAGAGCTCCCATTTTTAAGAAAGCTGCGTGACACACAGAAGAGTAACAAATACACTTTCACCGTCACTGCATCTCCGTGGTAGGCATGGCTGCAGTCATTACATTTGCCCCGGGAAGGCACAGGAATCCTGGGAGGACCAAACTAGTAACCCCACAAAGGAGTTACTCCTCCTCAATAAATAGCAGCTTAAGATACAACACCGATATTAGCTTCAATTGCTTCACTGCATCTCTAGAAAATAGTTGGTTATATATATATTTTTAAATGATCCTAAAATACAAAGCGGACGCGGGTGGCGCTGTGGTCTAAACCACTGAGTCTCTTGGGCTTGCCGGTCAGAAGGTCAGCGGCTCGAATCCCCGCGACGGGGTGAACTCCCGTTGTTCGGTCCCAGCTCCTGCCCACCTAGCAGTTCGAAAGCACGTCAAAGTGCAAGTAGATAAATAGGTACCGCTCCGGCGGGAAGGTAAACGGCGTTTCCGTGTGCTGCTCTGGCTCGCCAGAAGCAGCTTAGCCATGCTGGCCACATGACCCGGAAGCTGTCTGAGGACAAACGCCGGCTCCCTCAGCCTAGAGAGCAAGATGCGCGTGCAACCCCAGAGTCATCCGCAACTGGACCTTAACGGTCAGGGGTACCTTTACCTTTAAAATACAAAGCAATTCAATTTCAAATAGAAATGCATGGTCTGTGGTGAACCTATAGTGATGAAACCTTGAAATAAGAGCTTCTGCATATTCTGTAGAACCAATAAAAGCACTGCAGCAGGACTATTTGATCTATAGAAGAAGGATACGAGTCTCCTTGATTATGACATCTCTCGTGGCTTGATGGAAGACCATCTGGTAAAACACATAAATGATTTGGCACACAAACTCGTCGTCTTCTTGCTGAGCTATACAAAAGGAAAAAGAATTGCCCCATCAAACTTTAAATCCCCAATTACTAGCATTTAATCATGAAGATGATGCATTAAATTTTCTAGATCATAATCCACACAAACATATACACTAAAAACATACCAGTTTTAACCAAAGTTCAGGAGTGGCATTTGTCTGAAGGTTCTCCAGAGTTACTTACAGAAGGGGAGAAGCATGCGCTTATAATTCCAAGGGACATCCTGAATTGGAAGGAAATCAATGCCACTACTTTCTACAGCTTTCTACATATTCTTCTCGCTTTGGAGGGTGGGGGGAGGGCAGAATATGCCACCAATCTTCCCACCCCATTTTACTTTTGGAGATTTGGAAGATATGCACTCTGAGTTAGCACACTGCTTTGCTCCACCCACTTAACCCCAAGAATTGTCTTTGCTCAGGCCACTTCCATAAAAAAAGCAAAAGTGAAAATCCCACCCTCTAAATCCAAATAGCTCTGCTACCTGGCCTAGCTCAAAGCAAATACAGTGGAACCTCAGTTTTTGAATGTAATCCATTCTAAAAGACCATTCAGCTTCCGAAAAGTTTGAAAACCGAAGATCAAAGGGTGGCCAGCAAAATCCATTGAAAAAATGGAGAAAGCTGTTCGAATTCTGAGGCGCATTCAGAAACGGAAGCAATTACTTCTGGGTTGTCGGCGTTCGGGTTCCAAATTGCTCATCAACAGAGATGTTCGAGAACTGAGGTTTCACTGTAAACTAGGAGTCCCTGGTCTGCTTGAAGTAAAAAGTGACTCCTTGTTTGTTTTTTAAACTAGTTCTGAAGGAGGTGGACAATGGAGGTGGTTGCCTGCATTAAGGACAGAAGGCAGGGCTTTGGAGCACAACTCTCCTTGCCTTTAGGACAGAACTACCCACTGCACTCCGACTCCACATCCAGGAAATCTGGGCACCACTTTTCCTGAGCAAAGCAGCACCAAGAAGAAGCAATGTGTAGGCAGAAGTGGCAGTTTGGAGAAAGGAATTTAATCATGCTCCTGCCAACTTTCCACACCCCTGCCACTTATTTTCCAGCTGGCATCCCAGATCTGTGTTTGTGACGGAGGCATAGGTTGGAATAAAAACCACTAGGAAGAGAATTGTGGAAAATGGCAGGCAAGGGAAAGGTTAGACACCCCCCCACACACACTTCCTAAATTTCTCCTCTCCTGTTAATCACTCATGCGCTGATACCACTTTGCAGAGGGAAAGTAGCAGTCACAAGTTTCAAGACGTGAAGTAGACAGAATGTGCAGTTTTCAGGCTTAATCTACATGTCCATCTCACATCTGGAAAGTCAGGAATGTGTCAACCGGTGCCAGATTGGCCTGAAGATAAATTGGGCTTTTAAAGTGTTCCAATTCAAAACTTAAAAAACCTCAAGGGATTTTTGAGTGTTCATCTGGAAGACTTGAAAAGTCCAATTTATTCACCACACCCTCTTCACTACTAGACACCCCCCTTGCTCAAGTAAAATAATAATAATAATCCATAACTTGTGGAAGGGTGGGGTCCTCAAATTCTGGTCAGCCTTGGTAGTAGTCACTCCCCTGAAATATGTGGTTCCCAGGACCCTACTGCCTCAGAGGGGCTGGTCCTTTGTCGAAAGTCACACTGAATTCCCAAGTCAAAACCATCTGAAGCTCAGTTCTGGGTTAGTGATGTGTTTCCGCTCTCCTTTGAGCTGAACTGAGAACAGCTCTCCAGAGAGCATGTGTCCCTTTTCTCAGCTCTAAGCCATGCCCCGCATGTGAGCTGCTGCTTTTCACCAATGCATCCTTTCGTTACAGCTGAAAGGAGTCTTCTGTAGATCATTACCCCTTCTCCTTTGCCAACGGAAAACTTCTTTAGCTTGGGGAAAGGCAAGGGTTGGGAAGAATAAAGAGATGGGGCACAGTAGAGGGAACGTACAAGCCCCATTTTTAGCTTGTCCAAGGTCAAAAGAAGATGGAGCCAAACATTAATAATAGCCGGCCTTCTTGAAGAAGGGGCAGAGAAGAGTTAGCATTTCAAGTCCCAACCTCTTGAATATTCTTATTTTTAATGAGAGGTCTACTCAGAGGAGTTGCTAAGATGAAGTAAATTGCTCTCGTCGAAAAAAATTCCACAGTAATTTTTGTACAATTTTTTTTTTTGAAGTGGTATATCCACTGAAAGTATTTGTCTTGGATGAGCATCAGAGGGCAATAAACAATCTAACATTAAATAAGCTTTCGCAACATAGGTTTAATACTCAAGTGCTTACAGACTTGTGGAACTGGGAACTGTGCGCAAACACACACACACACACACACACACCCAACATCCATAGGAGATTCTTAATAACATACCATTTAGTAGTTCAATGAGTGCTGGAATAATCCCAGATTTAGCTAGCAGCGCTGCACAAGAATCATCCATGGACACTGTGCCAATCATTATCACCACTTCCAAAACAAGGTCATCTTCTGCAGAACCTGATAAATTTAACAAAGAGAGAGGGTATTGTTGAATCCCACAGACACACACTAAGCTTCATGCTGGAAGAAAGCCACACCCAGAGAGAATCTTTCAATATGGCCAGCAAAACTTCTTTTTTTTAGCGGCAAGCAAGCATCTGAGGTGTCTGCCATACTGATGCAACATCCTTGTTTAGCCTTCAGCCCCAACAAAGTACAACAGGGTTGCTGATCATTACTCCTCTGCCCCATTCTAAACTCTCTCTCTCTTTTTTTTTTTTAAAACCGATGCAGTGGGCTAATAGCCAGGAAGACTTTAGGACAGCACCTATGTCACAGGTTCTTTGAGACAACCGTTGCTTTGGGAGTTTCAATATCTGGTAAGGGATTGTTAGATCCAGTGCTTTTTTTTCTAAACAAATGTTTAGGGGTACTCTCATTCTGACTAAAGAAAATCACCATTTTATAGTTCAAATCGGGGAAAATAAATACAGTAAATAGACAAAAGTACAAAGATTCACAAAATGTTTAGGGGTATGCGTACCCTTGTGCCCCCCCCCCCCAGAAAAAAGCACTGGGTCCTTCAGAGCATTTTCACCAGCCCTGCACTCATCTTACCAGAAGTCAAGCTCAGTTTATTGGTCCTCATTCAGCCCAGCACTGCATCCAGGCTCCAGTCCAGTTCCTGCACCACTACACATGATACAGATATTATGGAGAAATAGAGCTGAGTGCCATCGGTGTACTGACAACAGTATGTTCCAAATGCCCCAATGACCTCTCTCAATGACCTCATATATATGTTAAATAGCACTGGGGACAAAACTGTGCTCTGCAGAACGCCATAGCCTAACTGCCACAGAGCAGAAGAGCACTTCCTCAATACTATGCTGACCCTGGAAGTAGGAGTGGAACCTCTGTAAAACATGCCCCCAGTACCCAGTTGGGTCCAGGAGAATGCCATCATCAAAGATGTCAAAAGCTGCAGAGAGACTGAGGAGAAGGTCATGCTTTACTTGTCTTGCTCTCTCTATAAAGGTCATTAATCAGGGCGACGTTGACTGATTCCATCCCAAAGTCAGCGCTGAACCAGACTGGAATAGGTCTAGATAACTGGTATATTCTAAGAATGTCTGCAGTTGTACCACCAATGCCGCCTAGATCACCTTCCCCCCAAACAGGGTATTTGTGGTTGGTCGAAAGCCGTCACAAAGCATTGGGTTCAGGGTGGGCTTCTTTAGGAGTGGCTGTAATACTTCCTCTTTAATGGCAGTGGGGACAATCCCCTTAGGCCAGTGATGATCAAACTTGGCCCTCCAGCTGTTTTGGGACTACAACTCCCATCATCCCTAGCTAGCAGGACCAGTGATGAGGGATGATGGGAACTGTAGTCCCAAAACAGCTGGAGGGCCAAGTTTGGCCATCACTGCCTTAGGTAAAGACATAATTACCACCTCCTGGACCCAGCTGGTTAAACCTTGCCAGCTAGATTTGATTAGCCAAGAGGGACAGAGCTTGAGAGGGCACATGCATGATCAAGTGCATTACTGTAATGTGTCACAATCATTATTACTGGAGAAAGGGAAGGAAGCCTAGATAATCCACAGGTGTTATAACACTGTCTCTTCCTGTATTTGTTAATCATTTGGCAAAGTAAAGTCAGCTTTCTTGGTTTATTTTGCCAAACAGAGAAATCAGGATTTAAAGAGCTGTACCCTTTCTATTTTTTCTATTTTGGGACGCGGGTGGCACTGTGGGTTAAACCACAAAGCCTAGGACTTACTGATCAGAAGGTCGGTGGTTCGAATCCTGGCGACAGGGTGAGCTCCCATTGCTCGGTCCCTGCTCCTGCCAACCTAGCAGTTCAAAAGCACGTCAAAGTGCAAGTAGATAAATAGGGACCGCTCCGGTGGGAAGGTAAACGGCATTTCCGTGCGCTGCTCTGGTTCGCCAGAAGCGGCTTAGTTATGCTGGCCACATGACCCAGAAGCTGTACGCCGGCTCCCTCGGCCAATAAAGCGAGATGAGCTCCGCAACCCCAGAGTCAGTCACAACTGGACCTCATGGTCAGGTGTCCCTTTACCTTTTCTATTTTAGCCCCTGTAACCTCTTTACCCCTAAATGTCAGGAGACCGTCTGGAATGGCGGTCCATAATGTGCAAACAGCTGCCACCAGCAAAGAAAATCAGCACACACGTGTCATAAAACACACCCCATCAGACTCTTCTTTGGATTTCTGGTCAGAAAGACTTTGAGCATGGAAGCCGCTGGCTATTTATAGGAAAACTACATTTTAAAGCTTGTACAGATGTGAAAGCATATCTGGGTAGTAAATGAAAACATATGATTATTGGTTTATACCTCTAGAAAACTTGTTTTCTGGATACGGGGGAAAGCCCCCTATATAGTTTCAAAAACCTGACTAGGATATCTGATGTTTTTGTCTGACTGAGAATCAGACCATGACTGGATTGTCATTTGGGATTTTAGCCCAACTATGAAAGTTTGCTGAAGTGTTACTTTATGCTCTTCAACTTCCCAAAATTCAAAGTAAAACCCGTGCAAATTAATGAACCTACAACCATGCCGCACAGAAAAACAAAGTATCTTGAATTACTAGGCATTCATAATACATACCTGGCTTTAATTTATCTTTGAGGTATGGTACCATTTTGTACTCTTTCAAGACAAGTTCCCAATCCAAATCAGGCAATGTCAAATTGGCCAGTGTTCCCAAGCATTCGATCACAAATTCCTCATCTTCATCATTTGATACCTGGGCAGCTAGGTCACCAACATAATCCTAAACAAACAAATAAAGCAAGCATTTAACAAATACACTGCATGCATAAAGGAAAAGGCATTGTCTGTTACAATGCTGGTGAACTGGAATGAGCAGGTGTGCCTAGGTGGTTACTAAACTGCTGATTATATTAGAAAGACAACACACACGCAATATTGTGGATCCGACATCAAGAGTGTACTTTGGCAACAGAAACCCTTAACTGTTCTTCCTATGTCAAGCTAATGAATACTTTTTCAGTTCCAGACTCATTATCCAGTCCAACAAATACTTTTTTATATATTAAAATCTAAATTTAGAAAGAAGTGCTATATGAATGCCAACTACACTTTCAAAAATACTTGCAAATACATTCTCAGTATTCAAAGCACTCCATACACATGGTAACAGCTTTATAAAGGCAAGTCAGATATTCTTATAAGACAGATGATGGCAGGGATGCTGAGGTCTGAACACTCAGTAATCAGCTACTGCACAGCAACAGGAAGGACAGAAGAAATTATCTTTTTTAAAAAAAACCTGGCATGCAGTAATATGAACTAGAGAAGTCAGAGTTAACACTGTTTACTATAGTATTCCAACATAATTAAGTCATGTGAAGTGAAAGCATTGGCAAAGCTGCAAATGATCAAGTGCAGTGTTCAACGTGAAGTTATTTTATCCATTATTCAATTTCATTAAAATAAAACAAGTCCCCCACCTTATGAAGGGTAGAAATTACTTATAAGGCATGCTTACAATAAACAAAGTTTTGGTTGGCCCATCATGCTGAGAGATGTTCCTAATCATCTTCATCAATAATGGGTCCTTGAATTTCAGTGCTCTCTTCATCAGCATCTTCAGTCCATTTCCTGAAAAGAAACAACCCAAATGAAAGGGGAGGGAGAAATGTATGAACCAATTGATTATAACATTTTGTATACAACATTAACAAAGAGACCATCCAATCTATTTACATTGTACATGATGCCTACTCTGGTTATGTAGCACAAACAACAAACAACATCACATCATGGTAGGGGCTTGCTATAAGTAGTCAACAAAGGGTGGTATGCAATGTTAGTCCTACACAGAGTAGACCTACTGAGCTGACTATTTATATCAAAGGTAGTAGTCTTGATTAGATTGCTCTCCTGTAAGCTGCTATCAGTGATAGCATGTTTTATTGTTTATTTTCTTAATGGGGGGGAGACTCTTTTAAAAAAGAACGAAAAAAGACTGGCTTAGTAATTTGGTAGAAAACTTCCCTTCATTCATTCGTTATTGAGATTTATATCTCATCCTTCTTCCTAGGGTTGCAGGACAGATGACAACAACAATCATCTTATACACAAAATATATTATAAATTTTTTGTAATCTTATAAACTACATATTTGTATATACTGAATACTACATCTTTCTAAGGAAGACTTATCATGGATTTTGCATAGCAAAGTCTTATTTGGCCAGTCTTTTGAGATTTTCAAGTGTCAAAAAGTATACAGACAGGGCTAATCTGGTAGTCATTGTATACCCGGACTTCTAAAATGCTTTTGACAGAATCTACTAACTAAAGCTGTTGAATAAACTTAGGAGTCATGGGGTATGAGAGCAGGTTCTGTTGCATATCTGAAACATGGAACAAGAAGGTAGACATAAGCTGGCTGCTCCTTCAACTAAGGGAAGTAAGGTCCTTTAAAGATCTGTATTGGAACTGGTTCATTTTCTAAATCAAGTCAGGGTTGAGCCAATCCTGATTCATGACATTATTCATAGTTAAGCAGTTCCTCAGCCATAGTGGAATACTCACCTTCACAAATGAGTTGTACATTTCTCTTGTTAGCTGCCAGGTTAATGCAAAAGGAAATGAGCTCGAGGTCGACACGTTCATCAGGGCACTCAAACAACATCTTCATTAACTATCAACACATAAATGTCAAGCAACTGCATTAGTAGCAATAAAAATGAACCCATCTCTTACATGAAACCCACATGACAGGCGAACTAAAGCCAGTGTACTGGAAGAAGCAAAGATCACCAGTGTCAAAGCAATGATTCTTCAACATCAACTTTGTTAGATGGTCATGTTGTTCGGACTTAAAAATGGAAAGGTTAACGTTGGTGGTCAACAAAAACAGTTTAAAGACTCTCAAGGCAAATCTAAAAAAAAAAGTAGTATAAACACTGACAACTGGGAAACACTGGCCTGTGAGCGCTCCAACTGGAGAACAGCCTTTACCAAAGGTGCCATGGACCCTGAAGATGCTCGAACTTGGGACGAAAGGGAGAAACATGCTAAGTGGAAGGCACACTTGGCAAACTCTCACTGTGATCAACTCCTGCCCAGAAACCTATGTCCCCACTGTGGAAGGACGTGTTGATCAGGAATTGGCCTCCACAGTCACTGTTAAGACCATGTTCATGGAAGACAATCTTACTCGGCTACGAGTGATCGCCAAAGAAGAAGACAGCCACATCATCTCAACTTATCTGCCCCATGCATTGCTCAAATATGGTGGCAGACCTTGGTGAAACAACTTAGGTCACCAATAAAAATGTGAGTGGAAGTTGTGCAGCAGCTCTTTGTGGATGGTGTTCTTGGACAACTTTTAGGCAGGGAAAGAAAGGCAGTAAGTTAGTCCTAGAGCAAAAAAGTATATGGAAGATAGACAGTGTAACAGGCCAATATAAATGATCAAACACAACCAGTACAGGATGCAGAGATGTGTGGTGTATGTATGGTGTTTTTAGGGTGGTCTTTGGCTATGGGGTTGGGCAATGTCAAACGTCCTTAAAGGTTCCTGCACACTTCATTCTTCGTTTCTCTTACCTCCTTGAGAAGGGGGGGGGGTGTTGGGTTTTCTTAATACAGTATTGATGTGGTCAACGGTGCTACTGAGTGGTATGCGTTTGTTTATAATAATGTGTTGCATGGCAGCACACCTGCGAACTATCAATGTTTCAGCACACCTGTATCTTAACAACGTAACTAATTAGAGGTGGAGTTATGTGATGCAGCGATGTGATAGGGTAATTGATTATTTTGAAAACTGTATTTAAGTTGACCAAACGTTTTGTATGGTACTGGCTGGTGTAGAGTGGTGAGTTGCAACTGTTTAAATATTATTTAAAAATAAAGCAAGCAAAGATATTGTGGGCAAGTTTTTATTCCATCACCCCAGTCCAACAGTGGGGAGACTCTCTTGCAACAGAAAAATAAAGATCTGCCTTGCTTTCACTGGATCCTGCCTCTATCCATTCTTCTCTGACCGATCATGGACCAATCATGGACTTAGGGGACTTAGTCCTATGGAGGGTTGGGCAGCAAAAGCCAGCCCCCCTATTTTTCTATAACGTGTCTCCTTATGCGAGACATGGTCGTGTGGACTTATATATATATGAATTACTCATAAATGCCTTATACAGCATAATCCTACACATGTTTACTCAGAAGTCCCACTATATTCAATGAGGCTTACTCCCTAGTAAATGTGTAGTATTTCATCATTAGAAAGATATTTTACGGATATGTTCATCAGAATGGAATTGTTTTATTGTGCTTCAATATGCAGAATTTTATGTTTGCGTTTATTATTAGCTTTTCTAAATCGACTACAGAGGAACAAGCCATGCTCTCCCAGCCACAGTTCCCTTGACCTGCGATCTGGGAATCACAATGATAGACCTTCTTTGCAAGGCAGTTTTTAAAGCATTTCACCCTTAACAAAATTAACACCACATGTTTAGTTGCAAAAAGGCTGGGGTCAGAAAGAACATGATGAGTATCTGTTCATTGCCATACTTGGTTTGCAAGAAGAAAAACCGCTGCCCAATCACAGTTATGCTAAAATGTTGCATTTCTCTATTTGAGGCAGCTGTCACTTGCAAGAGAGAAATGGTCTCAAACAGAACCATGAATTATTGTTTCTAGACAATGAATTAAAGAACCTTTTAATGAGGGTGAAAGAGGAGAGCGCAAAATATGGTCTGAAGCTCAATATCAAAAAAACGAAGATCATGGCCACTGGGCCCATCACCTCCTGGCAAATAGAAGGGGAAGAAATGGAGGCAGTGAGAGATTTTACTTTCTTGGGCTCCATGATCACTGCAGATGGTGACAGCAGTCACGAAATTAAAAGATGCCTGCTCCTTGTGAGAAAGGCGATGGCAAACCTAGACAGCATCTTAAAAAGCAGAGACATCACCTTGCCAACAAAGGTCTGTATAGTTAAAGCCATGGTTTTCCCAGTAGTGCTGTATGGAAGTGAGAGCTGGACCATAAAGAAGGCTGATCGCCGAAGAATTGATGCTTTTGAATTATAGTGCTGGAGGAGACTCTTGAGAGTCCCATGGACTGCAAGAAGATCAAACGCATCCATTCTGAAGGAAATCAACCCTGAGTGCTCACTGGAAGGACAGATCCTGAGCTGAGGCTCCAATACTTTGGCTACCTCATGAGAAGAGAAGACTCCCTGGAAAAGACCCTGATGTTGGGAAAGATTGAGGGCACAAGGAGAAGGGGCGACAGAGGACGAGATGGTTGGGCAGTGTTCTCGAAGCTACAAACATGAGTCTGACCAAACTGCGGGAGGCAGTGGAAGACAGGAGTGCCTGGTGTGCTCTGGTCCATGGGGTCATGAAGAGTCGGATACGACTAAACAACAACAACAACAACAACAACAACAACAAAGACAATGAATATGTGATTTTAAGACTTTTTATCTGCTTCTGATTTGACCCAGGAAATCTTGCAAGATTTGGACACCCCATATAAATACTGCAAAGTAGGTTCACATAAACATCCTCAACTAAGACATACAATTTGGCCTCATTCCTTATCTCTTAGGATTTAGGTGTACAGTGGCGATTACACACTGTTAAAAGGGTACCCATCTCCACCACCCCTATCTGGGACCTGCATTTCCCCACCTTCTCGTCCTCCAACAATTCAGCACTGCACTAGAATGCAGTGAAATAATTCCCAACCGATTTCCCCCCTGCCCCATGCTGCTATCAGACCTTTGTAACATGGACACACTCTGTGCCCAATCAGCACAAGCGGCATTTTAGCAGTGTTACAATTCCAGTTTATGTAAATATTTCCTTTAGGAGTTCCAGTGCTCAGATCCTTTCTGCTTCCCAATCCTAAGGGAACAAAAATGTATTTGCCCTTTCGTCTTCCAGTATGAGGGCTAGAGTATTTTTCCCTCCAGGAAGAAATGGAAACGGCACAGTTCTGTAAAATGTCATCAGTTAGATTGCTAAAGTGGGTTCTGGCTCCGTAATTATATTATGGCCTCTCGGTGATGAGGTTAAACCTGGTTTAACTAACACATATATTTTACAAGATAAATTGTCGTCCATAATATGCTCCTAATGAGATCATTGAGGCTGCGACTCATTGATTAATATGGATAATTAAGGGCTTTTGCAAAGATACATAAAAGGAGGGTTTTTAATCTTCCCAGCCAAAGGACTGATTTTATCTTTATCAAAATGCCTTAAAGATAAAACACTCTAAAATTTAACTGACCTTCCGTCTGCTGCCATATACTGTTGTTTCTTTCTGTACAAAGTGACAAAAATTATTTATTTATTCCTACATTTATCTCCCACCTGCCCTCCAAGGAGCTCAGGCAATGTACAAACTTGTACATTACTCCGTTGTATGCTTATAACAACTCTGTGAGATAGTTAAGCTGACTGGCCCAAGGTCAACCAATGAGCTTCATGGCTGAGGAGGGTTTGAACCCTGATCTTCCAGGTCCTAGCCCAATACTATACCAACCTACCTCTCCATCTCCTTGGTGAAACCTTTGGTTCATGTTCACATTCTACTGCAACTTTCTCCACTCTAGCCTTTCATTGTCACATCTCGGCCCTCTTACCTCCAGAATTTTACCACCAGAAACATTCACATCTCTCAAGAGTTCACATTGTGTGACACTCCTTAAGATTTCTACACTAGCTTCAATCCAGTCTCCTATCTGTTATAGGAATTCTAAGGTCTCAAATATAGAATAAACATATAGAGAATAAACATTGATAACTGCACAAGGTAAACACACAAACATATACTTTATAACCCACATGTCTAAAATAGTACAGAAGAGCAACCCAAAAGCCATCTTGGTTCTTCTAAAGACTCTCAATATTTCCTCTGCCTCTTTAATCCCCCTTGTCTGAGAAAATGCAGGCAGATAGCAGTCAGGGGGAGTTCCTGAAGGGATTCCTCTCCTATATCAATGAACCTTCCTGTTATTGATCACTGTTTGCCCAGATGCTCTGCACTGAGGGATGTCTGACTGGCATCCCAATTGTCTTATCAAATGCTAATGTTTTGTATAAACTGTGTCTGGAACTATGTTGTTTTGTTTTTGTTTAGTCGTGTCCGACTCTTCGTGACCCCATGGACCAGAGCACGCCAGGCAGGCAGCTTGGTCAAACTCATGTTGGTAGCTTCGAGAACACTGTCCCACCACCTTGTCCTCTGCCATCCCCTTCTCCTTGTGCCCTCCATCTTTCCCAACATCAGGGTCTTTTCCAGGGAGTCTTCTCTTCTCATGAGGTGGCCAAAGTATTGGAGCCTCAGCTTCAGGATCTGTCCTTCCAGTGAGCACTCAAGGCTGATTTCCTTAAGAATCTGGAAATATGTAAAACTTGCTAAATCCTCAAGAATATCACACCTTGGCCTGCCTGAGACACAGTAACCCCACCTTATGTGTGATGTAATTTCTGACGGTTCGTAGAGGGGATGAAAAACCCTTAAAAGAAATGTTTTTTATTGGTTCTGGGTCTCTCTTGCCTCCTTGCAAGGAGGGGAGGGAACTCTGTTGCAACAGAAAAACAAAGATCAGCCTTGCTTTCACTGCATCCTGCCTCCATCCATTCATCTCTGACGGAACATGGACTTAGGGGACTCAGCTGGGCAGCAAAGGCCAACCACCCCTATTTTTTTATATCAGATTCAACACATATCTTTTGTTTTTACCTCTGGCATCTTCAGTAGCCCTGTCCCCCCCCCCCTTTTGCCCCTGCAGGTCTGCCATCCTCAACTGCTGGTAGGACTTTGGAACACCCATGGGAACAGATCCAAACCATATATTAAGGCACATTCAATGCACACTGAAATGCACACATAGCTCCCCCCACCCAACAATGTAGTTTTTATGGGATGGGAATTGCAGTTCTGGGCGGGGAAACTATAGTGTTATGTACTGAAGTTCTCACCCTGGGCCAGCAGGGGGATACTGTAGATAGTTATGCAAATGAAGGATCGAAAGTGACGTTCAGTGATTGGCTAGTTTTAGAAAGTTGCTACAGTAACGTTGTACTGGAGCTCTATATAAGCAGACTGACTGAGCCCTGCAGTTCTGTTCTGTTCTGGCCTCTGAAGAATCGCAGTGTTGTCTGATATGTTCACCCACAACTTAACATATAGTTCCCAAGATTTGGTTGGGGGTGGGTGTCACATGCTTTGAATGTATGGTGCAGACCTGCCCTCAAGTCTTTTCTTCCTTACTATTCCACATGCCTGGAATACTCCTTCAGTATGCCTAGAAGTCTCTTAGAGTACAACACCTTATGATTTTTATTTTATTTTATTTTAAGCATTTATAGACTGCTTTTCAGCTACACAATTGCCAGAGCAGTTTAACAAATGTGACCTCGTACTGCAGCAATGAAGAGAAAGATAATGTAATAAAGAACTGCAACAGAAGAGAGTTTAAGAAGTCAGAAAAACCTTTCTGTAGCAGCAAATTTCACAGTTTAACAGCGTACTGTGTGAAGGAGGACTTCCTTTTACCTGTCCTGATGCTTGGTTTTCATATCAAGAATGGGGAATGCTACAGAGCAGGAATTAAACATCTGCAAAGGATGTATCTGAAGAAGTGTGCATGTACACGAAAGCTTATACCTAAAACTACTCAGTTGGTCTCTAAGGTACTACTTTATAATTTTTAAATTCTCCTGGAAGGATTCTTTTAAAGACTTTCTTAGATCATATAACTTTTTCGAAGACTTGATTCTTTTAAGGGAGGTTTTAGGTTTCTAAAAAAAGTCTTTTAAACTATCTTTTTAAAGAATTGTTTTAACTTATTTTGACCTACTTGAATCTGCAAAGGACTTAATCTAAAAATGCAAAAGGGGATCCTCCAACTAAGTCATACGCAGTGCAGACCCACTGAATTAAATGATTTCACCTGTAATCTGTCTGTAAATTATCTATTGTATTTAGAAGATAAAATTGTCCTCTCTTAATTAAATGAAAAATGAATTGAAGTTAAAGTGTGCTGCCAGCGCTGAACTGCATTCCTGTAGAAAGGGAGGGAAGTCCTGTAATTTTATCTAAACTAGTTCAAGTTTTTAGAATAATCCTTTGGTACGAGCTCCATGTTTCCCATTATGTCTTCATTTAATTTGATTGCTACTCATGCCACTTCAAAGGAGAGTGTAATTGCTGCCAAATAGGAAATATTAAAATTAAATTTGTTCTGCTTTTACTATGTCCATTGTCATCTTTTCTTCATTTAGCAGGAAAGCAGTAAAAGGGCTGCAGCGTGTGCAATGAAGAGGCAGTAGTTTTCAATCAGACAAGTCCCATATTGAGTATCAGATACCACAGCCCAGGACTAAAATCACTGTGTCTAGACTCTCTGGCACCTGACTTCACTTATTTACCAGTGACCAGAGGCCAACCCCCACAGCTTTCCGTTCATACACCTCAGTCCAGCCCTCTCCCTCTCCCCAGCTCAAACATCTTTGAATGATTATGCCAGAACTGCATGCCTCAAGAATCTCTCTTGACTGGCTACTCCCTCACTCTTAATGTTTGAAGTAATGCTCTGGTTTCTGAACTTCAGCAGATAATGGTGGACAAAAGCAAAGGGGGCTGTCAAGAGAGAACGTTTACCAGCATTAAGCTAAAAAGAAGCTTGCAGATCAAAGAGAGGCCCAACTGACAACTGTGATGGAAAAACATGTGGATAAGTAAGCTGCAGAGGAGTTTGCATACTGCTCTGTGGAAGAATATTGAATATCACGATGACATCACAGTACAACCATGCCCTTTGATTGGCCAGGCTATTACCTATAAATGCTTTCATAAACATCTGGATGGCATTTGCACCTATTTAAATAAAGCATGCACTGCTGGGGTCTAAACAAGAATGGACTGTTAATGCTCACTTTTAACTCTTACTACAATAGCACCCATTAACTCGGGCAAGGCATGAGAGCCTTCCAGTGATATTGCATTCCTTTCAGCCACTAAAAATGGTTTTTAAAAAGATAGCAACCCAATGAACCTACAGGTTGCAAACCGAAAACCCACAGAAGCGTCTAACTCACAAAAGTGAGTTGATTTGCAGTCCATGTAGCACTTTCGTATAACCTCCAGTTACAAGCCTGAGAATTCAAATTTATTCTTTTAAGACGTAAGTTCTCACAGCTGCATATGTATTTGGATGCCAGAAGACTAGCAGGATTACAAACAAATAGAACAGTAATCACAACTCTTTATTGCCCTAGAAAAATGCTGATTATGCAGACTTAACTTTTAAAACTTGAACGTAACCAGTTCGGAATATAAATACTAAAGGTAAGCAGTATCTCTGTAGTGACAAACAGTACAAAATCAGACTACTGAAGCTCTTCAGGAACTCATCAAGGCTGTTCGCTACCAGCTTTATCATTTGTCATGTCAAACCACTGGCGAGTGCAGCAAGAACCGACCTAGATATAACTGGAGTCTAAGTAGGTTATGGGGTGTTTAATATCAATTTCAACATAGACAAAAGGCGCTCCAGAAAGCAGGACCCAAAGCATTAGGTCCAATTTACATGGGAAAGGATGTGGACTTTGGGAGAGCCAACATATCAAAATAAACTTATGAAGCAGATAAAAGAAGTCTAACTTAGGTGAACCCAGTTTGAAATACCATAAATATTCATTTTTCAGTAAAGTTACTAATGAATAGACTGAACCAAGGAGAGTAACCTGTTACCATTGATCAGTGAAAGCTCAAAAGTATAGAGATCCAAAACTACATAAATTGCCTGAAAACAACAGAAAATCCCAAGACCATACAAGAAATATAGATTTCAAAACCTTCCTGCTGAGATTTTTCTGAAGCAGCAGCAGCTTTTTGGAGTTACAATTTCTAAAAATGATCAGGAGCAGCACTGCAACAAAACAGAGGCGAAGCATTTGCCTGCCAAATCAATGGGCAAATCCTATCGCCTAGAAGAAAAATGGGTGGTTAACCCCCCCAAAAAAGCCATTGAAGAGCATTAGAAAGGGGGAAAATATTGTCACTTTTACTGTAATGTCCTTATGAATTCTGCTACAAAGAAACTGAGGAATAATCCAGTATGGGTGAAATGGCCATTTGAAAAGAAGACACACCTACCTGAGGAATGCAGTCTGTGTATGCAAACATCGATTTAAAGCGATCATCCATGCTTATATGGTAGAGAATACACATGGCCACTTGCTTATAATTTTCATTGGCTACGGAAAAAGAAATGGACAAAAAGGATAACCTAGATTAATTCATGATGTTTGAATTGGCATTAATGCACATTTAACCAGGTTTTTAAAGACTTTTCAAAGTTTGCCATTTCAGAGACAAGCATTTGTACTATTCTACTGTTACTGCCCTTTAAAAATAAAAAAGGAACAAAGAAAACATTTTGAAGTAAATGCAACACCAGGCAGAATCAAAGCAAGAACCATTTTGGATACACCTTGATAGACACTGAGCCAATTGTTGTGTCTCCTGATTTATTCTTCATGCCCCCAAGTATTCCTCTCTTAGTATTAGGTTCTAATACTTCAGGATGTCAGGCGACCAGGTCTCTTCACTCCCACTGTTCCCCTGTCTTTGCCATTTCCTGCCCATCCCAACCCTTTCAACTCAGTAAGCTAAGGATAAGCTTAGTGTTACGGAGCTGCCATTTACCATGGGAATTCTCATAGTTGATTCTGTAGATTCAACAAAGAACTGGGGGATGAAGGCTTTTAGAGTAGAGGTAGGCAGCTCGCTCCATATCAAAGATCTAATCAAAAATAGATTTAGCACAGTCTAGCTGCAATATGTTCTGGATTTTTCCTATGGAAATCAATGGAATTGAAAAGTACTTAATTTTAGATTAATCATGCCCACTGTGTTCTGAAGATAAGAGAGCATTGCTCTATTATAGGGGCAATTAACAATATGCACACTCCTTTTACCAATATGCATATCCCTTTTATGCATACCATTTAAAGAAAATTTCCTTAGTTCTGTAATGGTTCCGTGGTGAAGAGCAAGAGGGAACTGGCAAGGGAATCTGTAAAGATCCTATTGCAAGACCAATCTAAGTTCAAAGTGCTTAGAAATGCACACTCACTCCTTCCACCAAATCATGTGACAAATCCTTATCTTGCCCCACCACCAGTAAAAAAATAAAAAAATAAAGCAGGGGGATGATATACTAAGCTATATTGCTATGTGCAATAAGTACTACAGCATCAACACCTCCTGCAAACCTAGTGTGAAAAGGAGGCTATTTCAGTTGTACAGCCTACATCTTTTCCCACTCTAACCTTGTCCCAGAACTTGAGGAATACATACACCCTGCCATTCCTGTTGCAGGTCTGTGTCCTCTAATATAAATCATGGGCATGTTCCATATAACAGACAATGTTGATTTCCCCCCCCTTTCCCAATCTCAATTTGAAAGTGAGTTTCTCAACCACTGCAATATGCTAGAAGCAGTTGGTTGCTAAAAGCATGGGAAAATCAAGAAAAAGGTTATGGGATTGGCAGCTCTCTGGCTTGTTATGCAGCTGGTCAAGTAGACCAAGACATTATGGGTGGTCAGCACTCATTTTGTACTAACAATGTTCAGAGAGTACGAATAACTGTCACAGCAATTCTATCACAAGGAGTTTTGATGGCATTGTACATCTGCCAATTATTTGCGCTATGAGTGGATAAAGTTGGAAGGCAGATAGGCAAAGGGAAGGGAGAAGCACAGCACACCAGACTGACCCAATTTAAGCACAAGATTACATGATGTTTCATAGGGAAAGTCGTAGCAAGGCAATAATTCAGATATAAACACAAATGCCAATTCTATGCAAGGTTTTTAAAAGACAAGGATAAAAATAGTCATATGATGCCTTGCAGAAAGACAAGCTGTTTAAAAACAACAGCATTTAATGACTAATAGTGGGTTGGCCAAAACACTTAAGGACAGCTCTAGCAACTAACAGCCTGGACATTATGTATTATGGTAATAAGGTTAAATAATGATGAGCTCACTGGCCAATAAACTGGGTGGTCAGAAATACTTTGAATTTATTCCCACAGGAATTTATCATTGATTAATCAAATCATTATTCCAAAGTGTTATTCAATTGTCCTTTGCATTTATACTACCATTCCAGAACACTTGGTCATTCCCAGCTGAAGGCTGTTAATGCTCAACAACCCAGTCATTAGCAGCAATAACTGGTTTTTCTGTGGAAATTATTGCCATTATAAAATATACTCAGTGGTTTATAGAAATAATACCGTTAAATTTGCAGCTGCAGTTCATCTGGAACAGCTGGGGTGGAAAAATATTGTGTCCCTTGGGCTGTTTTCACAACAAGTTTTCAACAAATTAAAAGCTCCAACTACACATATGATGAATCCAAAGTTCAAAATTATTTTAAGCTTTTGAACATTAAGCAAGCCATGTCGCAGCAATTATGGACCAAAACTACTCTACTCTGCTCATTAGTACACAATCCCTAACCATGCTAGGGCAGCAATGCAACACTGAGGTTTAATCCTCTCTCTACATTTTGTGACTCATTAGAACCAATCTGACACATCTGCGCTAAAGAATATGTGCACATCACTACAGTGGTACCTCTAGTTATGTACTTAATTCATTCCAGAGGTCCGTTCTTAACCTGAAGCACCACTTTGGCTAATGGGGCCTCCCGCTGCCGGAGCACGAATTCTGTTCTCATCCTGAAGCAAAGTTCTTAACCCCAGGTACTATTTCTGCGTTAGCGGAGTCTGTAACCTGAAGCGTATGTAACCCGAGGTACCACTGTACATGAAATCCCAACATATATGCCTTCCTTTGCAATATCATCATATCACCTTTGCCTGCTCCCGCACAGAACAAGACAATGCCTGTACCCTATTGAGCTTATTTTTCCACTTTTTGTTTTGTTTCCCACATGTAATAATTTTTAGATTAACAGAGGAATTCCGCAAAAAAAGTCATACTGGCCAAGAGGCAATATGGTGGAAGTCCTACTATGCCGATGGAACACAAAATATGCTGCCACCATGGCAGATAGGTCAATGGAAAACTTCATCAGTGTAGCAGTTCTGCTGGCAAAAGTATGCCATTGAAAACACCTAAAAGTGGGACAGGGTGGGAAACAACACAGGGAGGCACACATATATGCTATACCCCTCCAGACCATGAGCACATCCCTGTCAATGGGGCAACTTTACACCAGCCCTGAAACTGAGACAAGGAACTTCCCTCTCACTGACTGCATGACAAAGCATAAGATATGGTGGAATTAACCAGCAGAATTCTGCACCAGCTGAAGTTTCTGAACCGTCTTCAGAGGTAGCCCTATGTATAATGTGTTGCAGTAATCCAGCCTAGCAGTTACCAGAGCCAAGAAAACAGAAATTAAGCTATCCCTGTCCAAAAAGGTGTGCAGCTGGACCACCAGAAGATGATGGAAGGCAATCCACAACACTGAGGCCACCTGAGCCTCAAGCGACACCAAGAGATCCAGGAGTACCCACAAGCTGCATACCTGCTCCTTCGGGGGCAATTGTAACCCCATCGAGAGCAGGCAACCTCTCATCCATCACTCCACTAACAGTGCCTAGGTCAGGCATAGGCAAACTCGGCCCTCCAGATGTTTTGGGACTACAACTCCCATGATCCCTAGCTAGCAGGACCAGCGGTCAGGAATGATGGGAACTGTAGTCTCACAAACATCTGGAGGGCCGAGTTTGCCTATGCCTGGCCTAGGTCTTATCTGGATTGAGTTTCAGTTTGTTGGCTCTCGTCCTCATTACTGAGGTAATACCATGGTCGAGTTCATCCCTGCCTCACCTGCAGCTGTAAAGAAGTAGAGCTGTGTGTCATCACTCCAGATAACCTCACACAGTGGTTTCATGTAGATGTTAAACAGCACAGGGAATAAAATTAAACCCTGAGGAACCCCACAATGAAGGCTCCATGGGGCCCCAAGCATCACCCTCTGGAAATGGCCATCCAAGTAGCACTAGAACCAAATCCTGCAATATGGGTGACCTTCCCTTCAAAAACAGGCAAATCTGCACTTTGTAATCCCACCCACCCTTGAATGACGTAATCTAGCACTGTTGAGACTTCAGTGCAAGCATAGCCTAGGGCCCTAGGATCTCTTCTTCCATAGTGCCTTCTATCTAGACAACTCTAGACCTACATGGATTATGGAGGCAACATGTTTTTCCAAGACAAGCATGCTGCAAATAGCACAAAACCCACCTTCTGAATAAATCTCTGAATAATTACTGTTTTCCCAAGACCAATCCCTTTCATTCTTAATATGATTCAGCTAGTTACTGCTAGAAAGAAAAGGACACCTTAGGCAATGTTCACACACAAGATATTGAAACCAGCTGTGGTAGGACTGCCATAGGAATAAAGGTTTCCTCATTTAATTGGGAAAACAGGAGGAAGCATAACATTTTACTACCATGAATAACTTCAAGCAATCCTGATAAGAGACTTTGCTGTGCTCTCAGGGCAGGACATGTGCTTTCTGTTACGATCTGCCACATCTAACCCCAATTGTTTGCTCACTTAATCGGGTTGGAAAATGTATGTTTCTTTATAGGATAAATTAGGCTTATTAAAATTAGAACAACATTGCTGTAGCCAATAAGAAGGTCCTTTCTCAAACAAATGTGTGAAACTGCATATTAAATTCATTATGAAAAGGCCAAGCCAGGGCATAAAGGAAAAGTTGGTTTAAAACTTCTTGGAAATAAATGTTCATAAAAATAATGGAACCTTTATTAAAAAAAAGAAAAAAGACCATTGCTCTGGTAGACAAAGAAGGCATACAACTTTTTAAAAGCTGAAGATAAAACTGAACACAATAGCAGCATATAATACGACAAGACATGTGTAAAGACATAAAAACAAAGTTTATTTGCAGTTGTTTTTGACTATCAATTAAACTTTGTGAACAAGTTAAGCTTGAAGGGCAGATGGGCAACCTGGGAAAGTAGCCCAACTAGGAGAAGGAAAACTCTGGTCCTAAACCACCGCAGCCTTGCAGCTACACTCATACATGAGAAAGGCTTCGGTTGTAAACCTCACGGAAAAATGCCTTGCAATACATCTTTGGGAGAACAAAAGGTTCAGGAGTAAACCCTACACAAATCTGGAGTGGAGTCCCTAAGGCTGTTGGATAGTGTCTTGTATGCCTCCTTCAGACAACTCCTGCCGCCAAGCTGGTGTCATATGTATTGCTTTCCTTTTCTTTGGACCACAACAGCAAGGCAGGGGCTTGTTTTGGGCAGCCCAGGACCTCTATACACACTACCCAGGTCTGCATCTAAGAGGTCACTTCAGTGTTGCAAATACAGCAAAAGCACAGGAGGCAGCAGTTACAAGTTATAAGCACAACCTGATATGCCCAAACAGATATTTAGCACTTCAGCACTCATGGACCTGTTTATCTCCAGATTTCAATATGATCATCTGTTTCGAGGTTCTAAATCACTATTTATTAAGGAAACAAATTGCAATACTTTCCTTCAGAGAAATCAGAAGTAGCAAACAAGTTTTGAAGACCAGGCCTTTTTCGGAAGGGGGTTTAGAAAAAACAAGACAGTCAAAGTTAAGGCCATTCAATTATGCCACAAATGTGAAACTAAGAAGGTGAGGTGGAGAATCATTTTGAAGTGGGATTGTACAAACATGTTCTCCTTCATTTTTTTTTTACCAACAGCAGCACCCCTCATAGAACTGACTCAGGAGAAAGAACAAGGTATTGCAATCAAAAGAAGGTTAAAAAGCATTTACTAACTTAAAAAAGCATCTTGGTTAACACAGTTTTACAATGCCCCAATTCTGAGGAACAATTCACTTAATAGGCAGATGGCTCGAGTGACTTCAGAGACAGGCCTTATTACACTATATATGCCAAGAAAGTTATTTCCTAGGGAAGCAAAAGCTGGATCTAGACACATCAAAGTAGTGTTTCAGTTAAATGCATCTCAAACTTTGTATGAGAAATCGGGTTAGCAAAAACAGAACTCCACAGCACCATCTGGTGTCATAGTTTTAGAATGCATAAAAGACACATATAAAGCGCTTTTTCTTTGTCAGTGCAGCTGAGTCCAAAGGTAAAGAATGAATGCCTGCCAATTAAGGGACCATAGCAGCAATGGGGAACCTCAGGCCTGTAGGGCTAATTAGGCCTCGTAGGGGTCCTAATTTGGCTGGGAAGGCCATTTCTTCCAAGCCACACCCACCTGCCCTAAACCCAACAGGCAGGCAATGATGCAGGAAGCAGGGACTGATAGGTGGACAACCCTCACTCACCTGTTAAAATGACCCACGGGGGTTGGGATCCAGTCCACTGGCCAGCTCCCTAACCCTGGATTATAACACCACTCAAGCATAATTTATCAGGGCCCGGCACTAACTTGCAATAATCAATTCATTCTGCCACAATCTTCTTTATGTTCTGAAAGGTTGTCAAGAAAGGCCTTCCTGTCCTTTCAAAAGATGGATTGGTGCACTTAGATTGTTACAGTTCCTTTTGTTTACGCTTCCGATGACTGTCAGGCCACCTGATTCGTATAACGGTTAGTGGTTAATGGGACCTGTAGTCCATAACTTCTAGAGAGCAACCCACTAGCTCCCACTGCTATCTTGACAGTCCAGTGCTTTCCCCCCCTGGGGATACTCAAAGGTACGCAGTACCGGCACCTTCTTTCCCAAATGTTAAAAGTGTGGCACCTACTAGAACAACTTCATGGTGAGTACGGACACAATTTTTCTATATAAAAAAGGCACCATGCAAAAAATCAAGAAACAAGAATGCAAAAATCCACCCCAAGTGTCTGTCTCTGTAGTATCCACAAGCGTGTTTCAAGCACACTGAGATCTCAACCTACTTTTTTCAGGCAGACCGACAGCTATTCCTCTCATTTTCAAACCAACACAAAGCAGGGTCATGCCAGGATTACAAAAGAATTATGAGGAAATATTTTGCTGCTCACATCTCTCTGGACAACGCTAAATGGAAACAGGCTCCCAAGGCTTGGGTTTTCAGCTGTTAAGGAAATAAAAAGCCATCTCTGTAGGATTTGCCTTGCCCAGCTTCAGAACAGACTGGGCAGAATTTGCAGCCAACAAAAGAAAAGTACAGCTAACTGATATGCATGCTAGAAGTTTTTGACGGAACTGGCTGACGGAAAGCAAGCTGGGTTCTGCAGACAAACAGGTTCATGGAGTGCTGAAGTGCTAAATATCTGTGTGGGCATATCAGCAGAAGTCTTTTGAGAACCTGTGATATGTGCTGCCTTGTCAATATACCAAAGAACTTTCAGCCACTTAAAGCAACTGTTATGATGATCATATCAAAAGCAGAATGTAAGCGAGGGTTCAGAATTATAAATATTATCCCCTTGCCAATAGGTAATTCAATATTACTACAAACAGTGACCTGTTTGAACTTCATCAGATTGGATGGCCCTCCAAAATACATCTTTTAGCTGGATGACTATGTAAAGTGATGATCTGGACAGAGAAATAAATATGCAGTCTTGTTATACTCCTGTACTAAAGAACTACACACAAATACATATTGAGAACAGTGTTAGAAACAGATATGAAAGCTAGGAGCCAAATGGCACCCTAAACCGAGGTTATGGGCGCAACAATGGAATGTCTAGGCATGATTTTTTAATAATAAGAATACAAAGCTGAAAAAGAATGAACTGCAGCTAAAATATTATGTTCATTTTTCACATGGTCTAGTCCTTCCCCTGTCCACCCCCCTAATATTCTTCAGAGGGTCTCTTCTCCAGGCTTCAGAGAGTAGCTGGAAGTGGGGAGGCAAAAAAAGGACCTGCCTTTCCTTCTACTCTGCAGTTTTAATCTGAAATCTTAGGCGCAGTACTGTGCCCAGAGCTCAGAAACTGCTTGTGCTAGTGAAATTCCATGTCACAAAATGCGCCTAGAACAATGGGAGTTTTGAACACTGATTGAGAATATCCAGAACCTAATTTTGCAGATATATCATGTTTAATACTACATCTGGAAGTGGTGCTCAACTTCATTTATTAAGCATTACATAGAAGAAATAATTTCCAAGTGTGGACATAATTCAAACTGGCTTATTACAGAGATATATGAATGAACTACAGTTTAGAGAGATACTTGTCTAAATTGAAGTGTGAATTTCTCTTTAAAAATACATTTTTGAATGCATGTTTGACCAATATACACATTTTTGAAAGCAATTTCCTCCAACCTAATGCATTTTTGCTTGTCCTTTTCATGAATGTATGCATTTTTATACACACTATTTTGTGTTCTCATTTTTTTATGCCGTGAACTTCTCTGTGATCTTTGGATAAAGGGCAGTATACAATTTTTAATAACAACAACAATAATAAATGCGTTTTTGTACAGATTGTTTGGTTGAAAAACATTATATAAAAATCAGAGAAGTGCAAATTTTAGAGGCTACCTGTGTTCAAAAAGTGCATCTTAGATTGCTTCTCATTAAAAGGCAAACAAAACCAAATTTCTTCCCATTCCCCACATCTTATTTTCATTTCCCCCCTACCTTGAGAGCTTTAACTCAAATTATACCCTGAACTATGCTTGCTATATTCTGAATCAGCTTCATTTAAGGGGGGATGTTAGAGAATTGGTAATAATTAGGAGATCAGTAGCAAAAATATGTATTTCTCCAGAAAATATTTCACTAAGAAAATGCTTTCAGTAGCTCTAAGGTTAAAGTGAGTAGTGGAAAAAGACTAAAACCTACCCAACAATGCAGTGAGTTTTGGAAGAAGCCCAACTTGTACCATTTTATTTCTCAAGCCTGTGTCAAATGAAAGGTTCAGTAAGAGTCGAAGAGTAATGTTCAGCAAGTCTTCATGTTCACATGGTACCATTTTAACCAGTTTGTCAACAATATCCATTTCAACCTGTGTTGGAAGCATAGGAAAGTAAGAATTCTGAAAGCCTTCTTGCAAAGATTTCATAAAATGGAACAACAGTTAAAAGTTTAAGGCTTCCAAAACATTTTCTCCTCAAATACAGTAATTTTTATTTTTCTAAAAAGAGGTCTGCTGAAGTTTCCTCATGAACAGCTTCTGGCTGAAGGTTACCAAAACATAAACAATACTCAAGTCAAAGTTCAGCAATGCTTAGCATCTGGAAAGAGAACCTGTTCAAGTGATACTACAGGCTCAGAACTTTAGGCATGCAATTAAAGAATTAGTAAAAACTGGGGTGGAGGAGTGAGATGAAACAATTAACTATATGAAACTATAACTACCAAGACACTGTGTGTATTCTAGGCAGCAAAATGTTACCCTTTAACAGATGTATGAAGGTCATGTTCAACTGCATATCATTTTAAATGCCACAACGATTTAATTAATTCATTTTAAAAGCTATATTCCAAAGACTTATGAGCAGTATCATATCCCGATATCATGTTTTCTGCACAGAGGACAGAGCAAAGTGAGACATTTGATCATGACCGGCAGTAAACAAGAGTTCTCTTCTCAGCAACATTTCTCTGATACATGTCAAGACTCTGTCTAGTTTTATGCAAAAGCATGCCTATTTCTTTAATCTAAGAAGCAAAACAGAAAGAAAACAATCAGAATGTCTTTGTCATCCCTTTTTAAATCAATGGGAGTCATAGAAGGGTACAGGCAAGAACTCAGTAACTGAATTCAAGGCATCTGTTGCAGAATTTTAAACATAATAATATCATAAAGTTCAGAATGTTGAAAAAAGAAACCCCAAAAACCAGAGTGTTTAAGCACAATGTCTCCTTCAATTCCAGTTGTGGATATTTTTGGTGCAGTATTTTTTATCTAGGTGGAACGAATGTGGCAGGGAGAGCGTCGAAAGGGTGTCTAGACGGTACTCCCCATTAGGTGTGTGGGGCTCCGGAACTTAACCCCCATAAAAGAGGGGAGTTGCCTTTATTTAACTGCTGAAATAAATGATCGGAGTTGCAGTCAAACAACATCTGAAGGGGTATAGGCTCCCTATTGCTGGTCTTGAATAACCTAATAAAAAGGTAAAGGGACCCCTGACCATTAGGTCCAGTCGTGGCTGACTCTGGGGTTGAGCGCTCATCTCGCTCTATAGGCTGAGGGAGCTGGCGTTTGTCCGCAGCTTCCGGGTCATGTGGCCAGCATGACTAAGCCGCTTCTGGCGAACCAGAGCAGCACATGGAAACGCCGTTTACCTTCCACCGGAGAGTTCCCTATTTATCTACTTGCACTCTGACGTGCTTTCAAACTGCTAGGTGGGCAGGAGCAGGGACCGAGCAACGGGAGCTCACCCCGTCACGGGGATTTGAACCGCCGACCTTCTGATTGGCAAGTCCTAGGCTCTGTGGTTTAACCCACAGCGCCACCCGCGACCCTCTGAATAACCTAATATATTCAGATAAAAGGCATGTCTGCATACACCAAGTCAGCCATTTGTCCGTTGATCCCATAGAAATCTACTGTGATTGGCCATAGCATTTCAACATATCAGACAGAGACCTTTCCAAGCCCTGGAGTTGTGAGGGACTCCTCTACATGAAAGACACGCACACTTCCAGTGAGCTTTTATCTTTCCCTGTGTGAGGTACATGAAGGTGCAAGTTCCCAGATACTTAGGCATTGTAAACTAATTGATCTAACGCCATACCAATTCAAGCAAACTGCAAATGCAGACCTAGGTACAAATGGAGAACAGGAAAGCAATGATGTTGCCTTTTGTTGATTAGCTTTCCATAGACAACTAACATGGTTTCAGCAAAATGGCAGAAGATTTACCATATCATTTTTGTTTTCCATGAAGATGCTGAGTTTCTTCAGAAATGACACAACCAGTATCAGCAGCTCAAAGTTATCCCGGTCCAGAGCTTTCACCAACATGTGGACAATGTTTTTGTTCCTCATCTTCAGCTCAGTACGAGTATCCTCCGCAAGGTTCAACAGCAGGTAAAGGGCAACTGGCACATTTGGGGGGTGGGGGGGAGAAATCACAATACTGAGAAACAAAAAATGTAGCGCTCATTCATTTCTAAGAATGTGAAATATTTCCAAGGATTTTGGATACTGCAAACATCTCCTCAGTGAAATGAGAGCCACTTGAGCATAGTGTGTCCTCTTTGATGCTTAAGTGATTTCAACAACAAAAAGGTGGAAGTAAGCTACTGTATATATTTCAAGTGTTTTAGTTTACTGGAAAAATGTAGCTTGGTCTTTTAAAAATAAACTCAAATATTTATACCAATTATCGTAACAATATTAGACATGGCTTGGCTCCTACCTAGGGTTGCCATATTCCCAAAAGTGAAAATCTGGACAAAGTTGTTGACCTTTCCCCCCCCCCCCCACCGGGGCACCACCTATCTCTTTACAGAATCATCAGTGAACCATATTTAAGCAGCACATTTACTGAGTGGTTGCTCAGAACTGTTTCCCTGGAGGTTCCAGAGGCAGAGAAACGCCTTTCAGTTGAGCTGGAATTTGATGGTTGGTCTTAAAGTTAAATAGGCTCTCTTTCTAAACCTGCTACCTACAGTAAGACATCTGAATAAAGGAAAACATTTCAAATAAATTAAAGGAGAAGGTTTAAGTTCATTCCACCATAAGCATAAATAATAATAAGCTATACCCAGGCAGTATTATTTGTTACACATCCCACTGAAATCAATGGACTCTACAACTCATAATGAAAGGCAAATTCTATTCTCCAGTTGAATTATATGAATGAACAAAGCGTTAAGAGATTTCATACACTATTGATCTGTAGTCTTATCTATACTTCAGCCAAGTGCCACAAAAGATTATACATGCTTCCAAATTGTGTAATAACATCCAACCATATTTAGGCATTGTGCCCAGGGAAGGTCACTTCGGTATTGCTAACACAGTGGTTTGACTGTGCCAACAATATTTAGAAGAATATCGGGGTTCACATTTTCCTGTACTATTAATATCCATGATCTAGTATCAAATTTCCATAGAAAGTTTTATCTGTTGAATATATTCTATCCATTCAGCGCCTTTTCACTTCCAGTACTGTACACAAATTCTTAAACAAACGCTGGAAATTTCTCATTTTCTGATGGTCACTAGCTGATACCTAGTTGATCTTGGCAGTGTGCTAGGACCTTAGCTCTATGCAGGCCTCATGTAACCTGAAAGAAGGGGGCTGTTCTCAACAGATGAATTTGTACGTAGAAATGATAGGCTGTTTAACAAAATTCATAGACTGTTTAACGAAAAAGTATATTAAGCAGTTTACATAAGAGAGTCTAAAATGTTTATTTTAAAAATCAATAAAATAATCAAACTTTAAAAATAAATAAATGTAATTTATTTATAACAAATTTACATACTGCTATTTCCTTTTTAAAAAAATCAAAGCGGTTTATAATAATACATTTATTTATTTCAAAAAATCAACTAGCTATTGCAGAAAAATGTGTCCTTAATTGCCTGCATAGGCCTGTGGAATAGAAAGGTTTTCAGCAGGCATTTACATTTCCAATAAAAAGTGCCTGCGCAACCTCTACTGCAGGCATCCCCAACCTTTGCCCCTTCAGATGTTTTGGACTACAATTCCCATCATCCCTGACCACTGGTCCTGCTAGCTAGGGATCATGGGAGTTGTAGGCCAAACATCTGGAGGGCCGCATGTTGGGGGTGCCTGCTCTACTGGGTCAATGACACAGCTCTGTTTTTTGTTGTTACACATGGGCCTCACCAACTCTAGGAACAACCAATGACACTTCAGTAACAAAGTAACAAGTCTGGGTAAGCTTGCTGAAATGAAAATGTTTTTAACAGGTGTAAAAAAAAACACACAGTTCAGCAAAGGTGCCCACCTGCTATTAATAGCTGCAAAACCAAAATAAGCTTCGCTGAAATAGCAGTTCTGAGTAGCCCAAATAGCTTCAGTGTTAAAAGGACATCAACAACCTTGGAGTCCTTGTCAACCATTTACCTTAAGAACGGAGAAAGTAACTACTACATTAGGAATTTGTACCTCGAAGTAGCTGCTCTTGCTTGACAACAAGCCCCTGGTACTTTTTAAAGGTTTTTTCATATTCTTTTTTCAGGGTCTGATTATCAGGATCTTCATCAAGTGAACACTGGGAGTTAAGAATATGCTCAACACATCAGGAAAAAAAGAAAGAACAGAAACTCTTCAGTCATGAGTACAAGCAGTCTGATGCAATTCAAAGCTAGGATCTGACAACTTCTAGAAGTAAAGCAATCAGATTAAAGGTAAAGGGACCCCTGACCATTAGGTCCAGTCATGACCGACTCTGGGGTTGCGGTGCTCATCTCGCTTTATTGGCCGAGGGAGCCGGTGTACAGCTTCCGTGTCATGTGGCCAGCATGACTAAGCCGCTTCTGGCAAACCAGAGCAGCGCAAGGAAACGCCATTTATGTTCCCGCCAGAGCGGTCCCTATTTATCTACTTGCACTTTGACGTGCTTTTGAACTGCTAGGTTGGCAGGAGCAGGGACCGAGCAACGGGAGCTCACCCTGTTGCGGGGATTCGAACCGCTGACCTTCTGATCGGCAAGTCCTAGGCTCTGTGGTTTAACCCACAGCGCCACCCGTGTCCCAAAGCAATCAGATTAGTCTAAGGCAATTCGCTGTCTCATCCCTATTAATGAACAGTGAGCTCATCCCATCGGTGTGCATCCTTATGTGGTCAAAATGACACTATCCAGTCTTAAAGAGAAGTAATAACTGGCCTGCAGAACTTTAGGGGAGGAACCATCAGAGGGGACCCCAAAATACTCCAATGGAGACTGAGCGTGCTTAGTGAACACACAGTAATGACTGGATTTTTTTAAGGGAAGGAGGTTAACTGGCTGGAACTCTGAACAGGAGCACTAAATGCTACAATACTGTGTTGCAGTCCCACTTGTCTACTACAGATAACAAAGCTAAGGTGAAGGCTAAGATAAAATTACAGAAAGGATATCAGCTTTCTTCTTCTTCGTGAGTTCTTCCTGCCACAGCTCATGCCTCTTCAATTCATGATCAATGATGTTCATGCAGAGAGCCCCAATCTTGTAGTGTGTGATAAGTCCATGAAACTGAGAAAAACTACATTATGAAAAATACCAATAAAAAAAAATCAGAGCAGGGTGATTGGCTTTGAAACAAAACTTCTATTGCCAGTCTAACACACACAAAAACAGATCAGTGATGTTGCAACAATAGAGAGGTTCTACTCTGTGCTTCAGCGTCCTCATTTTCTATATATATACATACATACATACACACACACACACACACACACATATATATATATATATATATAATTTTCAGAATACATCCATATACATTATAAATTATGTCACATACCTAGAGAAGCAGAAGAAAATATAAATGATATTAGTAGCAAGTTCTACACTTTGTTTCCAGTCCTCTCGTAGAACTCTGGCCAAAGCACCCAGTGCAGTTTCTAAAGAAGGGGGAGAGTATGATCAGTCTCAGCTGCGGAGATTACATTGCATCAGGAAGCAAACATTCTTGTCCCCTAAGACCATCTGAAACATGCACTTAGCCTCAAAATATATCCTGCCATGTTACTTTAGATTAGTATCCCTCTAGAACAGGGGTCTGCAACCTTTAAGACAAAAAGAGCCACTTGGACGCGTTTCCGAAGAAAAAAAAACTGGGAGCCGCAAAACTCGTCATTATAAAAATAACTTTTTTGTCACTTTTTTATTATTTCTTTGTTTGATCCCTCAGAATTACTCCTCCTCATAGAAATAACTTGTTAAATTAACAAGTTACCTTTTTGTGTGTGTGTGTTCTTCACTCCCCTTCAAAACAGTGACCAGCGTACATGCCCCCTTTCAATGCAGTGACCAGCGTACATTCCCCTTACAATGTATCGGGCGGGCGGGAAGGTGACGTCAGGACGGTGCGTTGACTAACGCACGCACCGCCCCCATGCGACATCACAGCCAGCACAGCGCCCGCCACAGTGGGGAGTGTCGGGGCGCACAATGCGCCTCCTCCCCTCGCTAGTATCCGCCCCGGAGCTGCGGCAAAGGTGTAAAAGAGCCACATGCAGCTCCGGAGCCGCGGGTTGCAGACCCCTGCTCTAGAACTTGCTTTACAATATGCTATCTAGGCACACAAAAATGGCAAGCAAGTTTGCGTTAGTGCAGAAGGCAGGAATGGGAACCAACCTCTTAGCTTAGATTACTGCAAAGCATTATACATTAAGGCTGCCTCTGAAGACAGCTCAGAAACTTCAGTGAGTACAGAATTCAGCAGCCAGATTGCTCAGCTGGGCAAGGTGGTTTGAGAATATTGCACCGATCCTGGCCTGACTGCATTGGCTACCAATTTGTTTCTGGGCCCATTTCAAAGTGCTAGTTTTGACCTATAAAGCCTGAAATGGCTCAGGACCTCAAGGACCGCCTCTCTCCATATGAACCTAGCTGCAACCTGAGATCATCCTCTGAGGCCCTTCTTCGTGTGCCTCCTCCAGAAGAGGTCTGGAGGGTGGCAACACAAGAACAGGCCTTTTCCACGATGGCTCCCCATTTGTGGAATGCTCTCCCCAGGGAGGTTCGCATGGCGCTTTCATTATACACCTTTAGGTACCAGGTGAAGACGTTCCTCTTTAACCATGCCTTTGGCTGACTGACATCCAATGCCCTTTTAAATGTGTTGTGTAAGGGGGTATTACTGGTTTGTCTTTGTTCTTATGTATTTTGTGTAGTATTAAGTTGTAAACTGTTCTGAGATCTATGGGTATTAGGACGCTATACAAATTTAATAAATAATTTTTTTAAAATTAAAAAAGATAAAGACGAAAAATAGCAAGGAGCAAAGATGGAGAGGTATAAAGACCAGGAGCCAGAAATCAAAGCAAAAGAAGCCAACACCAGAACAAGTCAGTCAGTGTCTAAAGAGCTTCCACTTCAGCTTCTCACCGCTAGAAGTTAGAATTCTGTGTCTCAAGGGAACATAGTTTTGCAAACCAGTGGCTAAAATATTCCTGGTTCAAGTAACTGTGAGGCAGAGTGATGCATATGCATATTAAAAAATAAGTAATTAAGCTAAACCTAACAAACATGCATCAAGACTACTAAGTCTAACCAGGGCGGAGAGGGTGAAATGGCTGCTGAGTGATACGGATGACTCTGTGACTTATAAGGTGTCTCTCTATGCCCTAGCACAGGGGTAGGCAACCTAAGGCCTGTGGGCCGGATGCGGCCCAATCGCCTTCTCAATCCAGTCCACAGACGGTCTGAGAATCAGCGTGTTTTTACATAGGTAGAATTTGTCCTTTTATTTAAAATGCATCTCTGGGTTATTGGTGGGGCATAGGAATTTGTATATTCCCCCCCCCCCCAAAAAAAATATAGTCTGGCCCACCACATGGTCTGAGGGACGGTGGACCAGCCCACGGCTGAAAAAGGTTGCTGACCCCTGACCTAGCAGCTAGGAACAGTGCTTTTTTTCTTAAAAAATGTTTAGGGGTAGTCTCATTTTCCTACTCATATTGAAATACTGCCCCTCAATGAGGCCAAACTTAGATTTACAAAATGTTTAGGGGCATGCGTACCCCTGCGTCCCCCCTAGAAAAAAAGCACTGGCTAGGAAGATTAGGAAGAAAGAACTGGATGGGCTAGCGGTCAATTGCAAAGGGGACTCTGAGAACACATTTTTTTGAGAATTACTTTTTAGTCTGTGCCTTAAGAAGTTTTGGTGGATGGTGGATTTGATCATGGTTTTACCACATATGTAACGATTGCTGTTCTTGTTTTTGTCTTCCTTCTTTGGATGATGCCAGGGCCTTCGGCTAGCACTTATCTAAAAATCTGAAAAGCTTATCTGAAAATCTGACTACTAAGCCTGCTCCATTTACTGAGGCAAAATTCCCATCACAAGCTGAAAGTTAGAAATAAGCCTAAAATTACCATTAAGCAGAAGTTCTTCCAGATTATCAGGATTTCTGGCCAGCTGCAGAATGAGTGCAGAGCCACGCACTTTATCAGGAATATCTTCATAAAGTAGTTCAATGTATTCGTCCATGTCATTGATATTGGCTACTTCATCAATCTGAAAATATCAAGCAGAGCAAAAGAAAACTACTGCAGACATGCCAGGAAACAAATTGCATTCATAAAACAAATTGCAAGTACTTAAATTCATTCCTTATTTTTCATATAAGTAGCCCCACTGCATTTAAAGAATAATTCGTATAAGTAGCTAGTGAGGAATGAAATCTTGTATAAACAGGTTTGAAATGAGACACTGAGAGATAAGTATGAATGAAAACTTCTGGGGTGGGGAAGATAGCCATTATGAACATGAATGTGCTACCCAAATTAATCATTTTATTTTGTAAAGTGTCAGTTTCCATATCATTAAACACAGTAGATAAGCAGTATAAAATTATATCAAACATTGTTTGAATTTTTTAAAACAACAACAACAAAGAGCACTATAGAATCATAGAATCGTAGAATTGGAAGGTACCCTGAGGGTCGAGTCCAACCCCCTGCAATGCAGGAATTTCAACTAAAGCATCCATGACAAATGGCCATCCAACCTCAGCTTAAAACCCCTTCAAGGAAGGAATTCACTATTTTGCAATTTTACAAAATGGTTATGAAGTACATTAATATCATGTACTACTGCATCTTTCAGTAATTTTTAAAATTCATCTAGAATAGATGAATTCATTCCAAACAAGTCAATGAGATGACAGAAAAGTTTAACTATACAATATTTAAAACCCTCTAACTTTAACAATGCCTACCTCCATCCCTTCAAAAGGTGGTGGGTCTTTTGGCTTATTGGATTTTTCCTTCTTTTCTATGGAAAGAAAACAGGGTTATAGCAATAAAGGCTCCTTTAACGTTCTCGCTTTATTTTAAACCGTCTCTTTATGTTCAGCTCAAAAAAGGATCTGGAGGAGAACTGAAAAGTGCTGAGTCAGTGGCATTCATACATGCCAAAGGCCTATGCATGCTTGGGGAAGTTCCATTGAAATCCATATTTTACTGATTTCTAGGTAGACGTATTTTGAGGTCAGCGTATCAGTCTAGTCCATTATTACAGATTACCACTTAGGTTACGCACAAAAGAAAAGAGCACACAAACTGCTTCTCTGGACACACCTAAGGGGACACCATCCCTCCTAGCAGCAGCTCATCACAACCTAAAGAATGTCATTCCAGAGGAGCAGCTGCCATTAGAAAGGCAAAACCATTAGAACGCCTATATTACGCAAAATCAATTGAAATGAATGAATGAATGATGAAGCCCTTTGGGGTGAAACGGAGGAATAGCCAGGAATTCTTGTCTCGTCTGCCTGTGCCAGCATCTACCAGAGCGTTTCTCATGTCTACCAACCTTATTATCATCATTAGACACTTAGAAGACTATTCCATAGTACTCTCCGTCAGATAGAAATATACAAGAGAAGATGAAGAAATGAATATACTACGGGACTGACAAAATAGGAATTGCATTTTGTACATGCCGGACTTGGTGGTTAACTGAATAAGCTACATTTTAATATGTTATGTCACGATGTTGATTTTGACATTATGAGAAACTGTATTTAATTTTGAGAAGTAGTTACTAGCAAATAACTTTACACTTGTTATTATTTGCCATTAGAAAGGCAGCATGGGTGTAGTCAGGATTTTTGTTAGTGGGGGCCATTGCTGAGCTTGGGAATCATGGGTAAAATACTCTGTAAATAGGACATTGCAGGGGGCTACAATTTAATGCAATCTTTTAAGATCCCAACCTTAAGGACTTTCCTTCTACCTTCCCTCTCCTCCCCCCAAAATAAACACTGATCAGAGTTGAAAGCATTATGCGGCATCTTTCTCTATCTCACTAAATGCACATTTGGGAAAGAATTTTCAACAACAAAAATGCCAGCGATATTGCTTGATTAATGAAAAACGTATTCATATTTTAGTGTTCTTCTACTTGGCTGGTTATGTTTTCCACAGAAAGTTGTTTATCTGGTGGAAAGAGAGGCTGCCTTCACCATTGCTCTTCTCCCTTCAATAAACAGGTAAAAGTGAGAGGTGCTTACACCACAGACCGTTTCAAAGTCGGCATTTAATCTTGTTTTGCTCACCTTTTGCCGATGAGGTGTCCCTGCGGTTCTGCAGGTAATACAGTAACTGTTCTACCTCTGCTAGTTTAGAGGGGTGAATAAGCTTGCATTCCTCCACCACCTTCCGAGCCAGGGAAGAAATGTCTGTGTTTGCATTGAGACTCTTCAGTCGGATGCTGTAAAATATAATCCAAGATTTTTCACTCTTAGCTGATGCAGATCTCATATACAGGTGACTCTTCACTTACATGGGGGTTGCATTCTGTGGGGAGCCCACTGCAGTACATACAGTTGTCCCCCCCCCCAGCTGTTGAGCAGGGTAGCACAGGAGAGCAAGAGCTCCCACATGCCATTTTGGAGCCCTTGGAGTCTTCTTTTCTGGACTTTTGGATCATTGGTATCCTCTTTGGGCTCAGGGGAGGGTCTCCTAGCAAGCCACAAGGACTTTCCAGCTCTCCCCCGCCATTTTGGGTTAGAATATTATGCTTTTTGTTTTTTCCTGAAATATTTGGCTTTTGAAAATCTTTTTGACACGTATTATTATTATTATTATTATTATTATTATTATTATATTTGTCTACCGCCCTTCATGCGAAGATCACAGGGTGGTCCACAACATTAAAATACAAAATGAGAACACAAAATACATAATAAAAATAAACAAAAGCCAAACCAAACCAATAACGCTCCTCCCAATTCTTTATATATTATGTAGAGTTGATATGGTTTACTATATGCTCAATCAAGTCTCAACTGATTTAGGTTATCGCAAATTTCCTGATTTAAACTTTTTGAAACTTTAAAAATGAAAAAAGCTAGACATCAAAGGTATTTTAACAAGAACTTCTGAATACTATACACTTACATTTTTTGACACTCCTTTCGCTCTCCCAGCATAGGATCTCCCATCTCCCCAAGGATGGTAGCTTCCACTTCATAGTGAACAATAAGTGCCTTTTCTGATGGATGTACATCAATATTTCCCCCTTTTACCTTCCTGTTAAGTAAGAAAAATTACGTGTAGCAATTATGTTGGGTGATAAGAAAAACATATATTTGATACAATAAGTTCAACTTATATTTAACCCTCTTGACATCCAAAGGTCCTACCGCCCTCCTTAGGCGGTCTCCTGCTACTATTGTATTTCTTTAAAGACTGGTTTGTTATTGGTCTTTTATGTTTTAAGCAATATGCTCCTCAAGTCCTTTTTTTCTTTTTAGCATCCCTTATTGACTTGCTTGTATTTCTTTGGCCAAAGTGTATGTTTCTTTTTGTTCTCTTCATTTGGATAAGACTTCTCTGCTTTGTCTCTCAATACAAAGCCTTACTGTCATTTTTTGCTCCTGAAATGTGGGGTGCAACTACTATTAAAACCATTTGTAATGAAAAAGCCATAAGGAAAAACGTCTGATCCTAGAACAATAAGAATAACAGAGCCAATTACCGCTTCCCATCACCAAAACAAGCAGATACAATTCTCCTCACCTTTTTCAGGTGAATAGAATTTTTTGTTACCTACACAGAACTTTTAGTGCAAAATGTACTTTAGACTGTTTTGTTTATTCTTGGAATAGTCAGCTGAGACAGTTACTACTATTCCTATTTTGACAAATGGAGAGCTAGCAAATGCAGATGTTTCTAGGAAAGCAGCATCTACCAGTTCCAGGCCATATTTGCATCATTCATCATCCATGAGCTCCACTGACGTGCTCCAGTGTGTCATCTAGCCCAACACATTTCAGTTGCTACAACAGGCAGAAAAAGCACTGTGGTCCACCAAAACCCTCAGCAATTTTCACGGATGGGTTGTTTGGGAACCACTGATACAGGAGATGCTATTTCAAGCAGCTGTCTCAGAGTATACATGGATGACACTTCAGATAGCAATCAGCACCTATTTTTTGTCACAGTAATGGATGAAGAAATAAAGCTGAGCACACTGCTTGGCCTTCCATCTACCAGGTGTACTATCAAGGCACAAGATCATAAAAATATATCAAATACTGCTAGACTGCTGCAAAACCCAACAGTGATCAGAAAGAAGTCTCACAAACAGGGAATGAAGGTCACAGCCCTCCCGTTGCTTGTTCCCCAGGAACTAACATTCAGAGACATGAATGTTAGCAGCCACTGAAAAGTGCCCTCACATTTAAAGTTTATTCTGCTAAGTATCATGCCTTAGAAAGATGCCCTTGAACTGTCTGCTTTCTTCTTGCCATGAAGCAGTACAAAAGCTTCCAAAAGCACTTTCCTGTGACATTGTCAAGCTCTCTCACCTATCGCTCAGTGGAAGAGAATATGTGCCTTGTGAGCAGATGGTCCCCCCAGGTCCAATCCCCCGCTGGCCAATGTTCGAAATTAGCAAGGTGCTAGGCGCATTTTACACTTAGCTTTCGACCACTTGCGACCAAGTGAAGATGTCTGGGTACCAGGATGGCACTTGATCTCTCACCATCTGGAGATGTATGCCTGGGGATCATTGGATCCAGACTCCTTCCACACACTATTAGCCCATCCTGTAGAAGTCTTATCAGTTACTACCCAACTTTTAGAAGACATCTGTTTTTATATATGTGCTGGAAGCTGCCCAGAGTGGCTGGGGAAACCCAGCCAAATGGGCAGAGTATAAATAATAAAATTATTATTATCTTTTATCTGCACAATCAGAATGAATTTCTGGAACCAAATTGCTTTTTCTGTGCAGCTTGAGCCCTGAGCAGGAGCAGTCAGTGTTAAAAAAAGAGAGCTCAGAATAGGCCAATATATACATGGACTGTCATTGGATCAAGGGACTTTTCTTCTTCAAGTTCTCAGCATTCTTAACCCAGTTCAAGGTCGTCCTCAGAACCAGCCAGATGTTGAACTGATAATCGATTGCGGTCAGCCCATTGTTTGGAAAATAAGACTTTAGAGTTGTCTTGCCCCCAAAATGGCAACCACACACTCTGTTTCAGCCACAGCAACCTTAGTTTTAAAGAGCCATTTTTTGAACCTAGTTTTTACGCTGGGGCTGGCCTCTCCAGACAGGATTGGGAGAGATCCCTGCTTGAAACCCTGGATGTCCCTGAAGCACAAGTCCCATCATCTCCTGATCACTTGCCATGCTGGCTAAACATGGACCACTTATAAACTCCAACTCCTCGTAAGATTCCATCAACGGTGTCTCCGAAAAAATTTACACATCTTTTGGGAAGACAGGCGAACTAATGCCAGTGTACTGGAAGAAGCAAAGATCACCAGTGTCGAAGCAATGATTCTTCAACATATACTTTGTTGGATTGTTCACTTTGTTCGGATGCCTGATGATCATCTTCCAAAGCAACTACTCTATTCTGAACTTAAAAATGGAAAGCGTAATGTTGGTGGTCAACAGAAGAGGTTTAAAGACTCTCTCAAGGCAAATCTTTAAAAATGTAGTATAAACACTGACAACTGGGAAACACTAGCCTGCGAGCGCCCCAATTGGAGAACAGCCTTTACCAAAGGTGTCATGGGCTTTGAAGATGCTCGAACTCAGGATGAAAGGGAGAAACATGCTAAGAGGAAGGTACGCTTGGTGGGATCAACTCCCACCCGGAAACCTATCTCCTCACTGTGGAAGGACGTGTGGATCCAGAACTGGCCTCCACAGTCACTTACGGACTCACTGTTAAGACCATGTTCCTGGAAGGCAATCTTAATCGGCTACGAGTGATCGCCAAAGAAGAAGTTGGCTAAGAATGATGCGAGTTCCATCCAACACCTGAAGGCGACCCAATACGGCGTAAGATGAGCCAATGGTCTGACTCAACCTGAGGCAGCTTCCTCCATCCCACTAAGTTCTCTCCCCCACCTCAAGGACCCTCCCTTTCTCCCGCAACCCACCCTCACTTTCTTCCCCCCACGTCAAGGACCCACATCTTCTCCCCAAACCCACCACCAACTTCTGCTCCCACCCCAAGGACCCTCCTCACCTTCTCCCCAAACCCACCACAACTTCTCCCCCCATCCCACCCCACGGACCCTCACTTTCTCCCCCACCCCACCCTCACCTTCTCCCCAAACCCACCACAACTTCTCCCCCCATCCCACTCCACGGACCCTCAATTTCTCCCCCACCCCACCCTCACCTTCTCCCCCACCCCACCCTCACCTTCTCCCCAAACCCACCACAACTTCTCCCCCCATCCCACCCCACGGACCCTCAATTTCTCCCCCACCCCACCCTCACCTTCTCCCCCACCCCACCCTCACCTTCTCCCCAAACCCACCACCAACCTCTCCCCACAACCCACCCTCACCTTCTCCTCCCACCCCACCCCAAGGACCCTCACCTTCTCCCTAAACCCACCGCCATCTTCTCTCCCCTCCCCCAGCCTGGCTTTTTCTCCACCTCCCACCACCTCACGACCCACAGCCCCCCACCCCAAACCTCTCCGCGACCCCTTCACCGGCGCCCCTCCCGCCCCCCCCAACTCGTTGACATCTGAGGGGGGGGGTGAGGGGAGAGAAGGGGAGGATGCTCGGCCGGCGGGGGGGAGGTGGGGCCGTTTCGCTGCCTCTCCCTTAACACCAGGCCCTGAGGCGCTCTACCTCTTGAGGTACCGGGCGTCCTCCCCCTGCATGGCGGCGGCCGCGGTGCTGAAGCGCGAGGGGGGCTGCGAGGGGCGCCCGTCGCCGGCGGACATCGGGGGGGCAGAGGGGGCGGGGAAGGCGCCGTTGCCAGGGAGACGGAGAGAGCGAGGGATGGAGAGGCGGCAGGCGGAGGCTGAGGGCAGAGAGGCGCAGGCGCAGGCGGCGGCCTCCGAACTGCGCAGGCGCGCGCGGCGTCACGAGGGGGCGGGGCGAAGGGCTCCGAGGCGGCTGAGTTCTGTCAGTTTTGGAATATGTTCCTATATGTCTCTGTGAGAGACTAAATTTTAATTCAGTTAATTCTTCGTTGTTGCTTTTTTTAATGTTGGGGTTTCTATTCCTCTGTGTTTTTAACTTTTCTTGTTGAGTCCCTCAACGGGGGTGGGGTGGGGAGGCAGGGTATCAATCAATCAAACAATAAATAATAATAATAATATCTATTATTTGATTATTGATGTAAACCGCCAAAGTATATTTTCTATAGTTAAATTTTTACCTCTATCTTCAGTCCATTTTATTTTATTGCTATGGCTGGTAGCTGATGCAAATAAAGATTTTTCTGATTCTAATAATAATATATTTTTTAAAATGTTGGGGTTTCTATTCCTCTGTTTTTAACTTTTCTTGTTTTTAGTCTGTAAGCCGCCCTGAGTCCCTGTCGTGGGGGCGGGGGGAAAGACGGGGTATCAATCAATATTAATAATATCTATTATTTGATTATTGATGTAAACCCCCAAAATGTATTTTCTATAGTTTAATTTTTACCTCCATCTTCAGTACATTTTATTTTATCGCTGTGGCTGGTGGCTGGTGCAAATAAAGATATTTTTGATTCTAATAATAATAATATTTAAAAAAAAATGTTGGGGTTTCTTTCTATTCCTCTTTGTGTTTAACTTTTCTTGTTTTAGTCTGTAAGCCGCCCTGAGTCCCTGTTGTGGGGGCAGGGGGGGGAGGCAGGGTATAAATAAATCTATAATAATAATTATTATTATTATCTTTAATCCCCTTCATGGATCACTGCCTTGCCGTGGCGAAGGGGCTTGAATAACTCAGAGAAGCTATGAGCTATGCCGTGCAGGGCCACCCAAGATGGACAGGTCATAGTGGAGAGTTTTGACCAAACGTGATCCACCTGGAGCAGGAACCGGCAAGCCACTCCAGTATCCCTGCCAAGAAAACTCCATGGACAAAGGCAACAGGCTTATAAAAGTTATGACACTGGAAGATGAGCCCCTCAGGTCGGAAGGTGTCCAACATGCTACTGGGGAAGAGCGGAGGACAAGTACAAGTAGATTCAGAGCTGATTCAGAGCTGGGCCAAAGCCGAAAGGACGCTCAGTTGCGGATATGCCTGGAAGCGAAAGGAAAGTCCAATGCTGTAAAGAAAAATACTGCATAGGAACCTGGAATGTAAGAACCATGAACCTTGGTAAGTTGGATGTGGTCAAAAATGAGATGGCAAGAATAAATATTGACATCCTGGGCATCAGTGAACTAAAATGGATGGGAATGGGGGAATTCAGTTCGGATGACCATCATATCTACTACTGTGGGCAAGAATCCCGTAAAAGAAATGGAGTGGCCCTCATAGTCAACAAAAGAGTGGCGAAAGCTGTACTGGGATGCAACCTCAAAAATGATGGAATGATCTCGCTACGAATCCAAGGCAGACCTTTTAACATCACAGTAATCCAAGTTTATGCACCAACCACTGGTGCTGAAGAAACTGAAATTGACCAATTCTATGAAGACTTACAACACCTTATAGAAATGACACCAAAGAAGGATGTTCTTCTCATTATAGGGGATTGGAATGCCAAAGTAGGGAGTCAAGAGATAAAAGGAACAACTGGCAAGTTTGGCCTTGGAGTTCAAAACGAAGCAGGGCAAAGGCTAATAGAGTTCTGCCAAGAGAACAAGCTGGTCATCACAAACACGCTTTTCCAACAACACAAGAGACGACTCTACACATGGACATCACCAGATGGGCAGCATCGAAATCAGATTGATTATATTCTCTGCAGCCAAAGATTGAGAAGCTCTATACAGTCAGCAAAAACAAGACCTGGAGCTGACTGTGGCTCAGATCATCAGCTTCTTATAGCAAAATTCAGGCTTAAACTGAAGAAAGTAGGAAAAACCACTGGGCCGGTAAGATACAATCTAAGTCAAATCCCTTATGAATACACAGTGGAAGTGAGGAACAGGTTTAAGGATTTAGATTTGGTGGACAGAGTGCCTGAAGAACTATGGATGGAGGCTCGTAACATTATACAGGAGGCAGCAACTAAAACCATCCCAATGAAAAGGAACTGCAAGAAAGCAAAGTGGCTGTCCAACGAGGCCTTACAAATAGCGGGGGAGAGAAGGCAAGCAAAATGCGAGGGAGATAGTGAAAGATACAGGAAATTGAATGCAGATTTCCAAAGAATAGCAAGGAGAGACAAGAAGGCCTTCTTAAACGAGCAATGCAAAGAAATAGAGGAAAACAATAGAATGGGAAAAACCAGAGATCTGTTCAAGAAAATTGGAGATATGAAAGGAACATTTCGTACAAAGTTTACCATAATAAAAGACAAAAGTGGAAAGGACCTAACAGAAGCAGAAGACGTCAAGAAGAGGTGGCAAGAATACACAGAGGAATTATACCAGAAAGATATGGATGTCTCGTACACCCCAGGTAGTGTGGTTGCTGACCTTGAGCCAGACATCCTGGAGAGTGAAGTCAAATGGGCCTTAGAAAGCACTGCTAACAACAAGGCCAGTGGAAGTGATGATATTCCAGCTGAACTATTTAAAATTTTAAACGATGATGCTGTTAAGGTGCTACACTCAATATGCCAGCAAATTTGGAAAACTCAGCAGTGGCCAGAGGATTGAAGAAGATCAGTCTACATCCCAATCCCAAAGAAGGGCAGTGCCAAAGAATGCTCCAACTACCGCACAATTGCACTCATTTCACATGCTAGCAAGGTTCTACAAGGCAGGCTTAAGCAGTATGTGGAGCGAGAACTCCGAGAAGTGCAAGCTGGATTTCGAAGGGGCAGAGGAACCAGAGACCAAATTGCAAACATGCGCTGGATTATGGAAAAAGCTAGAGAGTTCCAGAAAGACATCTACTTCTGCTTCATTGACTATGCAAAAGCCTTTGACTGTGTCGACCACAGCAAACTATGGCAAGTTCTTAAAGAAATGGGAGTGCCTGATCACCTCATCTGTCTCCTGAGAAATCTCTATGTGGGACAAGAAGCTACAGTTAGAACTGGATATGGAACAATAGATTGGTTCAAAATTGGGAAAGGAGTACGGCAAGGCTGTATATTGTCTCCCTGCTTATTTAACTTATATGCAAAATTCATCATGCGAAAGGCTGTGCTGGATGATTCCCAAGCCGGAATTAAGATTGCCGGAAGAAATATCAACAACCTCAGATATGCAGATGACACAACCTTGATGGCAGAAAGTGAGGAGGAATTAAAGAACCTTTTATTGAGGGTGAAAGAGGAGAGCGCAAAATATGGGCTGAAGCTCAACATCAAAAAAAACGAAGATCATGGCCACTGGTCCCATCACCTCCTGGCAAATAGAAGGGGAAGAAATGGAGGCAGTGAGAGATTTTACTTTCTTGGGCTCCATGATCACTGCAGATGGTGACAGCAGCACGAAATTAAAAGACTCCTGCTTCTTGGGAGAAAGGCGATGGCAAACCTAGACAGCATCTTAAAAAGCAGAGATATCACCTTGCCAACAAAGGTCCGTATAGTGAAAGCCATGGTTTTCCCATTAGTGATGTATGGAAGTGAAAGCTGGACCGTAAAGAAGGCTGATCACCGAAGAATTGATGCTTTTGAATTATGGTGCTGGAGGAGACTCTTGAGAGTCCCATGGACTGCAAGAAGATCAAGCGCATCCATTCTTAAGGAAGTTAGCCCTGAGTGCTCACTGGAAGGACAGATCGTGAAGCTGAGGCTCCAATACTTTGGCCACCTCATGAGAAGAAAAGACTCCCTGGAAAAGACCCTGATGTTGGGAAAGACGGAGGGCACAAGAAGGGGACGACAGAGGATGACATGGTTGGACAGTATTCTCGAAGCTGCAAACATGAGTCTGACCAAACTGCGGGAGGCAGTGGAAGACAGGAGTGCCTGGCGTGCTCTGGTCCATGGGGTCAAGAAGAGTCGGACACGACTAAACGACTAAAGAACAACAGCAAAATTATCTTCAATGATGGGGTTTCTCCGTCAGGGGGTGGAGCGAAGGGCTCTGAGGCAGTTGAGTTCTATCAGTTTTGGAATATGTTCCTATATGTCTCTGTGAGACATCTGTTGCTTTTTTTTTTTTAAAATGTTGAGGTTTCTATTCCTCTGTGTTTTTAACTTTTCTTGCTTTTAATCTGTAAGCTGCCCTGAGTCCATGTCGTGGGGGTGGGGGGAAGATGTGGTATAAATAAATCAATAATAATAATAATAATAATAATAATAATAACAACACAGGAAATTTTCTAGGGGGGACGTGTAGGCTGGCATTCATGGAGGCAGGGGAGGGGGCATCTGCCCCACCTCCCAAATCTTAAAAAAATATTGAAAAGCTTAGAAAACATTAAATTAACAACTTTGGGCAGGGCGGTCTCCCAAAGCTCAACAATGTTTTGGATGAGCTTTGAAAACACTCAATTTTAACAATTTTGGGGGGCAGTCTTCCAAAAATGCTCAACAACTTTTTGGACGAAGTTCAACTATTTGGGGGGGCATCTCCCCAAAAAAAACATTTTGGGGGGAGCCACAAAAATCCTGGCTATGCCCATGCTGGGATGTTGTTTCCAGGTGTTAGAAGTAACTACAAAATATCCTCTGTGCAAAAATGAGGCTGCTTTTCTCACATTTGATAGCGTGGGGTTAAGTCTCGCTGTGTTAATAGAATAGTAGAATTGTGGAGTTGGAAGAGACCCTGAGGGTCATCTAGTCCAACCCCCCGGCAATGCAGGAATCTCAACTAAAGCATCCCTGACAGATGGCCACCCAACTTCTGCTTAAATATCTCCAAGGAAGGAGAGTCCACCACCTCCCATGGGAATCCGTTCCACTGCCGAACAGCTCTTGCTGTCAAAAAGTTCTTACTGATGTTTAGTCGGAATCTCCCTTCTTGCAATTTGAAGCTAGGTCCTCCCCTCTGGAGAAGGAGAATATAAGCTTGCTCCATGTGACAGCCCTTGAGATATTTGCAAATGGCTATCATAGCTTTCAGTCTAATCTTTAATTTGGGATTGGGATGTTCTGTACAGCTCTGATGCTTAGCAGACAGAGGAGTAAAGGATTACTGGAGGGACTTTGGTAAGTAATCCTGATAAGTTATGGTGGTGTCCTTCTAGTGAGCAATGCCACTACCAATTCTAATGAAATATTCCTGGGAAACTGAAACAGCAGTCCTATACATGCCAGTAATGGCCCATATGAGTTCATATATGCAAAAAGACAAAAGCAAGCAACGTGGAAACAAATTTTCATTATCTGGAATATTCTGGGAATGGCTCCCTAGATATTAAAGTGATCTCCATGAAGATGGATGGGCCATTATCTCACTGCTAGTCAATGGATTATTACAGATACTTGTATGACAGGAATGATTTTTTAAATGGGACCTCTTTCTGTATGAAGTTATAAAATGCATGGCATTAGAATTCAACTCAGAATTTATCTGCATTGCAGGTGATGGGAGAGTGTCCAAGTTTGTTTAATACAAGGTAAGACCTTAACCTTACTTTGTGTCTGTAGTGTTTGTTTAATTTGCTTTAACTGATAGTCTTTAATTTAATACAGAAGTCAACCTACAAATGGTTGTTGGTAAAAATGAATATAAAAGGGATCTCTGCCCATAAAATGGAATTATCGCAGTCCTACCTAGTTATGATGCTGAAAAATGGGTCCAAGGCTTCCTGCTGTCCAGGTACCTCGCCCATCATGATGGTCTGTGATGTTCTTTTAGCATGTGCTAAATTGATACTTTAAAGGCAGCTTTGGTGAAAAGGGCATTGGTGTTGCTGAGACCCAGCATCTTAGTGACCTGTGAACTGTGACATCACTATGATAACTCCAGACTTACTTGCTAGTAAGAAAAGGAAAGTCACAGTGGTCATTAACTTGTGCTCTTTGTCTTCCTGGGGTTTTGTTTTTCATGCATCTCTAAACATTTTTTGTCCTAAAAATAAGGTTGATTTATTTTTTACAAATTTTGGTCCTTTTTTGAGCCAAATTTGTAAGATTTGGATACATTTTAATCCAAATGATTATTATGTTCTGATTCATCTAAATGGAGTCCCTTTGCTTAAAAATGATGACCAGATGAAATTCTCCTCCTTCCCTATACGTGGGATGTATTTTTAAGGGAACATTTTACCGTACAGTGGTGCCCCGCAAGACGAATGCCTCGCAAGACGGAAAACTCGCTAGACGAAAGAGTTTTCCGTTTTGGAGGTGCCTCGCAAAACGAATCTGCTATGGGCTTGCTTCGCAAGACGAAAATGTCTTGCGAGTTCCTGGGGTTTTTTTTCCTTTCCCCCCTCTTTTTCTAAGTCGCTAAGCCGCTTATCTGCTTATCCGATAAGCTGATAAACTGCTAAAAGCCGCTAAAAGCCGCTAATAGCGCTAATAGCGCTAATCCGCTAATCCGTCAATGGGCTTGCTTCGCAAGACGAAAAAACCGCTAGACGAAGAGACTCCCAGAACGGATTCTTTTCGTCTTGCGAGGCACCACTGTATTTTTCGTTCTATAGGACGCACCGGCCCATAGGACGCACCTCGTTTTTTGGGGGGGGGAAATGAATAAAAAAAATTATTCCCCCCCCCCGCGGCTGCCGCCCCAAGCCTTGCGTGCTTCGGGCTGCAGGCTACCGCCCGAAGCCTCGCGCGCTCAGCGGGACCTCCTGCCGGGCGCGCAAGGCTTGCAGACACTCGCCCGAAGCACGGGGAGCCCTCCGGAGGGCTCCCGTGCTTCGGGAGACAAGCTGCAGCCCCAAGCCTCGCGCGCTCGGCGGGACCTCCTGCCGGGCGCGCAAGGCTTGCGGACACTCGCCCGAAGCACGGGGAGCCCTCCGGAGGGCTCCCCGTGCTCGGGCGACAGGCTGCTGCCCCAAGCCTTGCTCGCTCGGCGGGACCTCCTGCCGGGCGCGCAAGGCTTGCAGACACTCGCTCGAAGCACGGGGAGCCCTCCGGAGGACTCCCGTGCTCGGGCGACAGCTGCCGCCCGAGCCTCGCGCGCTCGGGCGGGACCTCCTGCCGGGCGCGCAGGGGCCTGCAGACACTCGCCCGAAGCACGGGAGCCCACCGGAGGGCTCCCCGTGATTCAGGCGACCGGCTGCCGCCCTAAGCCTTGCGCGCTCGGGGGGCCTCCTGCCGGGCGCGCAAGGCTTGCATACACTCGCCCGAAGCACGGGAGCCCTCCGGAGGGCTCCCGTGCTTCGGGCGACAAGCTGCAGCCCCAAGCCTTGCGCGCTCGGCGGGACCTCCTGCCGGGCGCGCAAGGCTTGCGGACACTCGCCCGAGCACGGGAGCCCTCCGGAGGGCTCCCGTGCTTCGGGAGACAAGCTGCAGCCCCAAGCCTTGCGCGCTCGGCGGGACCTCCTGCCGGGCGCGCAAGGCTTGCGGACACTCGCCCAAGCACGGGAGCCCTCCGGAGGGCTCCCGTGCTTCGGGCGACAGGCTGCTGCCCCAAGCCTCGCGCGCTCGGCGGGACCTCCTGCCGGGCGCGCAAGGCTTGCGGACACTCGCCGGGGCTGCAGGCTGCTGCCGGCAAGCCTTGCAAGCCCGCGGGAACTCCCACCGGGCTTGGAAGGCTTGCGGATAGCTTCCTGAAGCCTGGAGAGCGAGAGGGTCGGTGCGCACCGATGCCTCTCGCTCTCCAGGCTTCAGCGAAGCCTGCATTCGCTCCATAGGACGCACACACATTTCCCCTTCATTTTTGGAGGGGAAAAAGTGCGTCCTATGGAGTGAAAAATACGGTAATTACAGTGGGCTGGATTTAACTACCGTATTTTTCGCTCTATAAGACGCACCAGACCACAAGACGCACCTAGTTTTTGGAGGAGGAAAACAAGAAAAAAATATATTCTGAATCTCAGAAGCCAGAACAGTAAGAGGGATCGCTACGCAGCGAAAGCAGCGATCCTGCTTGCTGTTCTGGCTTCTGGGATAGCTGCGCAGCCTGCATTCGCTCTATAAGACGCACACACATTTCCCCTTACTTTTTAGGAGGGAAAAAGTGAGTCTTATAGAGCAAAAAATACGGTAAGTTGTGCTTACGGAAGCCAGCACAAAAGTCTTGCTAGTGCAGTGGGACTTTCCCTCTTATCCTCCCCCCCCCCCTGTGCCTTTTCCAAATTTGTTCAGGAGGGTCAGGAGAACCCTGCAGGAAGAGAGGCATGAAATGTTTGCAATGACAGAAAAAATCTCATTAGTGTGATGTTGAATGCTGCCCTAAATACTTACATCATCATACATCATATATCATTTAATTTGTATGCCATCTTTTGATCATTCTAATCATGCTCATGGTGGATTACAACATGAAAAAATACATAATTACAAACACAAGATGTCATAAACAATAAAATGTCAAAAAGTACACAACAGAATTCAACAATTTCAGCATAAATCAAAATAAGTTCTCAAATAAAGATGCAAAAAAAATCAACAGTAGCAACAAGCTCCCCACTCCCACAAAAAACCCTAAACATTCATTCATTCACCAACAACCTTTATCTTCCAAGAACTTCCTCTTTGTTTCATTTTTGCAACAAATGTTTTAGGTAGGTTAGGCTAAGGGATGGTGACTGGCCCGATGTCATCCAAGTTGGAATGCAAATCCTGGTCACAGTCCAATACTCTAACCATCATACCCTAGCCCAAGATTCTGTTTAGCCTCAGTTTTTGTAGTTGTAGTCATTCAGGGCCTCACCCTCCTAAGTTGGGTGGGAAAAGGCCTGCAAAGAAATGATTCAAAATACAACATAATTATGGAAACTTTCTCAAGGAAAAGCAGTATAACCTAAGAAGCAGGGATTGTCAATGAGCTTTCCAGTGTAACTAGAACACTTTTAATGTTTACCTTAAAAGCTCTGGTACTTGAGATTGTCTTCATCCAAATTTACTAATATGTATTTTACTAATCCAGGGGAAATACTGTCCTATGAGTCCCCAAGGCTTAATATCTAGGTGTTGGATATTTGATAAACTTAACATGGTGCTTTCTTAGTGAGATATAGCTCTCCTGGGACAGCTTTGTACAACCCAACCCATTAAAAATACAATGTATGCTTCCCTTGTCAGGTCACTTCAAGCGTTTTTCTTAAATTTACATTTGTTACTTGATCAGACTCCTTATCCCCAATCTCTGGAGGAAATCTTTAGTCTTTTCATGTCACAATGGTTTCACAGTTACTGGGGACGACTTGATACAAATGTTATTTTAACTACTAGTCCTGAGTTAAACAGAGCTGAAGAGAGTCATGTCAATGCAAGGAAAGAACAGATAGAAGTATTTTTAATTATGTTCTGTATTATTGTGGTTTTATACTCTAAACTGCTCTGTGATCCTCAAATGAAGGGCAGTTTATAGTTGTTGTTGTTATTATTATTATTATTATTGATGATTATACAGTACAGTAATAGTAAACTACTAAAAATAAAAGCAGATGAAATGGTTTGTAATATGTTTTTTAAGGTCAGTGAATAAGTCCAAATGGCCACTTACCAACTGATAACGTCCCAAGCTCTGAAGGTAGCTATATCAAAAGCTGTTCATCTGTAGTGTTCTACTACATTCCATCAAGTTTTGAGGATTTATTTTAACCACCACATGGCTCTGTTGAATGGTTTCTTTAAATGTAAAGGTTCATCATTGTTCCACCCGATGTGTATGTCTTTAAGGGGCCAGAGCAAAATAACGAGACCCAGCTTTACAGCTGTGAAACATAGGAGGCGCTGCTGAGTTGTATTGATTAAGCTGTGTCAGCAATTGGGTAGAGTATATAAGGAGCAGCACCTAGCTCTCCCATTACCCTGGGGGATGGGTTGGTGGTTGGGTCTGGTTTGTTGTTGATGTATTTAGTGTATAAGGAGTTTTTGTTTTTGTTATTAAAACCTTGTTTAAGTTATTTTTGAGTCCCTTTTTAATGCATGGTCTCTCCAGCAAGCTCTTTGCAGCGCTACCATACTGCAAATAGCCAACAGGCTCTCCAAATAAATGTCTGATAGAATACATATGAGTAGTAAAATTATCCTCCCACTTGATAGAACATTTTAAAAAGCCACTGTCTGCCAACACAAATTATCTATTGGTGTATACAGTTTGTTGACTTTTCTTTAAAAACACACACAGGCACCCCAAACAACTCAAGGCAAGTTCTCAAATTATAAAACTGTATGCACAACTTGTGACCCCCTTCGGTTAGCCTGCCAGGAACACAGTGATTGTCTTGCTCTTGATCTCTGTCTAGGCGTACACAAACTTGGAAGGGATGTCAAACCCTTTGCAGGCCATGGCACATGTCTGGTGGACTGCATTTGGCTTTGTTGGCCACAGGCTGTGCAGTCATGGATTGAACATGGCAGCTAAACTGGAATGGTTCTCAAGAGAGCTCTTATATTTATGGGACCGCCTCTCCTGGTATGCCCCGCAGAGAACCTTAAGGTCCATGAATAATCATAGTTTAGAGGTCCCGGGCCCTAAGGAAGTCAGATTATCCTCCACCAGAACCCAGGGCCTTCTTAGTGATGGCTCTGACCTGGTGGAATGCTCTGTCCCATGAGACCAGGGCCCTGCAGGATTTAACTTCCTTCCACAGGGCCTGTAAGACAGAGCTATTCCACCTGGCTTTCCATTTGAACTTAGCCTGATCTTTTATTCCCCTTCCTTCCTTCCCCCTCCCCTTTTTATGAAGATTACCCGCTCTGGGATCCCACAGCTAATTCTTCCCTGGTCTCCTCGCTGGCCCGAATAGGACTAACTTAGCCAGCTAGCCCTGATGATCATCTAATGTTGGATGGATTTCCCCCCAAATTTATTTTTGAATTCTGAATTTATTGTTATTCACGTTTTATACTGTATTTTATGCTGTTTTTTGTTGCACCAATTAAGTGTTTTAAATTTGTTGTTAGCCGCCCTGAGCCCGGTTTTCTGAACCGGTAAGGGCGGGGTATAAATGAAAATGTATTATTATTTATTATAATATAGGGCATTGCTTTGTGTGAAAGGATCACCTACACAGCTCCAATAGAACCTAAGGCTCTGTGCTCCAGGTTTCATATCTGCAATCTTCCCTTGAAAACCTGGGACTGAAGAAACAAGGCCTTCTGGTATTTCTGTATATAATTGATTCAGCAGTAAACATGAAATGGCCTCAGTGGAACACATCTGGCGAGCCTCTCTGAGGAGGGAGTTCTGTGATGCCAACTCCTGCAAGGTCATAGAATGTGAGCCTAATAAAGAGGAAGGATTGAATGCTGGGAATGAGCAAGGAGAAAACTCTGTTGATAAAAGAGAGGAGGGGGAAAGGATTCAAGGGAAGAAAGCAGATAGCAAGGCATCAGAAAGTAAAGGAAGAATGAACACAAGTATCAAGATTGACAGTCTGAAAGAGCTATATACAAAAAGCAGCCAAGTAATAATAATTTATTATTACAGCCTTTGACTGTGTCGACCACAGCAAACTATGGCAAGTTCTTAAAGAAATGGGAGTGCCTGATCACCTCATCTGTCTCCAGAGAAATCTCTATGTGGGACAAGCAGCTACAGTTAGAACTGGATATGGAACAACTGATTGGTTCAAAATTGGGAAAAGAGTACGGCAAGGCTGTATATTGTCTCCCTCTTTATTTAACTTATATGCAGAATTCATCATGCAAAAGGCTGGGCTGGATGATTCCCAAGCCGGAATTAAGATCGCAGGAAGAAATATCAACAGCCTCAGATATGCAGATAACACAACTTTGATGGCAGAAAGTGAGGAGGAATTGAAGAACCTTTTAATGAGGGTGAAAGAGGAGAGCGCAAAATATGGTTTGAAGCTCAACATCAAAAAAATGAAGATCATGGCCACTGGTCCCATCACCTCCTGGCAAATAGAAGGGGAAGAAATGGAGGCAGTGAGAGATTTTACTTTCTTGGGCTCCATGATCACTGCAGATGGTGACAGCAGCCACGAAATTAAAAGACGCCTGCTTCTTGGGAGAAAAGCAGTGACAAACCTAGACAATATCTTAAAAAGCAGAGACATCACCTTGCCAGCAAAGGTCCGTATATGTAGTTAAAGCTATGGTTTTCCCAGTAGTGATGTATGGAAGTGAAAGCTGGACCATAAAGAAGGCTGATCGCTGAAGAATGGATGCTTTTGAATTATGGTGTTGGAGGAGACTCTTGAGAGTCCCATGGACTGCAAGAAGATCAAATGCATCCATTCTTAAGGAAATCAGCCCTGAGTGCTCATTGGAAGGACAGATCCTGAAGCTGAGGCTCCAATACTTTGGCCACCGCATGAGAAGAGAAGTCTCCCTGGAAAAGACCCTGATGTTGGGAAAGATGGAGGGCACAAGGAGAAGGGGATGGCAGAGGACGAGATGGTTGGACAGTGTTCTCGAAGCTACCAGCATGAGTTTGACCAAACTGCGGGAGGCAGTGGAAGATAGGAGTGCCTGGCGTGCTCTGGTCCATGGGGTCACGAAGAGTCGGACACGAGTAAACGACTAAAGAACAACAACATTAATAATAATAACAACAACAATAATAAGTGGCATATCATATAATTTGGCATGATGGTTTGCAGCTGGGTTATTTTGTTGTGGGTCCATTATTGAATTTGAGACTTAATTGGTTGTTTTTAATTATTAAAACAACCATTAAAAAAAATTATTCTGCCATGCTGAATGCTGTTTGCCCAGAGTAAAAATGGACAAAAGAGAGGAATGCCTCCTGCAGCCTTGGAACCTTGGATCCAGACTTGGAGCAGGCATATTGAAATCAATGAGGTGTGTGGACTATTGTTTTCAATTGGTCTGAAAGTATGACTAATCATTGGACTGAACCCAATAATGGCTCTAACACACCACCTAAAAGCTATTATTACCTGTTTTCAACCTTAGAGGAGCAAGCAGGCCCCCATATGAAATAGTTCTTGCTCCTTGAAATTTATGGCCAAAAATATTATATTGACCTCAAGCAATCACCCATCCCCCCTTCCAGCAAGAGATCAATATTAACTTTGAATCATTCCCATTTTTGGGGGGGAGGGAGATTTTCAATATAAAACGTATGTTCTAAATATACACCACCCAGTAAACAAATTTTTGCCCTTAGATACAGCACATACCTTTTTCAGAACCTCAAACTCTGTATCCTTCCAAAGCAGAACAATAATGAGCAGCTAGTTTTCTATTGCCCGGAGAACTACAGTTGGATAGGGAGTAATCCAGCATTAGTTACAAACTGGAGAACAAACAATTAGTACACAGTATCAGAAGACGGGTAATGTACATTCCACCAAATGGTTCCTGTTGGAGATTTTTGACAGAATCCCCTCTTTCAAAGTGGTTTCTCTCTCACTGATGGAGTCTGCCTTTCTTGACTACAACAGAGAAGGACTTTGAATTTAAGAACTAACTGCATCTGTGAGTGTGAGTGTGTTCACCCAAAGTCCACCACCAGTTAATAATAATAATAATAATAATAATAATAATTTATTTATACCCCGCCCATCTGGCTGGGTTTCCCCAGCCACTCTGGGCGGCTTCCAACAAAACACTAAAATACAATAACCTATTAAACATTAAAAGCTTCCCTAAACAGGGCTGCCTTTAGATGTCTTCTAAAAGTTTGGTAGTTGTTCTCTTTGACATCTGGTGGGAGGGCGTTCCACAGGGCAGGTGCCACTACCGAGAAGGCCCTCTGCCTGGTTCCCTGTAACTTGGCTTCTCACAGTGAGGGAACCGCCAGAAGGCCCTCGGCGCTGGACCTCAGTGTCTGGGCAGAACGATGGAGGTGGAGACACTCCTTCAGGTATACTGGACCGAGGCCGTTTAGGGCTTTCAAGGTCAGCACCAACACTTTTAATTGTGCTCTGAAACATACTGGGAACCAGTAGCCATACCTCTGCTATGTGGCCCCTGAGTACTCACTCACCACCCCATGTGGCCGAAATGTGGCTCACTCTTAGTTTAAGTGTAACCCCCCCCCAAAGAAAACCAGTTTGCAGTGTTTTGAAAAATACAGACACATCCCAAATACCCTAAAACAATAAACAGAACTTATTGCTAAATGCCCCATCCTGTGTCTTGCTGCAGCATCACACAGGCACCGGCCGAGGGGCATGTTTTGGTGCCATCAATTTACTTTGTGCTTCATAGGGGAACATAAATGCAAAAGGGAGGGGGGTGGAAGATATGGCATGTCAACACCTGTGTCCGCACAACATGACAAAATGATGTGATGTTGCCAGCATTTTCACAATGTAGCAGTGCAACAGGCAGTTATGCCCATACAGATATTTAGGATGTGGCTAGCATATGCTTGGGACGCGGGTGGCACTGTGGGTTAAACTACAGAGCCTAGGCTTGCCAATCAGAAGGTCGGCGGTTTGAATCCCCGCGACGGGGTGAGCTCCCGTTGCTCGGTCCCTGCTCCTGCCAACCTAGCAGTTCGAAAGCATGTCAAAGTGCAAGCAGATAAATAGGTACCGCTCCGGCGGGAAGGTAAACAGCATTTCCGTGCGCTGCTCTGGTTCACCAGAAGCGGCTTAGTCATGCTGGCCACATGACCCGGAAGCTGTACGCCGGCTCCCTCGGCCAGTAAAGCGAGATGAGCGCCGCAACCCCAGAGTCGGCCACGACTGAACCTAGTGGTCAGGGGTCCCTTTACCTTTACCATATGCTTATTCATGGTCACTAAATGCCCACTTGCATTAAAAATTTTTTTAAAAGGGTCTTGCATCAGCTGAGAATGAATGAAAGTGCAAATTCAGGTTTGGTGAACCTCCAGGGGAAAATTTCAGGGATTGCAAGCAGCTACAATCTGAAGAAGTCCTTGTAGGTCTTTTATGCTACCGATACATTATTGTTAATGTAGCTGACCTCTCACATGCCCTAGTGCATGATCATGTTGTCTTTGTATGGCTCTGAGCCCTTAGTGGCTGCGGGTGGGTTATAAACCTAAAGTCATGGCCTTTGTATTGGGAAACAGTGCTACGGGGTACAGGAGTAGCCATGGGACAATGTTTCTGTCCCTTTCAAGAAGAAGCTAACGAGTTTTAAGATGGGAGGTAAAGTGACCTATCTAAGAGCAGATATACTTTCCCCCTGTCTAAGCAATCTGGCTTTTTATCACTTCCCAGCACCTGCTAGTGCAAGAGCATGACACTTCAGGGATTATTCTGAGCAAGTGTCAGGAGACTCAGGCAGGCAGACAGACAGACAGACAGCCACATATAGAATGACAGAGATGGACGTGGTTTAAATGACACCACCGGAGCCCTCTGAGAGAGCAGTCAGGTCCTACTTGGCACGCAGGCAACTTCCTCCAGAAAGTCCTGAATAGTATGGAGTATATGGGGGCCCATTTAGCCTTTAAATCACGCTGGCACAAGACAGATGAGGAACTCTGTCGACACAGCATGTCCTTCATCCTCCACAAGGCAATTCGGAACGATTTTTTCCAGAGTTATCTCTACCTTCTGGAGCGGCTGCCTCTGGGTGAGTAAGCTGAAAAGCAGCGGCAGTGTTGAGTGGCTTGCCAGGGTATGCTTGGCTTTTGAAAAGAAGAGCAGGCAGGGGTTTTGGACCTCTGCCCTGGAAGCCCCACCCTCTTTTCATATTGGTCGAAAAGTTTTCAGAGATGTGAAATTAATCAATTTATTTGCTCTTGAAATACTGATTTGCAGTCATCTTTAAATGTGATATGGATGGTAGTCAACTAGCAAAATAAATCTTGGCAGTACATCTCCAAATGTTTAATTATTGCTGAAGGAAGTATCTGTGAGCTCCATTAATCAGTGCCACTGACCAGTTGTTAATGGCCTGGTTGCAGATTAAAAATTGATATTGGACTACCCCCAGAATCCATCACCAAAGTTTGACCTGGTTCCTTTTCCCTTTCCCTTTCCCTTTCCCTTGCCTGCCTCCTTCTGTCTCTTACATGCCCCTATAGTTGCAGGTTGTGTTAGAAAGGTATCGGTACAGTCTGCTTTAGCTAGTACTATGAGTCTGTGAGTTGGTTCACACATAACACTAAGGGCCGGTCCATGTTTTTCTTTGCCTTGTTATTCCCCCCCAGGAAAGCCAGCAGTTTAGCACTGAATCAGAACAAACAGCAACTGGGTCTTCTGCAGATGGCTGTATGTTCTGATTTAGCACTAAAAAACATTTTATTCCATGGGAAAGCAGCAAAGGAAAAACTAATCAGAAATAAGTCTAGAAAGCACGGGGCAAGCAGAAAATCGCTCAGACCCATGTTTTCTATGCATGGGACGTGTATGCGAGCCCTAAGTCAAACTCTTGGCTTAGAGCGAATATACCACAAGCCTGCAGGTCCCCAGAGAGGAGATTGCAGTTGCTGAGCTTCTCCAGCCCTTATGGTGCTATGAGCTAAGCCATGGTTTGGCGTCAAATGTCATCTGAATCTGGGCTTGTAGTTTGCCTCCTTCAGACAAACAGAACAAACTTTGGTTACAGCTCATGGCTTGTCTCATGCAAGACAGACCACAAGCCCAGGTCTGGATAACACACTGTGCCAAACCATGATTTAGCTGGCAACAGCGCAGCATCAGGAGAAGCAAAGCCTCTGTTTCCTCCCTGGGGACCTCCTTGCCCACATATTCATGCTAAACCATGATTTGCCTTAGTGTGTCATATGGACCAGGTCAGTGAGTAACGCCAGGAAGAAATTAGAATTTGCAGAGAGCAGTCGTCAGGGTCTCTTCCCACTCGACAATTCTATGATTCTGCTGTGTCTTGCGTTTGAAATTCACTTGTATGCTGCTCGCTTTTAAGATCTGCTAATGTACACAGGATAAACTGTTACTAGAGCAAAGGGAACGTGCAAGACCAGCAGCAGTGGGAGAAGACTAAGACTAAGACAAAACTTTATTCGTCTCATCCGATGGCCATAGCAACAGTAAAACATTACAATATACAGTGGTACCTCTGGTTGCGAATGGGATCCGTTCCGGAGGCCCGTTCGCAACATGAAAAGAGCGCAACCCGCAGTGGCGCATCTGCGCATGCGCAGGTCACAATTCACCGCTTCTGTGCATGCATGTGACGTCATTTTGCACATCTGCGCATGCACGAGCGGTGAAACATGGAAGTAACCCTTTCCGGTACTTCCGGGTCGCCGCGGGACCTGAAAGAACGTAACATGAAGCGGACGTAACCAGAGGTATGACTGTACACAGAAAAAAGGAAATTTAGTATAAGAGCAGAGTTTAGGGTCCTGAATCAAGAGTCAGTTAGTGGGCCTTATCCTGATTGCCCCTGCTAAGAACCTAGCAACCTTTGAGCAGTGGGAGAAGCTAAGAGGTGATACTGGACTCAGCTACACGGGCAAAGAAAAAAGCACTTTCTATGCGTTGTTTATGCATTCTAACACTGTGACCCCAGATGGCGCTGTGGAGTTCCATTTTTGCCAACCTGATTTCTCATACAAAGTTTAAAACGCATTTAATTGAAATGCTTCTTGGATGTGTCCATATCCAGCCATTGTCCGTTCCCATGTGTCCACAGCATTTTTGAAAGTCCATGGCTAATGCTGATACATATAGAATCATGGAACTGTAGAGCTGGAAGGGACCCCAAAGGTCATCTATGTGATACAGGAGTCTCAACTAAAGCAAACAAAACAGATGACAGACTCTCCAAGTGTCCCTATTTTCCAGGGACATCCCTGATTTAGAGAAGCCGTCCCGGTTTCTGATTGATCCCATAATGTCCCACTTTTCCTTAGGATGTCCTTATTTTCATGGACAGAATGTTGGAGGCTATGGAGTTATCTAACCCCTGAGCTGTCTGAAGGCAATCCTGTATAGGGAAGGATTTTTTTTTTAAAAAAATGCTTAATATTTTATTACGTTTTATATATGTTGGAAGCTGCCCAGAGTGGCTGGGCCAACCCAGTAAGATGTGTGGGGTATAAATAGTAAAATTATTGTGGAATGGGATGTCCCTATTTTCACTGGAGAAATGTTGGAGTGTATGAGATGACCTTCCAACTTCTGCTTAAAAACCTCCAAGGAAGGAGAGTCCACAGCCTCCCGAAGGAGTCTGTCCCACTGTCAAACAGTTCCTACTGTCAGAAAGTTATTTTCCTGATGTTTAGTCCTTTCTTGCAATTTGAAGCTATTGGCTCGTGTCCTACCCTCCAGAGCAGGAGAAAACAAACTTGCTCCATCTTCTATGTGACAACCCTTGAGATACATGGCTATCAGATCTCCTCTCAGTCTCCTCTTTTCCAGGATAAACATGCCCAGCTCCCTCAACCATTCCTGATCAGGCTTGGTTTCCAGACCCTTGATCATCTTGGTCCTCCTCCTCTGTACACGTTCCAGCTTGTCCACACCCTTCTTAAAATGTGGGGCCAAAATCGGACACAGGACTCCTAAGTGTGGTCTGACCAAGGCAGAATAGAGAGGTACTATGACTTCCCTTGATCTGGATGCATTTGTTGCTGCTGCATATAGCAACATTGACTGGGTTCTCATAGGATCTGCAGTCAAGACACAAGACACCAGGTTTAAGGTGCTGGCTTTGACCTTTAAAGCCCTTTGTGGCTTAGGGCCCTCATATTTATGGGACTGCCTCTCCTGGTATGCCCCACAGAGGACTTTAAGGTCCATGAATAATCATAGTTTAGAGGTCCAGGGCCCTAAGGAAGTCAGATTATCCTCCACCAGGGCCAGGGCCTTCTCAGTGATCGCTCCGACCTGGTGGAATGCTCTGTCCCATGAGACCAGGGCCCTGCAGGATTTAACTTCCTTCTGCAGGGCCTGTAATAAAGAGCTATCCTACCTGGCTTTCAATTTGAACTTAGCCTGATCTTTTACTCCCCTTCCTTCCCTCTCCCTCCCGTTTTTTATGAAGATTACCCGCTCTGGGATCCCACAGCTAATTCTTCCCTGGTCTCCTCGCTGGCCCAAATAGGACTAATTTAGCCAGCTAGCCCTGGTGATAATCTAACGTTTATTGGATGGATTTCCCCCCTAAATTGATTTTTGAATTCTGAATTTATTGTTATTCGCGTTTTATACTGTATTTTATGCAGTTTTTTGTTGCATCAATTAAGTGTTTTAAATTTGTTGTTAGCCACCCTGAGCCCGGTTTCCTGAACCGGGAAGGGCGGGGTATAAATAAAAATTTATTATTATTATTTATTATTATATCCCATTCGGGACCCCTAGTTTGCATGGACGCACACCACTGTTCTAGTGGTACCTACTACATCCTGTACCAGGCTCTGCAAACAGCATTAAAGTTCCTTTTCCTTACATCAGGGAGAAGGACTAGATGCATTGTCTAGTAAAAATGCTTAACACATTTGCAGAGCGAACCCCTGTGGTGCAAGATCTTGTGAAGCTAAACACCCAGAAGCTTGGTTGCAATAGCTGTCACATACCTCTTAAATATCTGAAGCACAGTCAGCACAGAACTGTCATTCATGCAGCGATCATGAAGCAAGCAAAGGAGAAACTTTGTATACCAAACAATTTTTAACAATGACCGCTCCCCGCATAAAACGGGGGCCACCCTTTGCGTGGACGCACGCAGCCCCTGGATCTGGAACAGCTCCATCAACACAGGCTTGGCTTCACCTTCCCCCAGGTGGGATACCTGAAGGTCTCTGCCTACCTCAGTCAGTTGTCCAATCCCGCCTGGGGGAAACGTTGCCAAGGAGACCAGGCCAGGTAGGGGAGGGACTACCTGCCCACACAATAGAGGGAGGATCATACCTGGGAATCCTCACTTGGCTCCAGACAATTTTTAACAATAACTAGAACATTTTGAATTATGGAGCTGGAGGAGACTGCAAGTCCCCTCCCATGGACTGCAAGAAGATCAAACATATCCATTCTTAAGGAAATCAGCCCTGAGTGCTCACTGGAAGGACAGATTGTGAAGCTGAGGCTCCAATACTCTGGCCACCTCATGAGAAGAGAAGACTCCCTGGAAAAGACCCTGATGCTGGGAAAGATGGAGGGCACAAGGAGAAGGGGATGACAGAGGACGAGATGGCTGGACAGTGTTCTCAAAGCTACCAGCATGAGTTTGACCAAACTGTGGGAGGCAGTGGAAGACAGGAGTGCCTGGCGTGCTCTGGTCCATGGGGTCACAAAGTCAGACACGACTAAACAACAACAGAACACCAGATTTGTATTCAGCTGCGATGGAGACTAGGGGTAGTTGTCTCAATTTGAAGGCAGACATGTCACTTTGTGAACGGTGGACAACCTTGTCACTGTCCTCCAAACTCACTTACTTCTTTCTTTTGTTCTGGGATGAGCTTTGAAGCAGGTGGGGGGGGGGGAGTAGGTTTTCTGCAGGTTTACAGCATGACTCCTTTTTCATGTCAGCAGAAATCTGCATGTCGTGGGCATCCTAGTATTGGCTGAGGCTTACGATATCACCAACCAGAATGCATGGAAACACTGTTTACATGCCTTAAAGCAAAAGTTCATTTTTTGTTTGAAAGATAAACATATGTATACAAAATAAATGAGCATGTGTTGCTTTTAAAATGCTTTTATAAGATGGTAAAAGGTAAAGGATGGTTAAGTCCAGTCAAAGGCGACTATGGGGTTGCGGCGCTCATCTCACTTTCAGGCCAAGGGAGCCAGCGTTTGTCCACAGACAGCTTTCCGGGTCATGTGGACAACATGACTGAACCACTTCTGGTACAACGGAACACCGTGACGGAAACCAGAATGCATGGAAACACTGTTTACATTCCCGCAGCAGTGGTACCTATTTATCTACTTGCACTGGTGTGCTTTCGAACAGCTAGGTTGGCAGGAGCTGGGGCAGAGTAACGGGAGCTCACCCCGTCGCAGCGATTCGAACCGCCAACCTCCTGATCAGCAAGCCCAAGAGGCTCAGTGGTTTAGACCACAGCGCCACCCACATCCCTTATGAGATGAGCAGCCTATGTGGGAATGTGGGGCATGTCTAGACTTGCCTATCAGAAGCAGGTCAGGGCCAATAATTGATTATCATGGTATGTTCATGTGTAACATAAGTTGAGATGCTATGTCTATGCCAGGGGTCAGCAAACTTTTTCAGCAGGGGGCCGGTCCACTGTCCCTCAGACCTTGTGGGCAGCCAGACTATATTTTGAAGGGGAAAAATGAACGAATTCCTATGCCCCACAAATAACCCAGAGATGCATTTTAAAGAAAAGGACACGTTCTACTTATGTAAAAACACATCGATTTCCGGACCATCCGCAGGCCGGATTGAGAAGGCGATTGGGCCGCATCCGGCCCACGGGCCTTAGGTTGCCTACCCCTGGTCTATGCCATGGGCAAAAATCTGACACAACTGCTTTTACAATACTCTATCTACACCCGCAAAGTGGCATGGCAGTGTGATTGCTGTCCATTGCGCACCTATCCCACTGTCAATTTCTGTAAACAAGTTTTGCAGCGTTTTTTGGTAGTGCTTGCAAACCCGTGAAGCCTGTTCAAGTGGAGGCAAAGGTGGCAGAACATAAATGAGCTGCAATTGTGTCTCTATCATACCACTTCCACAACTTTCTCTCTCGTGCCTTTGAGGGTTTTACAGCTGTGCTGCAGGCTACCACACCCACTCCACTGGAATGGTACTCAAGATACAGATAAAATATATCAGATGCTATTTCCTTTCCGCAGGTCATATAGGGCTATATATGTGTCAAGAGACAGAAAGAGAAGCTCCCAGAATTGCACAGCAAGCGTTACAGCCCAGTCACCACAACCAGGGGAATCATCTGCCATTGTTTGTTTCCATTTGCAAAATTGTTTGAGGCAGAGGATGCAAAAATAAATCACCAGGGGGTGTAAAAACAACCCCAGGTCTGACCTGTGCTGAGTTCAGCACTCACTTGCAGCATACATCTCTCAGGCATAACATAAATGTGTAATGGATTAAAGGTTTAATAGTATCCGCTCAGCAGTTGTCTTAAGCAGGTGATGACAAGGAGGGCTGGGAACATTGCTTTTGTTGGAAGGAGCAACAGCCCAGGCATGTTGTTTAGATGAAACTTAAGAGCCCTATTCTCACAGTCTGCCTTGCTGTGAATTATTCCCATTACGTTTTCTTGATGCTTGCAAGGGACGTCGTCATTGTTAAACTGTGCAGTCCCACACTTCTGGATTTGCTGTCAGTAGCAAACTTTAAAGAAAATAAAACTATAAATGACCAATTAAGAGTGCAGTTGGCTTTCTCACAATGTATGTGTTAGCAAAATCACTTGAATAATGCAGAGGGAGGCCAGAGAGAAAAGGAATCCTGATAACACTTTACTGAGGAAACTGAACACAAAAGAATGCAATTTGAGGGGAAAGGAACAGAGAGGCTTTCTCTTTCTTACTTTAAACCTTGTACAAAGCAGGGAGACATACAACCAAAACACAGAGGGGAAATTCCCTCAAAACAACATAGCCAATCAGGGTACATGCTGCCTCAGTGAAGATCAGACCACTCTGCCACTCTACCAAACAACACATCTACCCTTTCCTCTTGGTTAGCTGACTCACCAACAACGAAATTAACCCATATAACATTATTGAGCTTCTGCATCAAGGAGCCTTCTCTATGCACTGAGACTCCTTGTTTGCCCACATTTGAACATTATTTAGCTGTTAATCTCTATTTTCATCGGAGAAATGTTGGAGGGTATGACACCAATACCTCAAGGAGTGCCTCTCCTCACCTGAACTAACACAGACCTGGAGCCCTGCCCAGGTGGGTGGCAGCAAGATCCTTTTGGTTCTGCAGCCACAACCGCCAGAGAAGTAGCAAAGGCATGCAAGGACGCCCCTGTCTATCCTTTCCAGATCTGCCTCCCCCCGGCCCCAGCTCTCTGCAACCTGCCTCTTGAGGCAATTTACTCATTGAGGTTAATGGTTGGGCCGGATCTGCTGCCTTCTAACAAGAAGTAATTTGATATATACGTATTTAAAAATCAGTTTATACAACTGGGACAGTCCACATGCAGTTATTGCTTTTGTCTCTTTGCAGTCAAACTTTATGCTCTGACAAGCGAAGTCATCAACGGTGAGATGCAGTTCTACGCCAGAGCCAAACATTTCTACAAAGAGGTGCCAGCATCAGAAGAAGGCATGATGGGGGATTTCATCGAGTTGTCCAACACAGATATTGAGTCCTCCAGAGAATTTCTTAAGAATTTTGTAGGGGTGAGTTGTGTCTGTCTTTGAAGTTCACATCTCTTGTTATAAACCCCTTTGGTTTTATGATGATGCCTCCATTTTGTGCAAGAGAAATATGGAGACCACATTCCTCTTGTCTTTTTGAGGGCTGTGTGTGTGTAAACGTCTTTGAGGGAAAGTAGCCCACAAATTTGAAACTTGCATTTGGAAGTGCGTTGCTCAAATCCAGTCAGCCCTGGTGAGGAGAATTTGGTCTTAACTGGCTGTATACATGTTTGCTGAGGGTAAGGACAGGAAATCACATTTTTCCAATGACAAGATATTTCATGACTCCTTGCAAAAAAGCAGTGATGGCTTTTGTACATTTGTTCCGGTCAGCCATGACAATCTGCAACTCTTTATCTCAGAGACTTGAACTGGTTGCACTCTTTCCTGGGTAGCAGTTTTATGTTCCTTCAGTGCGTTTCTCATGCCTTCCACCAGGTGTGGCAATGCAATAATATAATTCGGCTGTCCTGAGATGCCTGACTGTCAGTATTTGGTTAATTTTTAAAGAAGGAATAGACCTATAGGAAGGAAAAATAACTTTTGGAAAAAAACACACCACTAAGCCTGGGACTCATTTAAGGAAAAGTTAAACAGACTGGAAAGATGTATCTCAGACAACCAGTTGATTTATTTATGTATTTTATTACAGTTCTCAATTGCCTTTCTGCAAAAAATTAGCCCCCAAAGCAATGTACGAAACCAATAAAAGACATTTAAGCAAACCAAATTTAAAACCAATTAGAAATACACTGCAGAATAGAAATCAATCCATGTTAAGTATAAAGGCGATTTTTAAAATGACAACTGAAAACATTCACACAGATGACAGTATCGAAATCCTCCAGTTGTCTGGCAGAGCAGCATGGAAATGTGTCCCCCTCAATGTTGATGGGCTCTCGACTTGCATTAGCCTCAGCCAGGAATGCATAATATGCTCGGCAATATTTGGAGAGCCACACACCGCAGTCTCTGCTGTGATTTACTCCCAAAGCAAAAAACAAACCCTATGTAAGTGCCTGGAACCCCTGAAATCTCACACCACTCAGAGACAGGGGTGGCATGTATCAGTACAGTGGTACCTCGGGTTACATACGCTTCAGGTTACAGACTCCGCTAACCCAGAAATAGTACCTCGGGTTAAGAACTTTGCTTCAGGATGAGAACAGAAATCGTGCTCTGGCGGTGCAGCGGCAGCAGGAGGCCCCATTAGCTAAAGTGGTGCTTCAGGTTAAGAACAGTTTCAGGTTAAGAACAGACCTCTGGAACGAATTAAGTACTTAACCCGAGGTACCACTGTATAAAAAAGCCGCTTGAAAGTAACAAAACTTTTCTGAGAAGATGTCAAAAGGTCCTAATCTACAATATCAATCAGAAATATCTGGGGAAAATAATAATTTAGTTGTAGAGGTTTGTAACTCCTCAGTGGCGTTGGAGCCAGAACAAGGATTAAGTGTAATAAATTTGGTTATTTGTTTGGTTATCTTAAACAGCTCTCAAGTGGTACTTAATCCTTTCACTCAGTCACCGTGTTCACTGCGACTTTTAGCAACGATCAAACTGTTTGTTCAGTGACTTGAAAGCAGTCACATTTATATGGTTGCTTGTACAGCAAAAAGTTACGAATTTAATCAACCCGAAATTCCAAAGAGCTACTCATTACGTATTTAGATTTCATTCTCATGCTATGTTGTCATTTCGTGATTCCTTGGAGCCAAGTCACATCCGGCACCAGCGCATAAGGCTGCACATGCAGCAGAGCCATAAAATATGGATGGCTTTCATGAGTGCAGCCTTCTCACACATAGACTCCAGTTCTTGCTCAAGGTAAGAGCAAGCATAGGGACCAAGTGACCAAGCCAGGAAGCCAATGGTTTTTATTAATCTTGCCACTGCCAGGAATTTGATATGTGACCTTAAGCAAGCCATACACTCAGCTTCAACTCCCCAATCTGTGAGATAGGGGTAATAAGTCACACTTACTTTTAGGGATGGAAGGATGTGTTGGCCAATTTCTGTTTCTCTGAGTTTCTCATTTTTCCAGTCTTCAGTTCAGTTCTCCACATTCCCACATCAGTTTATGGGGTGGGGATGGGGAGAATTCATTAGCATTTTTGTGCAGATTTCTCCAATATACACATTTGTGTGCAATTTTGTCTACTATATACATTTTCACAAAGCAATTTTCCTTTATATGCATGCTTGTATGTTATTTTAACTAACACACTTTGCCCTAGTGTGTGCATTTTTTGTTGTACACATTGCTTGGCCAGAGAACTGCACTACAAAGATTCAGAGAAGTGCAAATATTGAAGGACGGTTGTGTTTTGGCCCACTCGTTGTTTCAGAAAGGGCAAATTAGGTAGATTTGCCTTTAAATGAGAACTAAATCAAATTTCTCCTCCATTCCTCACCTACACTGCAGCGATGTTTACAAAAAGATAACATACTTGAAGAACTTTGTGAATTAGAACGTGACAACAAAGGTCCGTATAGTTAAAGCTATGGTATTCCCAGTAGTGATGTATGGAAGTGAGAGCTGGACCATAAAGAAGACTGATAGCTGAAGAATTGATGCTTTTGAATTATGGTGCTGGAGGAGACTCTTGAGAGTCCCATGGACTGCAAGAAGAGCAAACATATCCATTCTTAAGGAAATCAGCCCTGAGTGCTCACTGGAGGGACAGATCCTGAAGCTGAGACTCCAATACTTTGGCCACCTCATGAGAAGAGAAGACTCCCTGGAAAAGTCCCTGATGTTGGGAAAGATGGAGGGCACAAGGAGAAGGGGACGACAGAGGACGAGATGGTTGGATAGTGTTCTCGAAGCTACCAGCATAAGATTGACTAAACTGTGGGAGGCAGTGGAAGACAGGAGTGCCTGGCGTGTTCTGGTCCATGGGGTCACGAAGAGTCGGGCACGACTAAACGACTAAACAACAACAACATATAAATACAAAATATAATTACCACGATTCTCTGTTAGAGAAGGGAGGGTGCTCAGTTCAGACTGCCCTTCCTTTCCTGTGTACAACCTACATGCCAGGTTTGTATGTGAGTTTAGCTCTAAGTTTTAATAAAGTTCTGTCTCCAAAACTGCCAGCAGTTTCTCTTTGAAACCTGTGACATAAAGCATGGGTGCAATCTATGGATGGTCTCTCACACAGTAACATGAACCATAAGCACCAGGAATGAGTTAAGTCTTAATTCATTATTGGCATTGGTGTTGTGTGTATTTTTGGAGCTTGGCATAAGGTTCAAGGAGAATATGACTGAGAGCTACCCTAAATGAATGGGGACCAAGGAAGTGCAAACTTCTGGTGAAGATTTCATGGCTGAAATAGGTGGCTACACTGGAGAGACCTGTCAGGAGTAAACATGGACCAATGGTACCAAATAGTATGGGAAACAGCCCTACTAGAAAAATTAACTAATAAACTGAAACTGACACGGGGACAAACAGAAGAAGACGTCTTCACCCTGGTATGGCTCCCCTTTATCACATACACAGCCCAACGGGACAATGACAATAATCCACCAACAGCATACAAATCAATATGGCTAACCTGATCCAAAACACCCACCCACCTCACTCACACACGAAAACAAAGATCACCACAGCCAATCACAAGCAGACAATCACACCCTAGGCCAACCCCAACCTCTCTCACCACGAAAGGAACACAAGTGAACAACACAAGCAACGCTGACACCAAACTCTACATACATTAAACATAATAGAAACACCGCCACCCGACCCCACCCCCATCCATCTTCCCTCTCTCCACCCCCCTTTCTTTTTTCCTTTTTTTTCTTCTCCCCCCAATGCCTCAACAAATGAAATGGATTTGTAAAAATGTTACATGAAAAAAATATATATACGAGGCAGTACACTTACTTCTGTAAAACAAGAAAATCCTTAATAAAATATTTAATAAAAAAAAAAAAAAGAAATAGGTGGCTACAAATCTATGATTCTATGAATTTAAAACAACAACGGCAACTGGTGCTTCTGCCCTGCCTTAAATCCCTTCCCAGTTTCCCAGAGTCTCAACTCTATACTGCTTATCATAAATGTAAATGAAAAAATGAAAAAATGTAAGTGAAAGCTGAACTCCTGTTCCCAACACTGTCTATTCAGTGAGTGTGCTTAAGTGTAAATTAAAATGACTCCACGTGCTCTGTTATTCAGATGGATTTGCATGCCTATTCAGTTGATTCATAACACCTGAAATTTCTTGTGTCTCTGAAATTCATCATAGGATGTTTTATACAAAATGCTCTGCATTGTGAATATAATTGGAAGTGTGGAACCATGTGGGAATAGGCAAAATCAGAGTTTTAAAAAATGCTTCCCTCTCGCAGCATAGACTCCTTGAAAATTGCTGAGGGTCTTTGTAGCCGTAGCCATTGTCATGTGATAGATGCCCTGTGAGTTTTGACTGGTTTTTTAAAATTGCTTTCCATTTGTTCATATGGTGTTTTATCGTACTGCAACAACTTGAATTTGGTAGAATTCACACCGAATGATCCCCGCTGCTGTGCTTGCAGCACAGAACAGCCAAGTCTGTGTGTATTCTCCATAAGTGTGTGCATGCACAGTGCGTACACCCACTTTCGGCTGGGGTGCAGCTCTTAGATTTAACAGGTTAGCCACTCCTGAGTTAGAGACTTTGTGTACTTCTAAAATGGGATCTTGTCCTAAAGGTGATAGTAGACATTCAATACAGCCGGTCGTTTCGACAATTGCTGCCTCTGGCATGAAAACCACCTGTTATACCTAGAAGTTTGAAACCATGCCAAAAAATTGCAAGTAGATAAATAGGTGCCGCTCTGGCAGGAAGGTAAACAGCGTTTCCGTGCGCTGCTCTGGCTTCACCAGAAGTGGCTTAGTCATACTGGCCACATGCCCTGGAAAAACTGTCTGCAGACAAACACCGGCTCCCTTGGCCTGTAAAACGAGATGAGCGCCGCAACCCCAGAGTCATCTGCAACTGGACTTAACTGTCAGGGGTCCTTTACCTTTTTTTATACCTGCTTGAGGATTTGACATCTGCTCCCATGACATCTGTGCGAGAACAAAGGACTCTTCTTCTCCTTCTAAAAAAAGTAAATTAAATTGTGTTGCCTGCTTATGTTGAGGACAGCACCAGCGGCAGAGCAAAGTGGGAAGGGGCAGAATGCCCACTGAGCTCATTCTACAATTACTCTTTGCAACCAGGGATATTTATAGCTATGACACTGTCTGTTTGCCCCTGGTTTGACCTTAATAATCTGCTGAATTAAACACTGAAGCACAGCCCAAGTAGAAATGGCATATGGGCACCTGACATGATTTACAACTATTAGTAATGTTAGAGGGAGACTATTTAGAGCCAAACTCTGCCCTACGATAGCTCCTATATATGTGGCGCCAATGGTTCGGAGGAGACTTTAACTTCATCGCTCCTGGGGTATCGTGGAGCAACAGGGAAGTCATTTCCATGTGAATCTGTTGTTATTCTATATATCCCCACAGGGTCAATCGGGGGGGGGGGGCAGCTATAGGGGGCAGAAAGGGTTTCAGCCCCCTTGAATAAGGCATGGGGAAAGTATATAATGTATTGCAAACAATTACACACATTAGTGGGATTGGCAGAAACCTTGTAGTAAAAAAACTGAATTACGGATTGATTAAGGCTTTATAATAATTGGAATTTTTGAGAAGAAGCAGAGGGAAAATAATAACATACGAATCTATAAAAGGTGGGGGGAGGGAAGTCAAAGGGGATATCTCATGGGTAGGCAAACTAAGGCCCAGGGGCCGGATTCGGCCCAATCGCCTTCTAAATCTGGCCCAATCACCTTCTAAATCCGGCCCATGGACGGTCCTGGAATCAGCGTGTTTTTACATGAGTAGAATGTGTGCTTTTATTTAAAATGCATCTCTGGGTTATTTGTGGGGCATAGGAATGTGTTCATATTTTTTTAAAAAAATCAAAATATAGTCCGGCCCCCAACAAAGTCTGAGGGACAGTGGACCGGCCCCCAGCTGAAAAAGTTTGCTGACCCCGGGATAAGTTGTTTGTATTCTGTTTCTTTTTGTCTTTTGTTTTTTGCTTTTCGGTTATTGTTTGCAAAATAGAAAACGCAAAAGCAATTTATTTGTTTATTTTTTTAAAAAGGAAAGGGTTTTGTATCTGGTGTGAATGCTTTGGGCAATCCACTGTTTCTCTTCCTTGCCTCTTTCAACAATAACAGAAGGACAATACTGGCCTTGCAAGATGTCCGTGAGGTTTACTGAGGTAATGAATGTGAGAGGTCAGAGCACTCAAGCGCTGTTTTTCATGCTCTCCGCAGGGGCCTGGCAAAGCGGGCACTGACTTCGCTCTTGACTGTGGCTCAGGAATAGGGAGGGTGAGCAAACATGTCCTTCTTCCCTTATTCAAGCACGTGGAGCTGGTGGACATGATGGATGTTTTTCTGACAGAAGCTCAGAACTACTTGCAGGGTCAGGGAGAAAAAGTCGACATGTACTATTGCTGCAGCCTCCAGGAATTCACGCCAACGCCTAGGAAATACGACGTCATCTGGATCCAGTGGGTTTCAGGTCAGTTCTGCCATTTGGTCAACCACGTAAAAACGAGTGAGCAAGAGAAGCTATGGGAAGGGCACACAACTGGTCATCTTTGCGAGTGACACAGGATATGCAGCAGCGAGGGGCTGTCCACGCTTCTGCTCTCCCTGTACCTAGAAAGCATGGGTCAAAGTGGTTTTCTGCTTGTCTCATATGCTTTCTAAGCATGGGTAGGAGCACTTTTGTCTCTGCTTTCCCCCTGAAAACATGCTCTTTAGTGCTGAATTGGAACAAATGGCAACCCACCACCATTTGTTCTGATTCAGCACTAATAATAATAATAATAATAATAATAATAATGATAATAATTTATTTCTACCCTACTCTGGATGGCTTACAACAAAAGATTAAAAATACATTAAAATATCCGTCATTAAAAACGTCCCTAAACAGGGCTGCCTTCAGATGTCTTCTAAATGTCATATAGTTGTTTATTTCTTTGACATCTGATGGGAGGGCATTCCACAGGGCAGGCGCCACTACCGAGAAGGCCCTGTGCCTGGTTCCTTGTAACTTCACTCCTCGCAGTAAGGGAACCACCAGAAGGCCCTCGGAGCTGGACATCAGTGTCTAGGCAGAACGATGGGGGTGGAGGCGCTCCTTCAGGTATCCTGAGCCGAGGCTGTTTAGGGCTTTCAAGGTCAGCACCAACACTTTGAATTGTGCTCGGAAATGTACTGGGAGCCAATATAGGTCTTTCAAGACCGGTGTTATATGGTCTCGGCGGCCGCCCCCAGTCACCAGTCTAGCTGCCACGTTCTGGATTAGTTGTAGTTTCCAAGTCACCTTCAAAGGTAGCCCCACGTAGAGCGCATTGCAGTAGTCCAAGCGGGAGATAACTAGGCCATGCACCACTCTGGCGAGACAGTCTCCAGGCAGGTAGGGTCTCAGCCTGGTTACCAGATGGAGCTGGTAGACACCTGCCCTTGACACAGAATTGACCTGCACCTCCATGGACAACTGTGAGTCCAAAATGACTCCCAGGCTGCGCACCTGGTCCTTCAGTGGCACAGTTGCCCCATTCAGGACCAGGGAGTCCCCCATATCCACCCGCTCCTGTCCCCCAAGAACAGTAATTCTGTCTTGTCAGGATTCAACCTCAATCTGTTAGCTGCCATCCATCCTCCAACTGCCTCCAGGCACTCACACAGGACCTTCACCGCCTTCACTTCACGCTGTCGAGACTACATAACACTGGTCTTGAAAGACCTACATTGGCTCCCAGTACGTTTCCGAGCACAATTCAAACTGTTGGTGTTGACCTTTAAAGCCCTAAACAGCCTCGGCCCAGTATACCTGAAGGAGCGTCTCCACCCTCATCGTTTTGCCCGGACGCTGAGGTCCAGCACCAAGGGCCTTCTGGCGGTTCCCTCATTGCAAGAAGCAAAGCTACAGGGAACCAGGTGGTGGGCCTTCTCGGTAGTGGTGCCTGCCCTGTGGAACGCCTTCCCATCAGATGTCAAAGAGATAAACAACTACCTAACATTTAGAAGACATCTGAAGGCAGCCCAGTTCAGAGAAGTTTTTAATGTGTGACATTCTAATGTATTTTTAATCATTGTTGGAAGCCGCCCAGAGTGGCTGGGGAAACCCAGCCAGATGGGCAGGGTACAAATAAATTATTATTATTATTATTATTATTATTATTATTATTATTATTATTCACTGGTTCCAATTTACAAGAGAGGAAGGGCAGCTTTCACTGGGCAAGAGGTGGTGCAAACTTAGGTGTGAATAAGCCCTAGGCATCAGTGGACCAAATGTCCTCTGGCTACATCTCTCCATCTTTCCTCATACCTTGTAGAGACCATGGCCACACACTGCATCACAGGCTGCAGGTACAGAACCAAGGCCTACTGAACAAGAGTTTATATCTAGAAGATCCAACTCAGTGCACTTGGTATAAGACACCTTCCCATTTTCCTAACAAAACTCCCTGTGTAGTCAGTGCTTACAGCACAGGGATGTGGTCCAATACTGCCCTCCACGTTTCTCTATCTGGGTCACACCCCTTGACAACCCTTTTCTGGACCCACCTCCAATGTATTTGTCTCCTTGGAATGCATCCTTGAACTGCAAAGCAGTCTTTTGCATGAGGACAGCCTTGCTTTTTCTGTCCAATTCCTCTGGAGAGCAACAAAATGCCATCGAGACTCATTCCTCTAAAGGGGACTTGCTCTTTGAGTGTTCAAAATATGTAGTGGCAAGGAACCCTGCAAACCAGCTGCTTAGAATGTGAGTCACTGGATATCCTATTGTAGAAGTTTTTAAATGAAAAATGGGGACAACAACGACAACTACAGAATAGTTGCAAACCTTGCATCACCTCATAATTTCTTAGTCCCATTTCATCTGAGATCTGGGATGGACCAGAATTTACATGTCCATGCGTCCCTAACCAAAGTGTGCCACAGTGAAGAAGTTGTGGAGTTTGCACAATATTAAGTATAGTTATTTGTTAGACATTCCTGGATGATGCTAAGCAAGGGTTTTTTTTCCCCAATCTACTCCTCTGATAACTAGCTTGCCCCCTGCTCTCTCTTTTCTTTTTTTATTTCAGAAATCAGAGATGTAAGGCAGTGCTCCCCCCCAAAAAATAATTACCGGTACTTTGCCCCTATTCTATGCCTTGTGGCAATATTGTACAAAATTTGCAATAATAAATATTGCATCTACACCTTAAAGAACTTAATACTGTTGCAAGGCTGAAGCCACCGTTCCAACAAAAAGTATAGCCCTGTTCTGTTTTGACCTCCTGCAGGAAACCTGACAGATAAGGATTTACTGGGGTTTTTCATTCGCTGCCAGGATGGTTTGAAGGAGAACGGCATTATTATTCTCAAGGACAACGTGGCAAGGGAGGGCTGTGTCCTCGATCCGTTGGACAGCAGTGTCATCCGAGATCTGAACATCCTCAGTAGTCTTATTGAAAAGAGCGGCCTCACCATCCTGAGACGGGAAAAGCAAGAGGGCTTCCCTGAGCAGTGTGTACCAGTATGGATGATAGCCATGCAGAAGAATCCTATCCATATGAGAAATGGGATGTTGTAAGGGCCATTGACATAGGGCTGGAGTTCAGGGCAACAAAGTGGGGGGAATTGAAGTAGTGTTTCCAGACTGTATTTCTCGTTGTAAAACAGCAGCGGCACTCCCAGGTTTTTCCTCTGCAGTTTCCATGGTTTTCGGAGCTCAGAAGAATGGTTGTCCTTCTTTTTATTGCAATGAGTGTAGAGGACCCATCAAACAGCTGTCCTAACCCATGCAGTGTGATAATGGCTGCAATAGCATCTACTCTAGCCATTTCCTTCTCTGTCACTTGCCTCTCTTCTCTTAGAATCAACTCTTATCACGTTAACCCTTCTCTTTGAGAGCCAGTGTGGTGTAGTGGTTAGGAGTGGTAGACTCCTAATCTGGGGAACCGGGTTCGCGTCTCTGCTCCTCCACATGCAGCTGCTGGGTGACCTTGGGCCAGTCACACTTCTTTGAAGTCGCTCAGCCCCACTCACCTCACAGAGTGTTTGTTGTGGGGGAGGAAGGGAAAGGAGAATGTTAGCCGCTTTGAGACTCCTTCGGGTAGTGATAAAGCGGGATATCAAATCCAAACTCTTCTTCTCCTTCTTTCTAAACAGCATTGCCGACACCCCACTCAGGTGTGTACAGCAACACGGAAACGTGACTTGAAACATGGCAGGGGAAACAATCTCGCTGAGTTTTAAGCTGCTGGTGTGTACATGTGATTGTGACTGGAAGTGTACAGATCATGTTTCCTGAAATATCTCATTGTGGCTAGAAGGGCCAAGGCAGAGTTACATGGAGCTTTGTGATGACTTCCTTTTGGGTTTTTGTTTGAGTTTTAATCTCAACCAGCTTGGGCAGTCTTCACGTCTGAGCAGAAGAAGGAGAGGTTACTTAATAAGTTACTTAATCTATTCCCCTTTGGTTGTTTTCAGCTCTAAACTGCCCCCTTTAAACTGCTTTTTTTCACTAAAAGAAAAAATGTACAGCTATTTTTGTTGGTTTGTTTTGTTCTTCTTCACACGCTGCTCTGTTCCTAACTTACGGTTGTTCCTTGCTCCTTTCTGTTGGGCATTATCTAGAATAGTATTCAAGGTATTCATTCTGTGGTGTTTCCACAAAGTTTGAGATTTGGGGGCATGAGTAACTCAGATGGCAGTGGCAATTCTCGCTTGAAAACCTGGATGCATGCAACTGGGAGTTCGTAGTTTCTTATCACCTCAGTCAAATTCTCTCCGCCACAAAATGAGCTCCAAAGCTTTACTGCAGAACAGTCTTAAATACTACTGACAATAAGATGAACGTTACAAAATAGCAAAGTAACAGGTTGCAAACAAGCGGTGGAGGCCTTTAAGTAGTTCAGTAAACCTTCCTCTCTCTGGTCCTGGAGAGAGATCCTAAGCTTGTTCATAGATGTGCAGTTGTTCCGCCATGGCTGCTGCTGCTGCTAACCCCCCCCCCCCCCAACAAGCACACACAGAGACTTCTCAAGTTTCAGTTTCCTGTAAGCTCCTGTTTCCGGAAATAAGTCCTCAGTTGGTTTTTAGCTCATTGAAACGGTAAAATGCCGGTGTTCTCTGAAGCTTTTGCCATAGCAGAACCTCTTCCCTTTACAGCATTTTAAATGCAGTGTATTGAAACACAGCATTTTATGCGCATTTAGCTTTAAACTTTAAACAACCCACAGAAGAAATAGAAGCAGAATATGTGGAATGAAAATGTTTTAGATTAGCTCCCTCTGGCTTTGATACAGTGGTCCATATGCTACATATTCAGGAAGATTCAGTCAAATGACTACAAGGTTATCTGACAATAGATGAGGAATTTAGTTATTTCTTTGACGATGACAATTAAAATATTCTGTTTTGGTTGCATGCCTTAGCAAAACTATGGTAGTATAGGCGTACTCAAGCACTTGTAGGAGTCTAGGCATTAAGAGTAGGTTTATTTATTTTTATTTACTCATTGAATTTATACCACACCATTCCTCCCCAATGAGTCTGTGGTGGCCAGGGAGGCAAAACCTCCCCATATTTCTCTAGTTTTGTATAAATGGAAGCAGGTGGTTGGAATCAGGTTACCAGACGTCCCCGGATTTACAAATCAGTCCCCTGACAAAATCCATCCCCTTCAACTGAAGTTGAAAAGTATCCCCGGATTCACTGAAAAAAAATCTGGTAACTTTAGGTTGGAGCCACTTTTAAAGCTAAAAATTATTTCATTATTCCATGTAATCACATTATTTCTCCAAAGCCCCTGGGGTAGTTCACTCCCTTTTATTGTCACAACAGCCCCATGAGGTGGGTTGAACCCAAGATAAAGTAACTCGCTAAGATCATACAGCAAAATGTATGGCTATTGGCAGAATAAGAGTAGAGATCTTTTGCCCGCATCTTTAGTACAGCAATGAAAGTAGCTCTAGTTTGTCAGTAACTGATTTATTGAGCATTCATCCAGCTTTTTTTGAGGGTGTTTATATGTCTTCCTGTTAATCGTTCATCCATTCCTCCATCCCAAACTTTTCAATGCATTTCCCCATCACTACAAAAAGAAAAAATGTTTCCTATGTTTATTTATTGTGCTAGAGTGCTTTAGAAAGGTAAAGGTAAAGGACCCCTGACAGTTAAGTCCAGTCGTGGCCAACTCTGGGGTTGCGGTGCTCATCATGTGGGCAGCATGACTAAGCCGCTTCTGGTGAACCAGAGCAGCGCACGGAAACGCCGTTTACCTTCCCGCCGGAGTGGTACATATTTATCTACTTGCAATTTTGACGTGCTTTCGAACTGCTAGGTTGGCAGGAGCTGGGACTGAGCAACGGGAGCTCACCCTGTCACGGGGATTCAAACCACCGACCTTCTGATCGGCAAGTCCTAGGCTCTGTGGTTTAGACCACAGCTTCTTTGTTGTTGTTGTTGTTTAGTCATTTAGTCGTGTCTGACTCTTCGTGACCCCATGGACCAGAGCGCGCCAGGCACTTCTGTCTTCCACTGCCTCCCGCAGTTTGGTCAAATTCCTGCTGGTAGCTTCTTTAAACCACCTCAAATGTGGAAATCTAAAGTATGCATCTGAATCCCTCCAGCAAAACATGGCATTTTGGAGGTGTCATGAGAAATCCTCATGACATGTGAAATGTCAGGTCAGAGGGGAAGGGAGAATTCCAACAGGGGCCTGTTGTTTTACTGTCAGAAAAATTAATAAACAAATTCTTACACCTTATGTTTTGCTGACAAAATTTTGGCACCTCAGCTATTAAAAACCTTGCATACTAAATAGCATGCACAGGGCACAATCTGTTTACAAATTCTCCGAAATAAGCCTATTTTATATTAATCTCTTGCTCTTTTCATTTCAGTAGGCTTTGTGCAGGAGAACTGTCTAATGGTAACAACAACAACAACAACAACAACAACAACAACAACAACATAATACCACGTCCATCTGGGCAGCTTACAGCACATATAAAAACATAGTAAAAGGTCAAACATTAAAAACTTTCCAATAAAGGACTGCCTTCAGAAGTCTACTAAAAGTCAGTTACTTGTTTATTTCCTTGACATCTGAAGGGTGTGTGCTCCACAGAGAGGGCGTCACTACTGAGAAGGCCCTCTGCTTGGTCCCCTGTAACTTTGCTTCTCACAGTGAGGGAACTAGCAGAAGACCCTCAGAGCTGGACCTCAGTGTGTGGGCTGAGCAATGGGGATGGAGATGCTCCTTCAGGTATACTGTGCTTGGAAACGCACTGGGAGCCAGTGAAGATCCTTTAGGGCCGGTGTTATATGGTCCCTGTGGCCGCTCCCAGTCACCAGTCTAACTTCTGCATTCTGGATTAGTTGTAGTTTCCAGGTCACCTTCAAAGGTAGCCCCACGTAGAGCGCATTGCAGTAGTCCAAGTGGGAGATAATGGACTGGGCCTCATGGGCCAAACCTGTCTGCTGCCTGAGTTGGCTGTAACAAATTGTATGTAACTCATGTTGCTCCTAAGCACACAGAAATGAAGCCAAATGAATGGCCTTCAGTGTGACTATAGCAACAATGTATGTAAAGTATCCATGGGAATAATTAGCTATTTGTATTGGACACACAAATTGGGCACAACCAGAGTCTCACATTTAATGTAATAAAGCCATCTACGATATGTGTATCCTGACTACTGTTACCATCATCATGATTTTCTGTTTCCTTTATAAAGCATCTCCTGTTGCTCTGTCAGATAATGGTCAAATGCGTTTAACTGTTATGTGTGATTAAAACCAGTTGTGTTGATTCCCTCCTTTTCTTTTCTTCCTTTGATGATTGTGTGATAAACTCAAGAAAAGGCTACTGCAGTTATTTGCAAACCTTCCCTTCTTTCTTTGGAAGGTCATCATAACCCTGGTAAATAAATAGAAAATCTGGTTGAAGCAATTCTTTTCATCTAGGGAAAAACAGTATCATCACAGCATAAAAACCGTGTTGATGGGCTAGACATAAGTTCCAGCTTTTTCCAGGTGTCTCTTTCAGAGCTCAAATCACCTGCAAACTGCTTCCATCTTTACAGACCCAATCCTGACACATATGAAAGCTGCTGAAACTGAGTAACCGTTTACATCCATCATTGGACAGAGAAGAGCTGAGGCGCTTGGCAAAGATTTACGTTGATCTCCTTAACCTTGAGAACATAGGATTTGATACTGTGTGACAGCATATCCACATTTCATGAGATAATTATTGGGGTGGGGGTGGGGAGAGAATTGTATAGTCAAATTGCACCTCCAGAGCAAAGTCCCCTTTGAAATGATGGAGGGGTTGATGGAGTTGCTCTCCGGAGGAATTGCCCAAGGACTATTCATTGAGGACAATTTACCTGCCACCAATAATACATCAATGCATGTAGATCATAATCACAAATTGCTCGTGGACTGCAGACTGTGTGTGGCCAGAGGTGAAACTGGGCTTGATTTCACTCAGTCAAAGACTCATTTCGGCACATACATCTCAACACTTTTTTTCTTAAAGGGCATAAAAAGCAGGTGACATATTATTATATAGAAAAACAAAACTTGGTACAGTGGTGCCCCGCAAGACGAATGCCTCGCAAGACAAAAAACTCGCTAGACGAAAGAGTTTTCCGTTTTTTGAATCGTTCCGCAAGACAAATTTCCCTATGGGCTTGCTTCGCAAGACGAAACGTCTTGCGAGTTCTTGCGAGTTTGTTTCCTTTTTCTTAAAGCCGCTAAGCCGCTAATAGCCGTGCTTCGCAAGACGAAAAAAACCGCAAGACGAAGAGACTCACGGAACGGATTAATTTCATCTTGCGAGGCACCACTGTATTCAAAGATTTCATGGATTCATTTGCAGCAAGACCCACCCATGCTCCTGACTGGAGGGAGCCCCGCTGTAAGTAGGGTGGGGAGGGCTTTGC